TCCTAAGGAAGTATAATATATAGCAGGTATAAGATAGATTTATAATATCTAAATCTCTTCTAGGTATAGGGGGTGTGACTAGGTAACTAAATAGGATAGAATTAGGAAGATTTCTTAGTACTACTAGGCTAGAGTAGTAGGAACTAGATATTAAGTAAGAATAGGATACTTATAGCTAGTATTAGTAGTAATAATTTTCTAATAACTAGAAGTAATTAGTATATTTTTAGAAATCTTAAAATAAGGTAGAATTATAAAGTAATATATTTTAAAATTTAATTAAGATATTTTAAATTAGAAGAGATATTAAAAAATTATTAAGTATTTTTCTTTCTAAAGTAAGATAATAGAACTTTATAAAGTAAGTATTAAAATTTAAGTTTTTCTATTTCTAATTATAGAGGTAGTTCTAAATATTTTAAATTTAATTAGGGTCTCTAAATATTATTTCTAGATAGTTAAATAAGTTAGGATAGTCTAAGAATTAGGGAATATTAAATCTTATTTTAAGTAAGATTAGTTTATAAGCCTTTCTAATTAAATATCTTATTATATAGGTTAATTAGACTTTAGTAGCTAGAAAATAGTCTAGATTAGTATTTATTTTACTATAAATCTATTATATAAAGTAGTAGAAATTAGAATAAGTATTATTAAATTTTTATAAATTAGGGAGTTTCTTACTAAGATAAGTACTAGAGGGAGGACTAGTAAAAATAGGTATAAATATTCTTATTATATTAGTTACTATAACTTTAGTAAGGGGAGTATATTTAGTAGAGATAGGGGTAGTAGTAAGAATAAGTATAATAAAGATAATAGTAATCTATAGTATAATAAATATATATTTAGACTTAATTAATTTTTATTAGATTATTTTTAATTCTTTCTTCTAGTATAGTACTACTTCCTCCTTCTTAGCTAGCTCTAGACTAGCTTTATTAACTTAGTTTTAGAGAGTATAAATCTCCTTCCTTAAGGAATTAGTATATTTATTATAGGATCTAAAGTAAATAATCTAAGTAATAGAATTATTAATAATATAGCTTATAAACTCTTTAACTAAGTCTATAATTAGGGGTAGTTTAGATTATTTTAATATACTAGTAATAGCTATACCTAGGGTAGGAGCTATATAATATTATAGGGAGTAGGTAGGTAATAAATATAACTAATAGTAGGGTGTATATTTAGGCTATTTATATATAGGTATAATAAGTAGGAATTAGGTTAGAATAAGGATATAACTTAAAGAGCTATAATAGGATCAGGAGCAACATGGCTTAAATATAGGAGTAGAGGTGGACAGTTAGGGCAGAATCTAACCAGATAGGTACATGGCTACGCCGTGACATTAAGCCCCTATATATATAAAAAGACTATAAAGTAGGCTTACTTTAGAAACTAAAAATTAAGCTCTAGATAATAGGGGCCCTTCTTCTAACTATTCTCTAGCTAATTCTAAATTAACTATACTATACCCTAGAATATATAATAAATTTTATAGAAAAGATTAAAAAAAAGGAGGTAGTAAAGGCCTTTAAAATATAATAAGAAATATTATTAGTAAAAGATATAATTATTTTTAATAATAAATTTAAAAAAAGTTATTAAAAATAATATTATATAAGTTATAAATATATAATATATATTAAATATAAAGAAATTATATATAAAAAAATAGTTATTAATTTATAATTATATATATTTAATATAAAGATTATAAAAGCTCTTTAAGATTTAAAAATAATTATTAAGAAGTTACTAGATACTAGTTATTACTAGCTATATATAGATAGTATCTTAATAATATAGTATAATAAAAAAGAGATTATAATCTTTTTTTATTAAATTTTTTAAATATTATACTATCTAATTAGGTAATATAGGGTAGAGCTCTGCTAGGCCCTAGGCTATAAAAAGATTAAAGATAATAAAAAAATAGATTAACTAGCTAATTAAGAGGCCTCTTTTAAGACTAGAGACTTAAAATAAGGCTCCCTAAAGGCTATACTTATTACTAGTAAAATTAGAATAATAGGCTACTAATTCTATTAAAAGATATAAATTAATTAATAAATAAAAATATTTCTAAAATTATTAAGCTAGTACTAGTAATAATAGATAAATAAAATAAAGATATATAAGATAGTCTTATTTCTAAAATTATATTTCTAGTACCTAGATCTTTATTACTAGCTAGTAATTAGATTCTTATATAGGGACTTTAGCTAGTACTATAAATATTTCTAGTATAAAGATATCTAGCTTATATATTCTTATAATAAAAATAAGAATTTTAAGTATTTAATTCTTTATTATTATAATAAATAGCTCTTTATCTAATAGCCTTAATAATCTTTATAGTCCCTAATAACTAAGTATAAAATAATTAAGTATTTAAAATAACTAAAACTTAAGAACTTTATTATACTTCTAGTTATTATAGGATTTTATAAAGATATATACCTATACTAGAATAATCTAGGATTAAGATATCTTAAGTTAGAGACTAATCTAAAGTAAAATAAAATATAAGGCCTAGAGCCTTATAATCCCCCCTAATAAATACTAAATTAATACTTATACTCCCTAATTCTTTTTTTTATTCTTACTATACTAAGTCTCTTTTTTTAGACTAACTAGTCTTACCCTATACTTTTATATATAAAGAAGGGCCTGGTACCTAAAAATACCTAGAATAATTTTAGTAGTCCCTAATAGAGATTTTCCTATAGTAGTAGCTATATATTAGGATAATACAGGAATAAAGGCCTCTTCCTCCTATATAAAGATAGAGGCCCCTACTTATACTAGAATTACCTTCTAAAATAACAAAAATATATACTATATCTACTTAGATAGATAGATAGATAGATACACCCACCAGCTTGGCACGCCCCTATACCCCTAGGGAGGTCAGGAGCCTCAGGCTCACGCCCGAGGATGCCACGTGGCGTTAAGCAATACAACAACAACAACAACAGCAAAGCAGCCAGGGGAAGGATCTGTAAATATGGTTATTTTAGGTTGTCGAGCTTGTGTGCAGCGTGAGTGAAGATGTGACTGAACTAATTGAAGCCGTTTAAAGTTAGACAATTTGGAGAGAAGCAGCACATCCAGGAGCTCTGGTGTAAACCATGGGTGAAAGTCATCAAGCAGTGGGTATGCAGTTGTCGCACATTTATCCATGTACATCCAGATTTCAAATATGCTGAGAATAAACAGGCTCATCTGCTCAGAATTATTATTATAAGAGTCCCCAACAGCTATCATATAGTCTGTAATTAGGGATGAGAGCTTAATGCATTGATTCTTGCATTTATCTTTAGAGGCTGAAATACTAGATGCTTCTGATATTAAGGTCAGCTCTTTGTCTGCTAGTGATGAATATGTTTTTGTCAATGCTGCGAACTGTTTCATGGTGTTCCTAATAGCAATCTAACCCAGCTCGCTTGGTTTGATAGCCTTCATTGGAGAAGGACGGTTTTAAGGAGGTTTAAGAACTTCCCTGAAGTATTCAGTGCTATTTAGTAGGGTAAGACGGAAATTATTCGTAGAGGCATGAGAAGGCAATACTAGGACGTGATGCTAGAAATCCTTCTTCCAGAGACCCCACTTGTTCTCGATAGCTGTAGTGGCATTCTGAATGGCGTTCTCACAACAGGCACTAACTAACCTGAAAGCATGGTCATATGCGGCTCTCGATGTGTATCCATGCCTTTCTGCCCACCTAAACCACTACCTGCTTTAGGTGTGCCATATATTCTTCGTGATTACACATTCTTTGCAATTTTTAATATTTTAACTTATTTTTATTATTATTACAACACAACATGCCTAAATCTCTAGATTTTAATAAATCTTGCTTGCTTAAAGCTATTGCCATAGTTAAAAAGCAAAAAAAACCAAATATTATAAAGATTACATAAGAATTTAATATGCCTGACTCTATACTCTAAACATGCCTTAAAAAACTAAAGATACTAATAATACTAATAATAATAAATAAGAACCTTCTATAGCCATATCAGGAGAAGGCCTTAATCAACTAGATTATATAAATATGGAAATAGAATATCCTACTAACTCCTAATAAGCTATCTTAATGGGGGGGTAAGCTATATGGGAAGGCAGAGTTCTTAAAGATTATCTAGCTAATCTATAACTAGACCTTTCTACAGCGAATTATTTAAGATACCTTTAAAGAATGTGGTATCTAGCTAGTTAATAGTACTAAAATTATTAAAAAACTAGTAAATTAGATAGATATACTAGATATATTAATTAATCTTTATTAAACCCCATCTCTACTACTATTACTATCCTCCAGTATTAAAAACAGTTCTCTAGCAATAATAAAGGCTCTTCTAAAGAATTAGGTAAAGATTATAAAGGAACTTAATAAGGTATCTAACTAGGTAAGGTAGAATATATTAAAACTCTTTTAATATCAGGTAAAGAAGCTTAAGGAGCTAAAAATAATCTAGAAAGTAATTTAAAGGATTAGGGCCATGTAAGAGCCTTAATACTAGGTTTATACTAAGCACTAGATTAAAGGTCTATCTAGTAACAGGGTTCTAAGAGTTTATAATACTATTTAATTAATTAAAGATAGGAAGGCAAAGGATGCTAAATATAAGTAAAAGAGATTAGTAAAGTAAAAAAAGAAAGTATATAATTCTCTACCCCCTCCACGCTTGTAGGAGTTAATTTAAAGAGGAATTAATAATATAAGATATACTAAAGAAGCTAGAGAGTTTTTTTATTTTAATTACTAGTATTATTGTTATTATATAGCTTCAAATATTAAAAAAATCGCGAAGAATGTGTGATCGCGAAGAATATGTGGCGCACCTAAAGTGGGTAGCAGTTTAGGTGGGCAGAAAGGCATGGATAGTCCGAATGCTTCTGTGTCGCTAGCTTGGCTAAGCAATGACAAAGCTTAACCTTTAGGAAATGGCACTTTTCTGAACTTAGCTTTCCAACACAATCATCCAGCAAATTTGACAATAGTAAATATATAAAATATTTGTAATGTATTTGACCCTCTTCGCTACCTAGGCGGAGGTAGAGTAGTCGTTGAATACAAACACGGAGGGCTAGCTATAGGGGGCTTCGTCGCCATGGAAGCCTTGATTTATCCCAACACGCATCATCCTTGACATGTTTACGTAGAACAGGCAAATTCACCCTCTTACCATTCATCTCTAACAGGGTCATCAAAAACTGTGTGATAAGTGCAGGGTTTGCCGTGTTTCGATCCTCTGAGATTTCTATTCCAGCTTTCCGTGTTTTCGCAGCAAATTTGCCCAATGACTCAACACTCGCCTTTTCTAGGAAACTAGCAAGACAGCCCTGAAAGTTGGGGTTCTGGAAATCTTTACATGAAAGGGACACAGTGGTTCCAGGGAAGTCCTATTGTAATGCGCCCTGTGCTGCCAGTATTTGCTCAGCGGAAGGGGAGGTCTCAAATGCCTCAACAATGATTTCTTGTTTATTTTTACTTTATCAATGAAGAATTCTTAGTGACCAGCTCCGAAATCGAGGAAGAAAGGGACAGCTTACTGTGGCTGGTGAATAAGGAGACCAGCGTTTTGTTCTCGAACGCGGATGATGAGGGGGTGGTCTGGGTCAAGCGACCTAAACGCATTTTAAAGGGCTTCCTTGTTACAAATTTTGTTTTCGTTAATGATAAGGCAGGTTTTTAGTGAGTTTTCAATCATTATCCAGGCAGGTAAGAGGTCATGGTGTAAGGTTCTTTTGAGAATCCTGGTTACATCTAACAAACGGCATATCAGATCTCTTTCTACCTCCTTACTTTGGGTATCACTCTTCCCCGGAAGCTTGGGAGGGAACGCAACATAATTGAAGGTTTAAAGTAGCGTGTCTTGGGTCGTTATGTTTGATAGTTTTTCTGTCAAGCCTGGCAATATTACTTGGAAAGTGAGAGGTGTGAGGTCAGAGGGAGAGAGGAAGGGAAAGGAATTTATGTTAAGGTAAGAAAGAAATAGTAGTTATGGGAATAAGGTAAACACAGGCAAAAGGCTAATATGTTGCTGGGCAAAGGCAGTCTTTGGCCCAGAGCTCCTTAGAAACATAAGTGAACACCCTAGACCTCCCCCCCCCCTTTTTTTGCGCTGCTAGGCGTTTTCTCAGTCTGCTAATCAAATCTGATAATTCTTTGTGATTATAGCCTCTGTTGGCGTGGCACACTGGAGAACATCATATAATATTGGCTTGCCTTCACTTTCATTGGGCCACACAAGATCAGCCTTGGTGGCACATCTTCCACGCTTCTTCAAGGCTATCGAATCAACCACTCATCGACGCAGAGGCATAGTGCTATTGCATTTAGGGTGGGCAGTTCCGTGTCATGAAAACTAATGATAGAAGCATTTGAGGTGGAATAGCAATGGCAGAATTGACCGATGAACGCGGTGGACTTGGTCGATATTGATGAGGACGGGAATAGAAAAGTAAGGAGTATTTGATGCCTAATATAGAATAAACGATCTTGCCTATCTATGATTACCGTGGCTAATTTCTAATGAAGAAGGCGCCTACCCTTTGGTATAGTTGCTATTAATTTGGGCGATATAACGACGCCTTTCCACATTCTACTACAAGGCCATGATGCGATAAATACCTTTCCAAAATAGGACCTCGAGGTTATATGCTGATGCGACTGGGGCGCGTAAAATTAGTAACCTAGAGTGTCTTGTAGGCAAGTTCAAGAACTAATAGTCTCGTTTCTTTAATTCAGCCTTGCTTGATATTGGTTGTTGCCTTGGATCCACTGTCAATTTCACCAGAAAACTGGGAAACCTGGTAAATGACTGAATTGGCAATCATATTTAGTGTCAAAGAGTAAAGTTTGGATCCAAGGACTTGTGTTTTGGGCCCTGAATTAATACTGAGACGCATGTCAGCATCTCTGAGGCTCACTTGAGACGTGGTGTTGCTCGTCAAGCTGCTTGATTGAATAAATGCTCATGCTATATCAAAATTTACCTTATAGCAAGCTAGACGTCCTAGGAACAATAGCTTCATTTACTTGGTTAAGAATCAGTTGCACAAAATGCCTATTCAGCAATGGACTACTACTCTTTAGGGATTGGATACCCTTCAATTGTCCGAAGGTCCCATTCCCGTAGCGGGCAAAGGTGAAGTTCTCACTGAGATCCGTATAGTATTACTTAACTATCGCCATTTTGAAGGTATATCCTCCAAAGAGTGAGAGAGATAGTTCTAACTATGTATAGTCTATAGCGGTGAATACAGAGTATAATCACCATCGCACCGTCAACCAAGAGCAGAGCGCCCTTGTACCATGCTCCGACATGTGCAGGGTTTGGAATGCGTCCGATGGACCAGAATGGCGGCGAGGGAGAGTATGTACTCCTGCAAGGCACTGGTGGGGTAGCTATTGCCGGGTTACAGATTGCAAAGCTTCTAGACCTAGTGAGTCTTATTTTGACTTTAGGCAACGAATGAGATATCATATGCTGATATAAACACCACCGTGATTATAGCTTTTTCCTCGATGCAAAACAAGAACAGGCCAAACAGCTAGGTGCTGATTACACGATCAACTACCATACTCAGCGCAACTGGGACGAGGAAGTGATGCGCATCACAAGAAACCACAGAGCATATATCACCCTCGAAACGGATTGTACCGGCAACCTATCAGGCAAAATTCTACGGTGACGCTTCAGAGAATCACCGACAACCCTAAGGGCTCATTCGAGGAGATGCTTGCCTTCTTCGAAAGTAATAAGATTAATCCTGTGGTAAACAGGGTATTCTCGTTTATCGAGGCTCAGGAAGTATTTATGTTCTTGGCGGCTGGATCATATTTTGGTAAATTTATCATTAAGGATGTTGCTTAATGGGGTCCTAGTATTAAATGGGCAAACTTAGAGGTCCTAGAATTCAAAGAGGTTTTCTGAATCAAGTTCAAAGTAGAAATAGGTTATTTCCCCCCCAAGGCATACTTTCATCACCGTTATATATCTCATCTATTTGCTGGAGTATCACAGTCTAGCTAGGATATACATAACACCAACCCTTGCCAGGTGCATATAATGCAGCTCTTGAAAAACCAAAGGCATTAATTGCACCATTTTGCAACTAATGCTGACTAGGCTTGATGTCCGAAGCTTGGGTGATATCCTCACCGAGCTCTGTCCCTCCAATGACTAGCGGCTTACACTGCTGCAGAATGAACACCATGCGCGTCCACTCAGTTTGGCTCGGGTTATGCCAGGCATGCATAGTCGCTCTCTGTATAGCTATATCCCCCTTCTTCAGAAGCCTCTTCTCACCTGAGTCAAGAATCATTTCGATCTCTCCCTCAAGCACGATTCCATAATCCAAACTTTGTGTCCGGTGCATGACAGGTGGAGTGTCTGGAGCAAAGTCGACAAACCGGCAGACAGTACCATTGGGGTTAACTAGGCCCAGGTTCCCGGAAGCTTTGACTTCTTCGTATTTAGCGAGATCAGCGTCGTTGTTCAAGTTAGCGGGAAACTCGGAGGTGGTGTAGGCTACAGTAAAAGCCATAGTCTGGCCCTCGTATGCTTTCCATTCCGCCGCGTTTTCGATTTGCACGATGGCATTTCCGGAGCTGTTGTGCCCTGTAATGTAGCGGGTAATACCGCGGAGCGAGGATAATTGGCCTGGATTTGAAGACATTGATGATGATTGTGATGCTGATGCGTACTCGATAGGTATGTGGATATTATCTTGGAGGGAGATATAGTTATGACTTGCTGATGGAAAGTAAGAATAAGAATACGAATCTGAAGAATGACCTGGAACTGGAACCCTTGATTATATATGAACGGATTTGCTGGCAAGCCCCTCACCGAGACAGCCGTCGAAATATAGCGAAAAACGAGTAAGACTGATGCACTGGCTTGCATATGCAATGCGACAAAGTGCATCTTTTCCGGAACGAGAAAAAAAACTCCGCGTCCGACTTTTGAGGAATCTCTCGGAACTGGCCAGTTGAGTGCCGACCTGGTGCCTTCTGCGATCGCTCGCTATCTAGCCAACAAGCCAAATCTCAAAATCGTGATTTTTGGCTTCCTGGATGCCCATTAGCCCTGATTATTTATCTTGGCCTTTGGACCAGCAGATCCGTGTAATCCCTTGGGGTTGGATCCGCAGAGCCGGGAAAATCTTAAAAACGATTTTGGCAGTCGCTTTCATGAACGCAAAGCCAACCCAAGGAAAGGAGGTGATGGGGAATAACAGAAGACAGAAAAGTGCAAGACAAACAAGAATCCCCTCGTGATATAAATTTGGATGCCCTGAAAATTAGGCAGCGGGGATCCCCTAGGCATCTAAACTGGGAAATAGACTACGAGATTGGATTGAACTACGAAGTACAAATATTGGGACCAAGATGGATCGTTCCCATTACACGCTCCTTGTTGGTCAGTTTATTGATCAATGGCGTGTCCCACTCCCATCCTATCATCAACGTTTACCTGCCTACCTAGGTAGAGGATCCGTGATGTCTCATCAAGGGGTTCTTCGTCCCCCACGAGCAGAGGCCAGACCAGGCTGCACTTTGCTTTCAATCACTAGAGGCGTGGCACCAAGACCCTAGATAATAGCAGCAATTCGAACCTCGCGGAGATAACTAGGGAAGACAAGTATTCCTCCTCAATTTCCCAGGGATTTGAAGACCGACCCTGATCCAGTGGAGGCACCATCCATGTAAGAGTCTCATAATCGGCCCATCTCCAACCCGGGTTTCCACTGCTCATCAAATGAAGGATGACTCCTGGAGGCTAAGCTTTCTTTTACTTGCTGACCAAGTCAGCTCAGTGCTCGTGATTTCCTGTCTTGCCGTTGTTATGACAGCTGGACCCTGTCTGCCAATCGCCCGCAGTGCCATTTCCTAGAATGGTGATACCGATGTTGCCTTCGTATGACTTGAAGTCAGAAATAAAACTGGGGGTTTACAGCGCAACGTATAACTTATCTGGACGGAGGGTCCTGAAGAATTCAAGATTTTTGGAAGGTCTACCAACGGCACTGAGGATGCTTCCGGACCAACAGCATATCTACCTGGCCTATAAGTTCATTTCCTATGTCAACTATATTATCTCCCAGATAAATATTAACCTCTGATTTTGCCAGATTTACTTTCATACTGTCAATAGCTGCAACTATGTACATACTGTTCACTGGCATCTAGATGTGGAAAGTGCCATCTTGGTCTTGGTTCTGCTTGGGCTTGCAGACAATCCCACTACTACAGTCCACGCCGCACCTTCTAGGTGAGATGTAGCTTATCTGCCCCTTCCTTTCTTGCAAATAGTGTTGCTCTTGGTTTTTATCAAAACTTATACACCCAACTTAGCAGACCTTGGTCTGTAAACTCCTTAGCACCCCCATCAATACATTCGTTTTTTCGAATAACGTGTTCTTATACATTATTCAAACAGCTACTTCTATCCATCTTTACATTCCACTCCAGGAAATTAAACTTTCTATTTTTAGCATGTCCCAGTCTTCGTCGCAGAATGCCACTGGTCAGCAACACATTACTTTCGGTGATCCTCTAGTCACAGCGAGACACCCTCGGAGTCCTCCAAAGCAAGGACCGTCAAGTGACGAGATCACACCTGCTCCCAGCCAGCGCTCTACGGGAACACAGACAACTCTCCGGCCGCCAGCGGGTATGAATGAAACCTATAGCACTTCGATTTTCTGCTATAGAGGACACTCTGTACCGATTTTAGCAAACACCAGGAAAGCTTACGAAAATTTGCCGGACTATTGTGCTGGCGTAACTACACAGCTTCGAATAACCGAGGATTATGTTCCCTTTATGTTTCATGTAGGTCGCGTGCCTTGAATTTCCGATGTGGATTCGACTCTAATTTAATTAGCCCAAGACTCTACAGGATTATGGTAATGACTCGAGGGATCCCGAGACACTCACTTGGGCCGATTTGCAGGCTGTGCATGGGAATGCAGCTCACGTTGATGATATCAATTTTATGCGTTTCCGTGACCTTCTCCAAAAGCTGTTACAGATACAGCACCAGCACCGCGTGTTACTCATTGATATAAAGGTAGTATTCAACCACTTAATCTCCCATTTGGGGCTGGGAAAACAAAACTAAGAAATAGGACAACAATAGTCAAGACGCCACCCCCAAGATGTTTTTGGAGTCATCAACCACGAATTGACTAATAGTGGGCAGCCGAGGGCCATTTGGCGGACAAGATTGGTTATCTGCATCCCTACTGACGAGTATATTGCGTTTTGCGACACTCATCTTCCAGGATTCGCGGTCGTATTGAATTGCCGTAGTTTGAGTTATGCGAGAGATATTATGAAGAATCCGGCACTTATCCATTTCAAAATTGACCGCGAGATCCTCATTTGTCAAGACGGAACACGTTTCGTGAAGGAAGCATCGAAAAAGAACCGACAGCTTTACACAGAGATAGTGAACGACGATAACGAGATGAAGTGGTGCATTCGACATCAGCTTTATGGAATAATCACTGATCATCCGAGGCACCTGGATGGTCTATATTGGGACTTGGAAAAAAACAGACCCCCTTGGAATAGAGTTCCCACCAAGTCGCTGATTCCCAGGAGAACAAGACTGAGTCGTAGTCTTGTGGCAGCTAGCTCTCGGATAACCGACGACAGATCAAGACGTGCTTTCACCAAAAGTCGATTCCCCCTTTCAAATAGAACCTACCCAGCACCAGCACCAGAAAAAGAAGAAGAAGAAGAAGGAGGAGGAGGAGGAGGAGAAGCAGATAGCCATGCTGCCGACACAAGCAATAGCGAACAAGGAGGTGCTACATCGGGCTCTATTGGTCCAGCCAACACGCTGTCAAGTGGTGATGCTTCAACCAACACTTCTGCGAAGACTGGACCTCTCAGCAGCAACCCCCTAGATAACAATCAGTCAAGCGATGGTCCTGAGGGTAGTAGCTCTGCGAGAACTACTACTGGAAATCATCGTGGTACTATATCTACACCAGCCACGGGGGGTGCTGCTAGTTCAGGACAGTGAGATTCGGAGCTCGAAGCTTTTCGTCGCACTTAATACCCATAAGGGACCCTTTTGCTTTTAGTGAACCGTATGTAGTTTAGTCTAGATTACCAGAATTAAGCTCTATCGCTACCTAGTCTCAATAGTTTGAATAGTAACCGGCTAATGTAGGGCAAAAAAACAACAACAACGATCAAGTTAGTGCTCAATAACGATTGGCTTCATTGAGGCTATAAATACATACATACATATCCAGCCAGCCCGACTCATATGATCCTTGCCGTAGGTATACCAAACATTACGTATATGTAGATAAACATCAATCAGTAGATATAGAGTACAGTACGGAGTAAATCCCATTCCCATCAACGTATGCAAACAGTTGAGGTAATATGAGAGAAAAAGCGGGACGGACGGAAAGAAAAAAAAAAAAGACAAAAATGAATATTGCATTCCAGGCAAAAAAGGGTTGAAGGTAATAATAATAATAATAATAATAATGATAAGCATAGACAAGAAGAAAAAGGGCGTGTGAGATGGGATGGGATGGGTTGGGGTATAAAGCAGTTAGTCAGTCCAGCGTCGAAACGGGCAAAGAGATCAGAAAATGAACAGAAAGGAAAATGGCAAGGAAGTAAATAGAAGTGAGGAATGTACGTCGTTGAATGTGGACAGAAGAAGGTCGTGCATGGGTGGAGATGAGGAAAACAGAAAAAAAGTGAGAAATGACATAATGTATCGATGGTATTTTCAAACCAAGTGAAGAAACAGAAAAGTAATAAACAAGCGCCTTGTATATGGTACCCCGGAAATGAGAACTTTCCTAATATATAAACTAAGAAAAAAACGTATCATGTCATCATGAGTTTGGTTGTTCGCCTTTCTGGGAATCGGCGAGCACTAGGTGGTCCGTGGGGACCGCCTGGTGGGAGATGAGGGTAGGGACCATCGCGGGCTCCAGGTGGGGGGCGGAGGCCACGGCCTCGACCTGGGTAGCCTGGGGGAGGATGATGCCCGCGGGATGGGGGAGCGAGAGGAGAGGAGGGTAGGGCAGGACGACCAAAGCGATGGGGGGACATGGCGGCTGCTGCGCGTCTGGCGTCACGTTCGCAGTATACGAGGCCGTTCCACTCGAAGTATTCGCCCTTGAGGTCGATATGACAGGTACGACAACGGAGACATTCTGGGTGAAATTTTTGGCGATCGTTAGGCCCACGGCCAGTTCGTTCGTTCGTCTCGAGGTACTGGCCTTCAATCCCCGTGTGGCATGTGGCGCATAGTGAACCGTTGCGCTCGTGATAGTGCTGGGCGCAGTAGGGGCGGTCGTTGAGGACATAGAAGTCAGCGGTTTCGAAGGGGCCGCGGCATTGGAAGCAAACAAAGCATGCTCGGTGGTATCGACCAGTTAGACGGCCGTCAGCGGAGGACATAGACTTTCCTACAATCATCTCGCCGCAGCCTCGACAAGGGCCTCGAGGACGGGGTGTTTTCGGGTGGGTGGCAGGTTCTGTGGCAGACCGGGTCATCGGTGGTTTTTTGGGTAGATCTCCTGCGCTTGGAAGCTTCTTGTCGGGAATAAGACAGAGACTACCCTTCATAAGAGCCGGGTCTGTTGGGGAGTCGGGGCTGAAGAGAGGGTCCGGAATCCGTGGTGGTTCAAGGCTCGTAGGACTTTCTGTGTGGATTGGCTCGTCTAGAACGGAAGTTGATTGAATGCCTGTCTTCAGTCCCTCTAATACTGGACGAAGACGACCTTGGTCAGAAGGTTTCGGCCGCGACATGCTTGCATCGGATTGAATGCTGGACAAGGAGGTGCCGCTGCGAGTCTCTGAAGGAGAGTATTCTGAAGAATTTGTGGAAGCTTCCACTGCTTCATCGGAAATATCGAGGCCAAGTGCGCGCGCAAAGTTAGAAACTGAAAGTGCGCTTTCGCTGGTGGCATCTGAGTTCTTCCTGCACATCTCATCGCGGCGGTCGTGGTGATCTGGAGGATTCGGTTGTAGGAAATCGGAACCTGAGGGTTTGAAAGCTTTGTATTCGATTTTGGCAGACCCAGCCGGTGATACTGACCGGACATCGATTGGGTCAGGTAGGTCAATTGGAGGTCCGTACGTACTTTGTGCCGGACTACTGAAAAACAATTCTGTAGACGCACGGGAACCGCTGAAGCGATCTGAATTGGCATTTGAGGATACGCGCAATGGACTTGCGGCAGGTTTTTCGATTTCCGCCTTCAGACTAGCCCTGCTTGCCTCAAAATCGAACCCGCCGTGAACAACTTCACCCTTGCCATTCCGCTTGACTGGTATATCTGACATCGAGGAATCGGAAAGGACGGAATGGTGCAGAAAATTCCGAGGCGAAGGAGGCATCGGAGGGATCTCTTCCTCATATTTATATCCGGCGCGGGTCATGCTTCCAAAAGAAGGTCGTCGACTGGACATCGCAGTTGACCGTTTAGAGTTTCGATCTCCATATCGAGTGCTAGCTAGTGAGGTCCTGTAACTACTTTTGCTCTCGATGGAAACGGTGTGTTTATGCGTTTTGGATCCATATGCGGAGCTGTCATTTGTTGGTATTGGAGGAGGCGGTGGGTGCTGATCACGCGAATCAAGCGGTAAGTGCGCACTGCGAGGTAGGGGATCAATATCCGTACGCATTGCTTCAGTAAACTCGGGTGAGGGAACAGGAGGCGCCGAGATGGCCTCTTTTAGTGTCATTCCACCGACTCGGCGCTCGGACATGGATCGAGGGAGCGGAAAATTTGGGATGCCATCTCCACTACTCTCGGTGTCTGGGGACTGCGGTTCCACTGGGAGAGGCGAAGTTTGGCTCCTTTGCAGGGCGCGATGTGGTGATCGCGACCCAGAAGATGTTGAAAGGGGAAACGGAACCAGAGCATCAATGCTCCCCAACCCGCTGTTGGGATGCAGAAAGGGTCGATCTGGAAGAGTGGTTACTCAAATGCCACGAAGACGGCGAATCATCTTATTTGATAAGAGGTCAACACATACTCGCCCTGAGAGGATCAATCCGTGCTGGTAATTCAGCCTTTGCAAACTTGGAAGACCATAGCTCCTCGCTCCTTTTTGATTGCGCCCGAAAGCCCAATTTCGGAGGCGGTGGAGGAGGAGACGATGATGTTTGTGATGTTTCTATTGGGGCACATTAGCAATAGGCTTTGTAGGATAATTTGCATTGAATCGATGAGGGATCCGATCAAGGTACCGATGGCAGGTTTAGCGCCGCAGACGTGGTCTCCCATGGCGGAGATATCGACGTTGATCCCGCAACTGGAACACTTAATGGCGGGCAAATCGCCCATGCCCATTCCTGCCTCCATGACGGTCGGCACGAGGGAATCCAAAAATATCAAGTCCTACCCAGCCGTTATAAAAACCATCCGATTCGGTAGACTCCTAGGTCGAGTCGCTCATTGGTCGTTCATTCGTGTGAGCAATAAATTCGTGACACAAGGCGGAAACTGTTGTCCCTATGGCAAAGTGGCAATCTCGATCAACGCGGGAAAGAGAGGGATGCAGGTTAACCTGGGCTGTCAGGGAAATTTGATGATGATGATTATTGAGGTGGTGGTGTGTGATTGTGATGGTGATGGTGGATTGGGGAGGTTGAAGAAGTGAGGAGAACCCAGGAGGATTTACCATAACAACAAGAAGGATAAGATCCTTTGAGTTAGTGGCCAATAAAGTGAGCTGGGATCAAGAAGAATAATAAATAATAATATACGTATAATATAGTTAACAATAATAACCTAATTTAGCACCAAGCCTGGGTGGGACTAGGACCAGAAAAGGCCCTCGTGTAGGTTGTGGATGATCCGAGTAGAAGAGAAGGTGGAAAACGGTGGGAAGGTTGGTTTGGTTGTAACTAACACGCGTTCTCAACGTCAGCCTTTGATGTTAATCATTCTTGAACATCCATCACTACTCCTACAACACATCCATTACTGTGGTTAAGATGGCAATAAAATTGGATGATGATTATATGGCTTTGCACAATCTTTGAACAAACCCAATTTACTCCTCGAAATTCGAATAATCTACGGAGTACCTATGATCATCGATCGCCCTGGAGGTGACGGTGGAGTAATTATTTTTATCAAAGTCTCCCCCTTTTTCTCGTTCTTTTTCTTGTCACTAGTTTGCCGTTTAAGTGCAGAGATCCAAAAGGAAAGCTAACCAAATTGCTAGTCTACTTTTTAACCCCTGAGCCGTCGTTCTCTCTTGCAGATCCTCCTTCAGGGGCAGCTTCAGAACGCAACCGGCCATCCGTGCTATAGTTAACTATACTCCCATCCTCTGTCAGTGTGTCACTCCATCAACCTTGTTGCTTCTCTGCATCGCGCTGGTTCTGGTTTCGGTGCCACAGTTGTCTTGCATATCCTTGTCCGTCCGGGGTGCACGAGCCCCTCTGCCTCATCCTGAGGCTTGAGCTAGCTAGACGGGCGCTGGACTTGCTTTTTCCTTGCCCGTCCGAGGCCCCTGGCACCCCACACACTACACTCAGGCAGACTGCATTCAGGCCCAGGCACGATGGATACTCCAACAGTAAAGACAGAGAGGGTTATTATTAACAATCACAGATAGAGAAGGTACGCTGTACGGAGTTCCAAGGAACCAGACGGTTTCAAAATTCCCGGAAGGGAGACGAACTTTTAGCTTGTCCACCCTGTCCAAGCTCGGTTACTTGTAGCCGTCTAGACACTGGGCTATGCAAGTCGAGACCTGTCAATCAGGAGTCAAGATACCTCTGATTACTTTAGTGTACAGAGTCATAGTATGATTATTATTATGCTTATTGTTAATGTTCTTGATTTCATATTTACTGTACTCGCGCAACAAAGTGAACATGACCAAACAAACACCTTTTAAACTTTCCAGGTTGCCTCTGCTCACGACGGTGCTAAAAACTATCTCTTGTTGAAACGCCATGGAAAAAAAAGCCGCAGCCAGCGGGCCTCGTATCAGGGCGTTACTTCGTAGATATTAGTTGGTTCCCAGCATGGGTTAATCCCTGTGCCGTCATCCGTGGTTCAAAACGCTCGAGATTAAGTACTACCGCTATTCATCGTTTACGGGGCAACCGCGCATTATACTAGTATTCCTGGCCTATCTTAAATGCGCCCCGAGAACCGAGCACGGCTGGTAATTTTCTCATAGAAAGGAGCCTTGCGGGTGACGATTTATGGCTAGCTGACGTATTTGGAGTCGAATGTTATCGATCCATAGACATCGTACGTTCTAATCGATAGACATGTGTCCAGACTGCAGAGCGTAGGGAGTCCAGCCGTTGAGAATAGAACATTTGGCCCCATTCCTACCAAGCTTGGATGCACCACATAATCCTGGGCCAGCCTGATTCGGACACTGCTAATTTCTGGAAGGCCCTGCTCAAAAATTCCCGTCTCTGTATCGACAGAGTACTCTGTACAAAGTCGTAATCAGAACTCGCATAACATCAGCACATGTCTTCTAGCATCAATCTCCTATACTCTATAAGTTATAAATAACATGTTCATAAATCCTACAGAGTAGGCAGTGAGGCACCAGTAGGACACGGGCTTTCTCCACTTTCTCTTGGCTTTTGTGATAATCAACTGGACTTAGATTAGCGAGAAACAGATTTCCCAGAGACCCCAGTAAGAGGGGATGGATCTGAGACAAAGAGAATACATACCTAAAGAGAAGAAGCACGGGGTGAAGCAAGTAGATTGAACCTCAAGTTGCCAAATCCACTCTTCACAATGAAACGCACTTGAGCAGACCAAACTGGAGCATTCAGGGGTTAAACTGCGAACCATGGAACGCCATCCGAGGTTTCCGCCGTACAAAAATTGGGGGTCTGTCTTGGAAGAATTCTAGAATTCGAAATCCCTCTTGAAATGCTATTCCAGGAGTTGGAACTATTAAATAAGTACAGCAGTTTAACCAAATAACGTCCTTCCAATTACGTACTTTGGGACTTGAGATCTTGATCAGTGGTATCCTGTGAGTAAGCCAATGCTTTACCGGAGTATAATTGGTAGCCGGCAGTACTCTGATGACCCTGCGAATGGGCTTGCCAACTCAACAAACACGGAGCAGGAGGTATCCGAAGAAGCTTCCGGCTCTTGTTGGATGGGATGGTACTTAGGTAGGTGGTCTTTTGGCTATTCCCGGACTAGCGTATAGAAATTCATCTTGTTGAAGCAGTGGTAGGCTGAGCTCTCTCTCAATGGATCCTTGGGCCGCGAAACCTTGGAAACAACGCATGCCAAAGGAACTCCGTCACTGTCAATAACAGGCATGGTGGAACACAATCTGGAGAACACAATCATGGGGAATGTTGGGGAGTAGTGAGAACGTAGAGGATCGTCCAGCGACCACGAAGCGAATGCTAAGTATTTCCTCTAGTTATTCTGAGGCCCGTCTCGTTAAGCGCGTAGCGATAACCCCAGCAAGGACCATGAGGGGCAATGGAGGGAGGGGTATACGCTGGAGTAGACTCTGAGTACTCCGTAGAGGCCCAGGGAAGCAGGAATGGCGGGAAGTGCGTCCGGAGCACTTCAGTCCTCTCCTCTTCGTATGGACTATGGAGTAACACTCACCGCAATTCCTGGCCCCACTCTATTGGGGAGCCATTTGCCAGGATCTCGAGATGATTGGGCTGGATAGAAAGTGGTGCACAGGCAACTAAGGGGTAAGCTGGAGTTGGCGGAGTGTGGGCAGTCGACGGGTGCGGATAAGACTAAACGTGACTGTCCGGAGTCGATTGTCCCGCTTTAAAATCACCCTCTCTCCTCCTTCCGTTTTCCTCGTTCTTTCTTCTTCCCTCCCCCATATCACCCCATTGACTTTCCCCTCAACTTACCCCCTCTGCTCTGCTCCCTCATCTTCTGATCACACTCTTACTCGAGGCGTGATCTCTGAAAAACCGGCAAAATTTTCGCCACACTTCTTAACTCGTGAGTGCACCTCTTTCCACTTGAGGCTCTGTTGTTCTCTCTCTCATTATGCCGTTACTCTTGCTAACCACCTCTCTATCCAGACGGCACCACCCGTTCAACGGCCGGCGCTCATCCAACCGTGGTGGGGCACCGGAAAACTCCATATACATCCAATAAACAATTCCTGTGTCCACAGAACATCCTCAATCCCGCCATCTTCGTCAATTACCTGTTCCTGAATCTCACTTGATTTCTGTGAACACAATGGCCCCCCACGCAAGCTCGGATGTTGCTGCCAATGGCACCGTGAACGGGTCCGCTCGTGCCTCTAGTGCCCCTCTGTTTACCGTCAACTCGCCCAATGTCGTCTACACCGACGCCGAAATCAAGAGTACCTACACCTACCATACTACTGATGTCACCCGCTCTGCCGATGGCAAGTTTGTTGCTACTCCCAAGGCGACTAACTACCAGTTCAAGGTGGACCGTAAGGTTGGCAAGGTTGGTATGATGCTGGTTGGTTGGGGTGGAAACAACGGTTCCACCGTGACTGCTGGTATCATTGCCAACCGTCGTAATCTCTCCTGGGAGACTAAGGAGGGACAGCGCGATGCCAACTACTACGGCTCCGTCGTCATGGGTTCCACCATCAAGCTCGGAACTGATGCCAAGACTAGCGAAGAGATCAACATTCCCTTCCATGACATGCTGCCCATGGTCCACCCTAATGACCTGGTTATTGGTGGTTGGGACATTAGCAGCTTGAACCTCGCTGAATCTATGGACCGTGCACAGGTTCTAGAGCCTACTCTCAAGCAGCTTGTCCGCAAGGAGATGGCTGAGCTGAAGCCCCTGCCTAGCATCTACTACCCGGACTTCATCGCTGCCAACCAGGAAGACCGTGCTGATAACATCCTGGAGGGTTCCAAGGCTTCTTGGGCACATGTTGAGAAGATCCAGAGCGACATCCGGTAAGCTTTATTAGCCGATCATGGCTTTCCGGCCCTTTTGGAATTATTGTTGCTAACCAAAAAAACGCAGCAACTTCAAGGCTGAACACGGTCTCGACAAGGTGGTTGTCATGTGGACTGCCAATACTGAGCGCTATGCTGACATCCTTGCTGGCGTTAACGACACCGCTGACAACCTGATCAGCGCTATCAAGGCTGGCCACGAGGAGGTTTCTCCCTCGACTGTCTTCGCAGTTGCCTGTATCCTGGAGAACACTCCCTTCATCAACGGATCTCCTCAGAACACTTTCGTTCCTGGTGCTCTTGATCTTGCTGAGAAATACAATGCTTTCATTGGTGGTGATGACTTCAAGTCTGGCCAGACCAAGATGAAGTCTGCTCTGGTTGACTTCTTGATCAACGCCGGTATCAAGCTTACCTCTATTGCCAGCTACAACCACCTTGGAAATAACGACGGCAAGAACCTAAGCTCCCAGAAGCAGTTTCGCTCCAAGGAAATCTCCAAGTCCAATGTAGTTGACGACATGGTCGCTGCTAACAGCATCCTCTACAAGGAGGGGGAGCACCCCGACCACTGTGTGGTGATTAAATACATGCCTGCTGTTGGTGACAACAAGCGTGCTCTTGACGAATACTACGCCGAGATCTTCATGGGCGGCCACCAGACCATCAGCTTGTTCAATATCTGCGAGGACTCGCTCCTCGCCTCCCCTCTGATTATTGATTTGGTTGTCATTGCCGAGATGATGACCCGTATCAGCTGGAAGGCGGACGAGTCTGCTGAGTACAAGGGCTTCCACAGCGTTCTCAGCGTCCTGAGCTACATGCTCAAGGCCCCTCTGACTCCTCCTGGCACCCCCGTTGTCAACGCTCTCGCCAAACAGCGCAGCGCCGTGACCAACATCTTCCGTGCCTGTGTTGGATTGCAGCCTGAGTCTGACATGACGCTCGAGCACAAGCTTTTCTAAACTCGCCGCTTGAATAGGATGTATCCTATCGGCACGTTTAGTTTTATCCACCAAGACTTTTCGTCTGACCAGCCGACCCTAGCCTTTCGTTAATACTCCAGAATGATTTGATCGCAGTTCTTCATAATTGCACCTATCGTAAAGTGAAGTCGTTGAATCGTAGTTAAGTAAGATGTAAGTAGATACTAGACCATAGTTGTAGGTCCAATCTAGAAAAAAAGTAAGTATTACCACTCCCTCCAAATGTGCGTTTTTACCAGTGGAGAACCATTTGGATAGAGGTGCTGCTTGTGATTGCATTCTTCCCCTCTTTTACTTCTTTTTGGGACTCTTACGATACCTCGGCTGTCCCTACACTAGTTCGGAAGGGGCTCGTCATTCATCCGTCAAGACTGGACATACATAACACAAGCTACCTTGGGGATGCGTAGGTATTGTTGGGGACCTTGGGGATGTGGCGGACGTATACTTAAAGCGGACGGAGGAGGACCTTGACTCTACTCGGGCTTTTTTTTTTTGTGTGTGTGTGTGTGTGTGTGTGTGATAGTTTAATATATTGGCAAGACAAGCTTTTCATTTTCTCCTTGCTATTCATATTTACATATCAACGACGCAACGAATGCAGTCGCCCTGCTTCATTTGCTCAAAAGCAGTGTTGATCTTATCCAGAGGCTCACGGTGGGTGATGAACTCATCCACCTTTAGGTCGCCATTCAGGTAGTCGTCGACCAGACCGGGGAGCTGAGTGCGGCCCTTGATGCCTCCAAAGGCACATCCCTTCCATACGCGACCGGTGACGAGTTGAAATGCTATAAAATTAGCTGAGTCAGTGAAGCACATCAACCAAGCGTCTCTAGAGAAGATAGATAGGCTTACGTCGGGTGGAAATCTCCTGGCCAGCAGCAGCAACACCAATGACAATGCTCTCACCCCATCCCTTGTGGCAGGCCTCCAGAGCAGCGCGCATCACTCCAACGTTACCAGTGCAGTCGAAGGTGTAGTCGCAACCGCCGTCGGTCATCTCGATGAGCTGTTCCTGGATAGTCTTGCCGTTGAGCTTGGTAGGGTTGACAAAGTGGGTGGCACCGAACTTGCGGGCCCATTTCTCCTTCGCGTCGTTGACATCAACCGCAATAATCATACCAGCCTTGTTCTTAACCGCACCCTGGATCACAGATAGGCCAACGCATCCAGCGCCAAACACGGCGATGTTGGAGCCCTCCTCGACCTTGGCGGTGACTACAGCGGCACCGTAACCTGTTGTGATACCGCAGCCGAGAAGGCACGATCGGTCGGTGGGGATCTTGGGGGTGACGGCCACAACGGAAATGTCGGCTACAACAGTGTATTGAGAAAAGGTAGAGGTTCCCATAAAGTGCAGCAGATCCTTGCCACGAGCCTTGAAACGAGATGTTCCATCAGGCATAACACCCTTACCCTGTGTGGCGCGGATCTTACCGCAGAGGTTGGTCTTGCCAGACTTGCAGAACTTGCACTCGCGGCACTCGGGAGTGCTACATGCTGTTAGGATTTATTTGCAGCTATTAGAATCTTGTTGGTGTACTTACTAGAGAGCAATCACATAATCTCCAGGCTTCACAGAAGTGACACCCTCACCCACGGACTCGACGATACCGGCGCCCTCGTGACCGAGGACAACGGGGAAAGCACCTTCAGGGTCCTTACCAGAGAGTGTGTACGCATCTAGGGGCCATCAGCGGAATTTCCAACTGATTCTGGTGCCTCTGGTCTACAAACCTGTGTGGCAAACACCAGTGTGAAGAATTTGGATGCGAACTTCGTGGGCCCTGGGAGGTGCGACCTCAACTTCTTCGATGGAGAGGGGCTCTCCGGCGGCCCACGCTACCGCTGCCTGCAGAGCTTCAGTTGGTACACAATTCGAAACTCTGTATGTCTGTTTGATTTTTTTTTTTTCTTTTTCTTCTTCTTACCTTGCAAGTGATAGTCTGTAGAGATTAGTATCTGCCAAAGCTTGAATAATAGTAGAAAGAAAGAAAGAAAGAAAAAAAAGCTTACCTTTCCTACAGTGCTGGCCATGGGGATAAGATTCTATAACCGGGGATTATGGAAAGAGGGAAGAATGAAGAGAGAAGAAAGAAATTGAAGCTGATAAAAACGAACAACAAGAATATCAGGAATCGGAGAGAGACGGGGAATAAATTGCTGGAAAAGGACTGAATGGGGGAAAAGTGGATAATCTACTGGTGACGATGGAGGGGGAGGAGAGAAGACTCAGAAGAGAGAGTTGCCGATGAGGGGCAGGTTTTCCCCCCCCCCATCTCTCTTGCTTGACGATTAATTAGATACATATCTGAAGATTCCTTTGCTCCAGTTCCATTCTCTTCCGTCTCGATAATAATCAGGTCTATGCGTTCGTTCCCCTCATTCTCCGCAGGCTCATCGACTCATTGTATCAGGAGACCACGGAAAGTTGGAAAAATTGGAGCTGTTCGGGTGGGCTTCAGGAAAGAGTCGATTTCTCCTCATTTGGAGTCGAGATGCGCTCTTCAACCCAAACAGGTAAACCTTTCCGTCATCGTCAACATGTTATAGTTTATCAAGCTTGGGATCTGTATTGGTGTCTATTAAATGCACAGATGAACAATAAGATAAAAATGACCATGACTCGCTTTGTTATTCAGCCTGGTCTCAGCCACTCGAGCTACCTGCGGATAATCCTCCAACTCGTATTTCTTCTTCTGCCTTTATTAGGCATCGACCTTACAACACCGTATATTAGACACAAGATTGTAACGAACATGTTGACACGAGCATAACTAATTAATTTTCTACGCCTTTTTTAAAAAAAAAAAAAAAAAAACCACCATGTTTAAAGGCTTATCCAAGTGGCTTTTTGGCTCGACGGAATACCAAATTCTTCTAATCGGAAACGACGCGTCCGGAAAGACAACGCTTTTGTACCGACTGAAGTTTGGTGAAACCGTCACGACTATTCCGACAATCGGGTTTAATGTCGAGACAGTAGAGTATCCCAGGGGATGGAAATGGACATTCTGGGATATCGGAGGTAAGAAAGTTGCAGATATTCGTGCAAGTTGGGGCCTGATGTGATTTCGCCAGCAGGATGCAACAAAATCCGGCATCTGTTGCGGCACTATATCACTCCGAATACCCTGGTCATCTTCCTCCATGATTGCGATGACCCGTTTCGACAGGAGTTCCCGGATTGGATGGGGGTGTTTCTCGACGATATGATTAAGCGGGAAGGTAAATATCTTTGGATTCTGTTCAACAAGCAGGACACTCTGCCCCCTGACGATGATGGCGAGTTTATCGGTAACGTACGCAAGATGTACGAGGATGAAATGTCCAGGTACAAAAAGGATATCTGTTACAAAATCCTTGATCATAAATTAAGTGCAAAGACGGGGGAGGGGCTGAATGAGCTCTTGGTTGAGCTCCACAACACCATGTCAACTTCTGAGTTAAACAGTAGGCGTCAATTGAAGTCTGTTAGCAACCCTAATGTCCATCAAGACGCCCTTTCCCGGGAACAGCTGAAGAGTCTCATTGAGAAAGAAGGACGAGAAGATACTATCGATGCTCAGGCTTTTTGGATATCCTTTCTGGAGGCGGATCTATCGGCATGGGACCATCGCAGCCATCTCAAGGCAGGGTACATCATTGCTGTAGAGTCAGCTGGGAAAGGCGAGAGTATTTTCACCACGGCAGATACTTTTATCGCACATTTAAAGCGACTGAAGGAGATGCAGCCGGACAAATTCAGAAATACAGAACATCGGTGAGTTTTGTTCCTCTCCGTGCTCAGAAACTATATGTACTAAACCCTCGCAGGACGATGACAATTTTCTGGCTCGTCCAGCTCCAGCTCGCAATCTGGAACTATAAGCTGGACAAGCAACTCGACCAGTTCCCATCCCGGGACGATTTCCAGGAAGTCCTACTACACACCCCATCACTCAGAGATACAAAGCTTTGGAGTATATACTACACAAAAGACCGTCTATTCTCCCGCGAAGCTCGCGAGGTCTGGACAGCCCCAGACCTACAACCTTTCCCAGTCCTGCAACCGAGCCCTGCACCGGACGCATCCGCCCCAGGAACTCAAGAGGACCCGGAACGCCTTCTACGCTTCGGGTTTGCTGTTACCCAACACATTATGGCCTCGGATCTACGTCGCGGCCAGGTCATCAAAGAAGCCCTCGCCTCCTTACAAGCAACCACGATCCGCCTCCGAGCAAAAGACGCCAGAATCCCGCCATATTCAGAAACCCAGGCGTATTTCTGGATCCAGATAGCACATGCTGCTTTGCGCTCACTAGAGAACGGGGACAACCCTTCCGAATCTATGATGGAGAAAGCTTCCCCCGTGCTTCCACCCGCGCAGCTCAGCTTCTCAAATTTCACTCTGCTTTTTGATATCACGCCGGAGACTTGGAAGAAGTATTATTCGGGCAAGGTTTGGGAGAGTATTGCTGCGCGAAGGGAGTTCGTTCCGCCTGATCTTAAGCCTTTGCCGAATCTTATTGGGGTTTCTTCTGAGGCTTATGAAAAGGGAGTGATGTGAGGACGAGAAAAAAAAATTGGTGTGCATGGACATGCTTTGGAAGAAATGTATATATATATATATATAGCATATGAATATCCTAGATATATCCACAGCAGAAGATCATACTGCAACGCGTCATCTAAGTAAGCAAACAGTATTCCGTAAAGAATTAAGCCACAACCAACATGCAACCATACTGTACCTTTTCATCATCCCCTAGGTCCAACCTGAGTATGCAACCCGCAACACCAACACGTCACGTTTTTGGAGCCCAAGCTCAAGCTCAATCCCAACAATCCACAGCAAATACATCCATAAAGAAAAGGAGGTTATCATTGAGAGTCTAATTTACACAGCCCGCGAACTACTCACAGCCGAGCAGCGCAGCGCAGAACATAACAAGCACCTTTCGAACACAAAGCAAAAGAAAATAATAATATTAACCCGATATTTTTTGAAACTGGTATGATTTACCGCCCAGGCAACTGGCCACTTTGCATCATGGCGGCGTTCTGCTCCTGGAATCGCTCATTCAGGCGGCCGGAACTCTTCAGGAACTTGTCCACGCAGCGCATGACACAGCCTTCTTCGCGGGAGATGAGGGATTTGGTGGTGAAGTCGTTGACGCAATCATCGAAGCAGCGCTGGACGAGTTTGGAGTACATCTGGAGAGAGAAAGCGAGAGAGTATGCGGTTAGAATTCGTTCCAGGAGTTGAATGGTGAAGTCCGATATTTGATAGTTTGATGGAAGAAGGTAGGTATGGAAGCTTAGGGCTTGAGAACGGGGAAAACGTACGGTCATGAATTCCTTCATCTGCTTTCGCTCCATGCGGGCAGCAAACTCGCGCTGTTCGGAAGCTGTAAGTCTGGTGCAACGGTTAGTTGAGATTCTTCATTCCCAGCTTGATCTTGGAGGAGGTTGTTGTGGTTGTTTTTTTAAGATAGACTTGAAGGACCGTGGATGGCAAGGGGTGTACTAACCCGTCCATTGTGACAATGGGTGTTGGAATCTGAATTAATATAAAAGGGGAGAGTGGTAAGGAATAATAAGAATAATAATGATATTATTATTCGGTCTCTTGATACTTCAGCCAAAAAAAGCTCCGAGAGCTTCTCAGCGGAACCGCAGGCTCTTCAATCACATGACATCACATGATCTATTCACCTGATTAATAAGCAAGACACGTGATGTGCAGTGCATGACTCAGCGTCCGAATTTGGTTTAGGTGGACATTACCTAAATAGGAAAGGGATGAAAAGTGCCGCGGGCAAATTTTTCTACAAGATTATTTCCACATTCCTCTGCTCTGCTTACATCAGGTGGTTTAAAAAAAGAACAGTGCCACTCCGAGTCTGGGCCCCATTTTATTGGCATGAACGGATCCATGGTTGCGAGACTGGCTGGAACGTTGTCTACGGAGTACGGCGATGGATGGGAGAGCCAAAGTCAAGATGATGGCTTTCCGGGATCGACCGTCACCACCAATAATAATCATAGGGAGGAAACCTCTGGGACTCTTCGACTCACAAGAACATGATTTGCATCTGCAAAGTGCGAGGGGAGAAGAAGGGCCTTGGGGCCAGCCACGCTAGGTCCTTCTAGGTGTCGCGGTAAGGTGCTGAGAGCGCGGCTGTGCGTTTGAATAGCACTGCTGCTCGAGGGTCACATCTACCTATACCGTCCCGTCAGCCTTTGTCTGTGTTGCTGCTTTTCCTTCAAGTCTCCCAGGGTTACCAATTTTTCAGATTTTCTGTTTCTACAACTGAAAATCTGACAACAGTGAAGATCTTCAGAAGACCACGCACAATTCAGCCGGGGGGATATCCGGAATGGATTAATTGTGTACCTAGTCTAGGTCAGCAAGATTCATTAATCAGAAGACCGAGGATCAGTTAGTCCCCTAAATTGAATCCCTAGTGTCATTGAAACCCTGTTGTTCCAGAACCACCTCCTAGTGCTACTAGTCGGGACTCTGAGGATTCATTTCCTTTTTTTTTTTTTTTTTTTTTTTTTTTTTCTACACTGGATCACCGGGTCTGGTTGAGTCGACGTTGTCAGCGCCATACTAACTAATTTCAAGTGGATTAGTAGTAGTAGTAGTACATAGTTAGTTATGTTGTAATATTGTAATAGTAGTAATAATATAAAAGATGTGAATGACTGGTCATCATCATCATCCATAACTAATAAGAATACTTAGCAGCAATAGGTCGTGTGTGCCGCCTATGAAAAGTGTCACTTCTGGTGGCTCCTCCCTCCTCCCCTCCTCTTCCTTCAGTCTCTAGTCTCAACCCACTTTACTTCATTCATTCAGCAATGATATTCATCCTTTTTACATCCCCAGAACTTACCAAATAACCCATTCTTCTCTCCTCTTTTCCCTCCTTTTCCCTCGTCCCTCATCATCCATCTTCAGAGGGGCGGCCAAAGTCTCCCTGTCAGCCCAAGACTAGCCTCCGTCTACTACAAATTATTACCAGTTGTATTTCACTTTCTCTCGCCCTTTCTTACCTCCATCCTTTCCTTTTTCTCTTTTCATCCCCTCCTTCTTCGCCCCTCCCATTCATCCTTTTAGCCCTTTTGTCTTACCCTGTTATTGTTCTTCCTCTCTTATTATCCCCCCCCCCCCCCCCAGTTCTTATCCTTTGCTATTCCCTGTCCGATTTCCCGCACCCCCCCGAAGCCATCGTGTCGATCTACCCTCGCCTTACCCTTGTCACGGTGGGTTGTCGTCGCGGCCGGCGCGGTATTCGCTCCCGCTGCCTTACCACCCCAGTCCTCGTGCTATTTTGGGATACCGTTATCCCAGCCCCGGAATTTGCTGCGCAACGAGGGCGGTGACGAAATAGCCTCCCCGTTAGCCCGTTCGCTCTATTTTTCGAGACAAGGTCGCATCATCCATCCTCCTCCTCTTCTCCTCGTCGCACATATTCCACGATGGTAACTGGAAAATCGCATGCTGGTGCCGAGGCGTTTCAACAACTTCCGCCCACGGCGCCGCAACCTGAACCCATTACTACATCACCACCCTCCCGACGTGATCTTACAACATGGTGGAGGCAGTTTAAGAGGAATACGAGGAAAGATGAGCCCAAAGGTATGTGTGGCGGTACACATCCCTAGACCCCCCCCCCAAGCTAGACTGGTGCGGTGACGTTGAAGAGATAGATGCTTTGGATGCGCTTAGGTTTCGAAGCATCTGTAGTCCAAGAGACTCAGCGCCTGTACCCACGTCTGCTCGGTTGTAGACCCCTGTTACTCGTGGGATACTGACGGATTGACTGGCTTTCAGAGAAAACCCAAGGCATCTTCGGTGTCCCCCTCAAAGTCAGCATTAAATATGCAAACGTTGCTATTTCCCTTACCAATGACAATGGAGAGAGTTTCATCTATGGATATGTACCAATAGTGGTGGCAAAGTGTGGAGTATTCCTCAAAGAAAAAGGTATGAATACCCAGCCGTTGGATGTATCATGGTCAGTGCTGAGACGGACTTCCTTTAGCAACGGATGTGGAAGGCATTTTCCGACTAAATGGATCCGCAAAACGCATCAAGGATCTCCAAGAGATCTTCGACTCACCCGAGCGATATGGAAAAGGGTTGGACTGGACCGGATACACGGTACACGATGCTGCGAACGTTCTCAGGCGCTACCTTAACCAACTGCCGGAACCCATTGTTCCCTTGGAATTCTACGAACCTTTTCGAGAACCGTTGCGCAAGTTCCGATCACGAGCTCAAGAAAATGGACCTTCCTCAGAATCGGAGGCCAACGAACATGCTAAAGCTGTCGCAGCTTACCAACAACTGATTAGAGAGCTCCCAGCTCTCAACAAGCAACTGTTGCTGTACATTCTAGACCTTCTTGCAGTCTTTGCGTCCAAGTCAGACCAGAATCGTATGAACTCGGCGAATCTATCCGCAATATTCCAACCCGGCCTTCTCTCCCATCCCCAGCATGATATGTCGCCAGACGATTACAAGCTCAGCCAAGATGTACTCATCTTCCTTATCGAAAATCAAGATCACTTTCTAGTTGGCATGAACGGTACGGCTGCCGATGAACAGACCATGAAGGAAGTCGAAGGCGGTGTTGTTCGCCCACCAACATCGAATTCGACCATTCGGCGCTCCGTATCAAGCGCCAGCGGAGGAGCTGAAAGCTTCCGGAAGTATGAGAACCTTCGAAGAAATGTTTCAGTTTCTTCAAAGAATTCCCGTACTTCCAACAATCCCTCCAACCCCGCAACTCCAACCTCTCTCGGCGCCGTGGGAGTGCACAGAAGCAACACTTTGCCATCCAAAATGTCACCTGCAATCCCTCCATCAAGACATAGCCGAGTTGTTGAATCCCCAAGCCTGACTTCTCCAAAACCCATCTCTATACAACAATCTCGATCGTCCAGCCGTACGCCTGCCTCGACCGGAGGTAAGGTATTTTCAGCCGTTCCAGGAACCACCAGCTCCGCTTCTGGAGTAGTTTACCTTCATTCGGCCACCGATGGACCGACGCTGAAGGCGCCTTCGGAGAATGACCGTATCACTCAAAAACCTGTGCAGCATGTTGCGTTGCCACCACCTACAACATTCTCCCCACCACCTGCAGCCGTTACACCAACCAAGGAGCGCAAGCTCTCAAGTTTCTTTACTAAATCTCCCCCACCTGCAGGAGAGCTAAAGGAACCACGACAGCCCAATAGGCTGAAGAAGAAGCGGATCCCGGGAAGTACAAACGAGAGTGCTCAAAGTTCATCCCACTCGCTTCAGGCTGCAACTTCTGAGTCAGCGTTAATTTCCCCTCCAACCTCCTCGCAGTGCGAGTCCCAGAATGACAACGGAGGCGCCACTCCTAAACCACCTAACAATGCAGGCTGCGACGAAGTTGGATCTCAACGAGAAGGGAGATCCGATAAACCTGCCGGCCAAGGTGACGGTGGACATCCAACCGCGGATACTTCGCTACGACCTTATGGCTCGCGTACACCGTCAATGAATTCTCGCTCCTCTTTCACAGATTATTCCGATGTCGACCACACTGACGAGGCATCCCGTTCGGAGCGTAAAGAACACCGGCGAAGTTGGCGATTTCCCCGCTCGGCCAAGCGGAGCAATGAGCATATTGGACTTGGCTTGGGCTCACCTCCTCTCCTGGCCTCCACCCCTGGGGCTGATCGCAGTACCAGCTCTATTGGCAGCTGGCACCACTCGAGTAAAAGCTCTCCCTCCGATCTCCAGCAATTTGTGAACGATCCATCACATCATCCGCTAAGTTTGGATGCTGAAGTCCACAACGGTACTTCCAAGGAGATGTCACTGAGCTCGGAGCCAGAAAAGCGAAGCCTTTTCGGCAAGTTCAAGGCTAAGGTTGCTCAGGTACGAGACGGTGTCAAGGATTCGGGAGAGCGGGACCGAACAAGAAGTCCCGTTCACTCCGAGTTTGAAAAGTCTACTTCGACTCGAACTTTGTCTCCGTCAAGCAAGGACAATCTAGTCAAGGACAGCCTAGCCAGCCGTCCTCCTCCGATTGATGTGAGCAGAGATCCAAAGGAAGGGTATATCAGCTCGCCAGTCTCCCCTCTGCCTAGCTCAGGGTTACCTCCGGCAATCCCTGAAGAGCCCCGCACCCCTGAAAGTCCTGTTGCCCAAAAGAATATCCTCGCTGAGGTTCCTGATACTCCTGAGGTGCCTGCTGCCGAAGCTCCTCCAGCGGAACCCAAAACCGAAGGAGTCGAGGAGGCCAGATCTTAAACGCAGTAGACCGGATCTATTTCTACCTCTACACACACTACTCTCAGGAGTGTGCTAGAATTTTGGATAGACTATGCACCCGATTCCCTCGTGTGCTAGAAGCGGCAAGCTTAGCCCATGTATAGATCGAATGATGAAGCAAATCATCCTATTTCTTCTTCGCTGTCGTTATCTACGAGATTGGGTTTGCTGGATACAACTTGTTTCCCTTGTATTTCCTCGACGACATGCGGGAATGTATGTTTAGCTTTGGCTTTATGTTATAAGGCTGGTCCTGTTCTCATACCCCAGTCTCCTTGATGTTTGTTATGGTTCACGAATGATGTATTCTTGCTCTTTTTCTATGTGAAATCCTTTCTTACCGACCCGAGACGTTGAATATTGTAAAGTGTATAAAACCTGGATAGATTCTCCGGTATATCACTCACTCATCAGGTGGACCTGGACCTTTTCCATGAGTAGAAATGATTTTCTCGCAGCCCTTTTTTAATCTACTTGACTTCCTCCATCATCCTGCTGGTGCTCTCCACCGTCGCCGTCCTTCCGCCGTCTTCCGTGCAAAAAGGAGTCGACAGCGACACCTCAGGCCATAGTTAACACCGTGACCCCACGAAACAAACCAAGCAAACAGCCAGCTCCATCTCCGACTCCGAGCTTCAAGCTTCTTCAAATTCCTGACACAAAGCGCCCAAAACCACCAACGGAAGAGAAAGACACCCTCTTCCTATATCTGGCGCACAGCGCCTCCCCCCTCCCTCTCTGTTTCAGTTTCATCTACCACGCAACAACGCATTACCAAACAATGGCCGCCTTAACAACAGCCCCCGCGTCCTCCTCCTCACTTGCAACCCCCCAAGCTCCTCCGCCAGCAACCATGAAATCCAAGCCCGCTGCAGCACCGGTCTCAATCCTCCCCGGCCAATTCGCACAGATATACTCGCTCATCCATCCAGCTCTTCTGCTCTCCTTGCTGGTTCTCCGCTTCGGCTCCGTTATCGATGACCCCGTCACGGAGTTACTTCATGACCTCCCGATTCTGGTCGTGCTGCAGGTCGCCTTCGCCATGATTTGTCTTCCTCCTGCCGGCGCTGCGAAACCTTCTTCTTCTCCTCCCTCAGCTCAAGGAGAAGCAAGCACAGCTGTCGCAGAGGAAAAGACAACCGCGAGTAGGAAAATCGGCTCTCGTCGTCGTCATGCAGCGGGGAAGAGCTCCTCTTCTCCTTCGATGATGGGCTGTATCTGTGCTAAACTAACCGTATGTGCTGTGCTGTGCTATCCCTTTCCCAGCACCCAGTTTTTTTTTTTTTTTTTTTTCATTAACTAACTTCTCTGGAATTTCTCCTCATATCTCTAGCCCGCCCTCCTCTCCCTAACCCTAACTTCCCTCCTCGCAACCCCCGTCCTCAGCATCCTGCTGATCCTCTTCGGTGCCCCGCTCCGCACCCACCACGCCCTCACTCTCCTTTGCGCAGCCCATATGGCCCTCCTCGCCTGCTTCCCGCTGATCTACGTGCACGGCGTGGACGGCCCCATCTGGCGCGAGATCTGGGCTGTCTCGCGCCCAGTAGATAGTGTTTCGGCTGGTGCGCTGGGAACATGCTTGGGGGCATGGTTTGGGGCTGTTCCTATCCCGCTGGATTGGTTAGTTGTTTCCTCCTTTCCCTTTCACTGCTGTGCCTTTTGTGTGTAAAAAAAAAAAAAAAAAAAGTTCAGTTCCGGGTGATGACAACTAAGCTAATCTGATTTTCGTGGTATAGGGATCGTCCGTGGCAGGCCTACCCAATTACCATTCTGACCGGGGCGTACTTGGGGCACTTGGTTGGTGTGCTTGGTGGAAGGTCGGAGTGGGTGTTTGGAAAGAGAATCGATTTCACCAAGGAGGAGAGGAATGTCAAGGTTGAGTAAAAGCCTTCACTCCTGTTTCTGTTCTGGTATATTGCGAGGCAGGCGGGGTTCCCCCCCCCGGCAAATTATGCTGGAAAGCCTTATCTTATATCCCCCACGCATACTGTGTTATGTTATGTTATATGCTATACCTATATTCGATATTCTATTGTCTAGTTTCTATTACAGGCTCAAACTCAGGTTCAGACTCAAAGTTCAGGTTCAGGTTTTTTAGAGAGACTTGAATATAAAGTAAAGTATACAAGGGCCCCAGCCTTGAAAGAAAAAGAAACGTATATAAAAAAAAAAAAAAACAATATGGGGAATCAATAAACAGTATATCAGAATCATCGAAATCAGCGGGGATATCAATATCAGCCAAAATCATTTAAGAAAGGAGATGTGAAGATAAAGATGAGTGAAATGCGACATGGTATCTTAGATCGTCAAGGAAGGTAAGGGAGTATATAAGTGGAAAAAAATTTGAACGTGCTGTGGTGGGTTATATCATGTTGGCAACTTCGATTCCTCGAGCTGCCTGCCATTTCGATCGGAAGCTTTCATCCTTAGAGCGCTTCTCCGTCCGTTCGAAATCGGAATCACTTTCGTAGCGCGAGGAAAACTTCTCCTCTATCCGGATAGGAGAGCTCCCCGGCGAATCAGCAACGTCTTGTCGCATGCGGAGGAACTCTTGCGAGTCTGCGCTTCGTATAGGGTACATCGTCCCGACACTGAGTGAATCGTACGGTATCCTTTGCAGACGCTGGATATCCTCTCGGAGACATGAAACCTGTTGTTCCAGGTTTCTTCGGGCGGTTTGTTCTCGCCTTAATAACATGACGAGTGCACTGTATTGTTGCACAGAAATGGTGCTAGCGTCGCTCAATGAGGTCATGGATGGTGCCTGCAAAGCGCGTGCCCGGTGAATCTCGCTAAGACTTGGGCGAATAGTGCTGGAACTCCAAGGTCGATCCCCTCCTGGTACGTGCTCTGCGGTGGGGGAGTTCTCGCTGCCAGACGGAGTGGAATGATTCGGGAATTCGTGGCGTTTATGTTGAGCATTATCTGGCGATGGAGTCTTGTGTCCTACTGTCGGTGTTTCGCCGCGCCCGCTTTGCATCCGCGCAATGGCAAATTCCAGGTCAATCAGTTTTACCTCTAGCGTTGTCAACCGCTGTTCTAATGAAATATTTTCATCATGCTGCATGGAGTTGATGAGTTCCCCAACATTTGGAGGTATGCTCTGGATGCTTTCCTCATCGTCTTCCACCTCCAGTTCCTCTTCCTCAAAGACTGATAGCTCTGCAGGCTTAGGAATGCTAGCAGCCGAGGTCCTAGACGGAGGTCGACAAGACAAGTCACTACCAGAAGCCATGCCGTAGGTGGTTGATGCCACATAATCCGACTCTATGCTCCGTCGCCTCCACTGTATTGGGGACATACGGTGGTCTTTAGCCATACCTCGCAAAGCGCCAGCACTCCGTGAGCGCCGTTTAAATTTTCGTAGTTCCCGCCGCTGTGTCTCATCCGGGTCGCTATTCGCATTGGAACTCAGGGGCCGGCTCCCCGATGCGGGGTTGATCACTACTTCAAGAGCATGCCGTGATTCGTCGTCAGAAAATATTAAACTGGGCAGGGTCGCTCGTCTTTGTCGTGGGTGCCGTGAGTCCAACTTCTCCAGGACAATATCGAGGGTAGTCAGTTCCTCATGATGCCGTCGGAGTGCACTGGTTTGTTGGGAACTGGCAGATTTTGACAGTCCTGGCGATTTGGCACCGATCCGATCCAATCCAGATGTTACAGTGCTAAATTGAAAGTCTTGTAGGGTATCTTCGAGTTCGTCCGCCTGACTTCGTCTCTTACGCGTGAAGATTTTCCTCATGACTGTTTTCAACGTGCTTCCAGTGCGGCGGTGACCAAGAGGGGTCCCGTTTATTGTGGTCGAGTGCTGGTGATATCCGACTCGACTGGAGAGGATGGATGATTCTAGTCCACCTGGGGATCGACGGGTAGTGACGAGCTGTTTAGAACTCATCGGCGGTAGCGCAGTATCAAAACATGACTCTGGATTGGCTGAAGGCGTGGCAGGTGCTGAACAATCCCGTTGAGGGAAAGGGTTTTGGATAGAGTTACTTCTCTCAGGCGCCGCAACTGCTCTAGACATCTTTCTTCCCGAGTACAGCAACACGAGGGGTCAATCAACAACAAGGGCACATTAAGACAGTTTAGTACATATATGCATCAGAGTCGGTAAACACACATAGATGTTTATGGGGTTAGAAGGACATAAGGGGACGCAAGCTGAACGATGCGTCGAAAGATATAGTGACAAAAAAAAGAAAGAAAGAAAGAAAGAAAGAAAGAAAGAAAGAAAAACGGCACCCCTGTATACAGGGTATAAGCGAATGTCAAAGAAGGCTGCTGCAGTATATGAAAGTGTTGGCAGGCTTAATGGCTGAAAAGCAATGTCACGATGTAGGGGATCTCGGATTGGTGGGCTAAAAGTAGGAGCAAGCAGGGGTCAGCAACGGGCGAACCAAGAACCACGAGAGGGGTATGAATGCTTACCTTGGCGCAGAAAGGAGTTCCGAGGCATAATAATAATCTCAAGGGTATGAAGGATTCAGTGATGCGCTGGACACGAGGGCTCGGGAAACAGGGGCTGGTATCGACGTCAAGAGTAGAATGTTTAGAATGCTACATAGGCATAAAGCGCCGTAACGAGCGACAGAGAGAAGAGTAGAATCGGAATTAGAGACCAAATAAAGGACCAGAAAGAGGTATTGGATCTAGAATCAAAGATATGGAAAGGACACAGAAGGACAAGCACAAGAAGAAGAAGAAGAAGAAGCCAGCTCGGAGGAGATCAGCAAGGAAAGTCGTGGCACCAGCGTGGAGCCTGGAAAGAGGCAGAGCAGACGGGAACAGTGGAGCTTATCAGAGAGTTAATATTTGAGAAAGCAAAGACTGCATGACCGATGGATACTAATGTTTGAGATAGGGATAGGGGGAGGTGGGCCAATAAAGGAGTAAAAAGGCGATGGTGCTGCGTCCAAAGACAGGACAGAAGCCTGAATAAAAACCAGAGGTATAATGGAGAAACAAAGAGGGGAATAAGAGGAAGAGAAAAGAAAGAAAAGAAAGAAGCACAGGAGATGATGAAAGTGAAGAAAAAACAGGGGAGAGAATTGAGAAAGGAAGAAAAAGAGGTTGAAGTGAGTCTGTGCTTTTGTGTGTTTCAGGATAGTTATTCTTGTCTATACAGAATCATTACTCACAACCTAACAAGTAACTAACTAACTATCTAAGTTCCATGATATCTTTTTTTATCCAAGATTTCTCCTGAATTATAACCCAAAGCAATAATCTACTCGAACCATCTTTCTCAATTCTAACTTTCACTCTTCTCTACCAGCTCCGGAATCTTCACTTGAGTGGAACGGAAACTCGCAATTGAGTCAGTAATGCCCCACCATACATAATCATAACCTTCTAGATTCTGGAACAAAGTCGGACTCTTGAATCAATCTGCACACGCCCAATTCCTCTTCCTCCTCGGTTTCTACGGCCCCATCCTGGTTTCTCGCAGATCAGGTACCTACGCATACTTTTTCCATCTGGTTTGCAGTCTCTCACTACTACCATCGCTCAGCTCCGGTCCGTCAAAGCACGCACTGGAGCTGGCTGGATACTGAATGTGTCCCTGGCTCTATTAATTAATTCTCACAACATCATCCTGGTGGTGGTCTCCTCGTCTCGTCTGGGCGAAAAAGAATCCACTAACATACGTACTGCCGTTGGAGAGGATCCGCCCGTCTGCAGCGAACAGCAACTCAAGCCCGAAACCAGGTCTGCGGCGATATACTCTGCATTGCAGCTACATCGTTACCGTGGATATCCTATCCTGAAACAGCTAGATAATTCTGCCGGGATGGTAGGTTCTAATCCATCATCATCATACCCTTCATCCAAATTCCCCAGGTCATACAATTCAATATTGGCTGTGATAATATCAATGCAAGGTAACGGAGTATCTTAGTCGCAAACCCTATTTCGCTACCTTCGTGTTCGTCCGAAAGGAACAAAGCGCGGGAGTTTGTCAGGCGACCTACTCTGTACATAGTAGCTCTAAACTGGGAGCTCTGGAGTCTGGACAAAGGGCAGCAACACTTGTCTAGATTATTCTAGTGCCGCAGCGTGTTCGTATTTCCGACGAGGCAGCATCCTTACTGAAATCAAGCGTGTCAGATTATCCCTGTCTCACGGAGCATATCCATCAAAAGTGGGGATCTCAATGCCCGAGTCAGCAGTAAATTGACTTCAGAGTAGCTCTCCGGCATCTGGATAACGCAAATCTGCATTCTCTTCGAGAAATGCCATCCAGCGTTTCAGAAACCCACTCCCTCTATACATCAGGATAATAGTGTCAGCGATCGTGGTGCTCGTATGGGCGGATGAGACCTAGAAACCATGGGGGGAAAAAAAAATGCGGGGAGAGTATAAAACAAACTTACTTGCTGATTGTTTCCGAATCCCCACAGACACAAAGATGCCGCTTTGGGCGAGTCATAGCCACTAAGAGCCCGTCAGCGCGCGCCTTGTTCATCCTCTAAAATTTGGGTCAATGGCAAACAAAGACTCGCACATACCGTTGAGGCGCCGCTTTTCTCCGAGAAACCCTACTTCTTGTTCGCTGTTGCTGCGAACGAGACTGACGATCACAGCTTCTTTCTCGCGCCCTTGGAATCCATCGACACTTCCTAGTTCAAGACCTGGGTACTTCTCCCGTAGCATCTGAGACAGGATAGCCAGCTGCCCGTTATAGGGTGTAATAACTGCGATATCTTCGGGCCGCATGCCTGCTTGAACCAGGTTGTCCACATGCTTTCCGACGACCAGGGCTTCCATTTCGTTGCTCTTACTCTCTCCAAGTAATGCCTCCTTTTTGCTGACATCTTCGTCCTCGACCTTCTCTGGGAAGTCGCCTCCTTGCGTATCCCAAAAGACTACAGGTTCTCTGGTATCGTCCGTCTCCTGAACTTCGTAAGGTAGATCTTTGAGAAGGCGTGACTTGACGCTTTCAGCTGCGATGAGCTTTGACTCATATAGTTCGTCCGACGGGAAACGCATGATACTCTCGTGCATCCGATACTGTGTAGTTAGCATTCGTTTGATGCCTGGACCATGAAGTGATAGTAGGCGATCAAACAGCGTCGTCTCCAAGGTAATATTTCCAAGTTTTGCATCTTCATCTCCCACCCTTGTCTCTGAGTCTTTTCGGTTCAGAATAGCGGATTTCACAGTCGGCGGGAGTTGTAAATGGTCACCAGCAAGGACCACCTTTGGTGCAGACAACAACGAAATCCAGCACTGCGCTTCTAACGCCTGACTAGCTTCGTCAATAATCACGACATCAAATTTCTGGTTTTTGACCTGGTGTCCTCCTGCCCCATGAAGCGTCGCAAGCACAACGCTACTCCCCCGGACTAAATTGTCTACGCACTTCGACTCGCGTTCACGAAACTCTCGCCGTAGCTCTTTCAAATCCTGGTAGATTGCGCGTTTCTCCCGACCGAATCTGGTCTTACGGATGCTCGCCTGTTTTTCGTCAATCTCCTTACGGACATCCCGTACTATAGCCGCAGCCTCCGATGTGTGGGTGAGCACTTCCAGCGAATGCTCAAGAACCGATGGTAACAACCGCGCCGGATGGCCAATGCGGACAACCGGGATTTTTTGGGGGACTAGTCGTTCTACAATATTGTCAACCGATATGTTCGACGGCCCGCAAACAAGTACCCGGAGATCCCGCTTGACCATTTGGACGATCAATTCGATCAAGGTATGAGTTTTACCGGTGCCAGGAGGGCCATGGATCAACGCAATGTCTCTAGACGCTAGAGCAAATCGAATCGCTTCCTTCTGAGACTCATTCAGGGTCGGATCAAGGAACTCGACTGGTTCGGAAGCTTCGTAGTCTGGCAGCATTGGGGTTGTATGTCCAAAAGCAACACGCATGAAATGCGTATGATCTGCCTCTGACATTTTACCCATTTTCTCCATCGTTTGATTCATCCTAGAAGACCCGACGACACATTATCAGTACACAAACTCATACTCCAAACAACCACTCTGCATATATTGTTTCGGGTAGTTACTGTACCGTCTGTGAGTCACATCGTTGGCGAGTTTTATGCTGTACATATCCCGCAATTAGCCATGGGAACAGAATAACCACCGTCCAGACACGCCACAAAGCAATCGGTTAAACCCGTAAGACCCCCCCCCATCATTTCCACAATGCATGAACCTACAGCCAAAGTTTTTTCCCCCATAATTCCTCAACCATCTCATCGTCCTCCTTGGAGCGACCACCGCCGCCCCCTCTCTGCCCGAACGCAATCCACACGCTACTCTCCCCAACCCTCGTCACGACACCCTCAGGCCCATTCGAGGAATTGCCGCCGCCCTTATCTTTCCCCATTTTCTTGGGCCCCGCTCCTCCAATCTCATGGACGCGGACAACATCCCCAACCCGGATACCATGCGCACCGAGCCTCGCCTTCCCATCCGCGGCGGCCGTCGCATCCTCGCTATCCTTTCCCTTCGTAGTTCCCGACGAGATAGCCGAGTCGGCGGCAAACTCGCCCACGATGCGTCCTCCAAGACCAGTCCGGCATTGCGACAGGATTATACCCGTTAACGCATACCCTGTGGCTTGGAGTGTGCGGCGCGTAGAGGGCGAGGCGGAGGCAGCAGTGCTAGCAAGAGACGACGAGGCGACATCGGCTTCGTGCTCCTTTAGAAGGAGTTGCTGTTGGGATTCGGCGAAGAGCGGGATCGAGATTGGAGCGGGGGGAGCCATATGTATGTAAAAAGTTAGCAAGAGCGCGCCCAAAAAGGAAAAAAATATATATATATTCTTTCCTTCCACAGCAATGCACTAGTTTTCAATGAAGATTATCTGTATTAACCCTAGCTTGTCTGTTCTGTACAGAAAAAAAAAAAAGCAAGGGAGTGGTGTGGGGTAGGTATGTATGTAGGTTGCATTCGTAGATAATGCAGCGGGCGGGCGGGCGGGGGGGCTCTTCGACTCGGTAGCGGCCATACTGTAGAGTTCTCCAAGTATTGTATAGTTACATATGTACCTAGATAAATACTTTAACAATATAATTATTCCCTACTTTCTATAGACATAAAAAATAGTAATTTACTTGCTTAATCTTTTCTTTTTATAGGTTAGCCTTCCCGACTATCTATAGTTCTACTTTATATTTATGCTTTGGATATTTCCCACGTATTCTCTGAGGTGCTTATATATGGGATAGTTATAGCTTGTCCCTTGTTCGCCTTATTCGGTTCATGCTACTTACCTTAGTGTAGAGACAAAGATGTTTTATCTTGTATGGTTGAAATCAAGATTTGCTCAACTGGATAAACCGTAATTGGCTGAAACATGGAAATGTATTCTGTGAGGTTTTTTTTAACTTGAATTGTGATTAACTACTACTCGTACATAGTGTAGATTCGAAAAATCATCCAGATCTCCGAAAGCCTCGAGGCGCTATTTCCACCCAGCCGAGCCGGCAAATTCCCTGCGAAGACGTGAACGCGATGCAAGGCAGGGCAGGGGAGGGAAGGTATTCAATCAGTAATATGGAAGATGGGCACTCGAAATAACCGTAAGTAAGTGGTGACATGGAACCGAGATTGCATAGGGTGGAAAGAAACAAATATGGATGCAACAGAAGCCGTAGCGATATGTTGAAAACCACCAACACCAACGCCTAATATGATGCATTGTATGAAAGCAGGATCATAATTCCCGGTTCCCAATCGATGGTAATTTATAAGGCCGAAACCTTCCAATGCTCACTCGTCCCGTGACGGCACGTTCCAACTCCTTCTCAAATGCAGCGTCATCTGCGAGATACACTCGGAAATCGAGAAGACCTCGTAAGTCAGCAAATGCCCTGAGCATTTTACGCATATATTTGTTTCGGCTCGAGACGATTGAAATGGCCCCGTTATGCACCCCGAGATCTACGATGCTGATGGAAAGGCGTGGGAGATCAAAATGTTCACGGACGAAGCGACGCAGAACGGACCAAGAGAGAAAAGCGGTCTCCTCAAGCCTGGGGGATTTGTTATGCGCCCGAAAGTTCAAGGGGAACTTGAATGATAAATGACGAATCTGCATGAAAGATTCCGTGGGGATGTAGTGGAGAGAGCGCATGATTGAGTCGGGGTCTTCTTCCACCAAGGTAAATGTGTTCTTGGAGAAAAATACACGGCGACAGTCCTCATAAACCTCCCGGCTGATGAGAAAATAGAGGACAGGAGAGGTAAAACAGGAGCAGCTTGTAGAAAATGCCGTCTGGCGAGCGTGGCAGAAGCACATTGTACGTACAGGGGAGCAGGTGCCACAGCAAGCAAGAGGCAAGGTAGCAGCAGTTCTTTGGCATTTGCGGTTTACAAAACTCACCAGTCCAGCAAAGCGCTCCGAGCCAGGTAGGTATGGATCTGGAAGCCCAATGAGAAGTTTTTCGAGAATCAAGAGCTGTACCTCCTTGGGAAGCAGCAGGAATTGAAATGGGGACTTGTTGTCTAGATTGTCAGTCAGCCTCCAAGCTGCTCTCTTTATAACCGGGCGAATATCGTCATCCTGCAAATGGTTGAGGTGGAAAGCACACTGAGTCAGGACTGGGAATGGGTCCATCATGCACATTAGTCTGGAAGCCACCTCGAGGTCTTTGACCTTGCACCTTAAGCTGAAATTTTTGAGACCAGAGATTCTCTCCTTGGCATTGTGACAGAAGCCCTGCCACATCTTCATGGTCGTGCGGTGGACTCCACCAGCTAACTTGAGAAAGCGATTTTCTCGGGGACCTAGGTCAATATGCAGATGCCTGATGTGTTGCATACCCCATTCGGTGGCGTCACGAAAGAGATTGAACTCCGTTCTGCCATGGAGATAAATGCTGAAGCGGTTCTGTGCAAAGAATAATACTCCCAGCTCATGCCGTGCAGTGTGAGATGCCAGAAACACCTCGAGGGGTAGTCGAGGATGGTCGCATGTTGGGCTATAAGGATCAACCCAGCTTCTCCCCCATGGCATCTGTGAGATGTACAGAGGGTTGGATACACTGCAAATGCCACGATCATGCTTAGCGCGGAATTTCTCGAATGCAATGTTGATCACGCATGGACGCAGCAACCCGGCGTACTTGAGGATTTTTATCTGGACGTTTTTCGGAAAGTCGAAAAAGGTTATCGAAGGCGGATCGCTGGTCCTCGAAATGGCACCTTCGCTCTCCACATTTGTGGTGTTTGGTTCAGATTGGACGTCTGCTTGACGCTCTTTGGCGTTCATCTCCATAGTAAGAATGGCATCAAATCCAACTTCGCTACTGGGGAAACGAATCGAGAGAGAGCTATAATGGTCACTTTGAACAGCCCACGTGTTAGTCACGACCGAGTCTCGATGTGGAGTAGACTCCTCCAGTGAATACAAGTCGTGGACACTTACGTGTAGTGATAGTTGAGCTACCGAGACTCGCCCTCGATCGGGGAGATAGCTCCAGCAGGGAATCGAAGAATTCAGTTTGAAAATGTAGGAAAGGAAGAGGCAGGTGCTAGAGCACGAGGCCTGAAGGGGATTTTTCAATTACTTAGCATAGGCGAGGTAAATGGTAGAGAAGGTGGGAGACGAGAAAGGAGAAAGATTAATTACAAGTCGAAGAAGAACGCTGGAAATCGCCATAGAAGCCATCAAAACAATCAAAGCAACCGAAACAAACTCGCACCCCAACCCTGTTCTGCCTGACCCTCCAGGCACTTAATCCCTCTCAATCTTGATCTTGGCCTCGTCGAATGTCGAATATGTCTCTGTTTCAGCTTCCTCCTTCTTTGCAATGTTTCGAGGATTTTTCGCGGCCATGCCTTTGATTTCGCTCTTGCAGAGCCTTGTCCCAGCAAGATCACAGTCCCCGCATCTTCTACCGACAGGTAAGCAAGCGGTCTGGCCCAGACCTACAAGCAGTTTATTAATTTCATGCCATTTATCTTTAGGTAGCCATGACTCCAGGGAGATGCGTGTTTCTTCAGGGTTCTTTGTCTTGTGCCAACCCCAGAGGTTGGTGATTCGATGGACATGCACATCGACACCGATACCTTCATGCTTCCCCCACGCCGCACTCATGCACAGGAAAGCCATCTTGGGGCCTACACCTGGCAGCTTCATTAGCTCTGGGGCACTGGAAGGTATGTCGGAATTGTACTGGTCGCGAATAATTTCAGCGGTGGCCTTGATATACTTGGTTTTGTTGTTGTGAAAGCCAACAGTACCGATAAGCTGATTGAGTCGTTCGGGAGCAACAGCTAGAATGTTTTCTAGGTTGAGGGTGCTATCCTTGACTACAGGTTTTGGCGAGCTCTGGTCATCTTCTGTTGGTTCCGGTTTGACAGCAATTGGGGCTTCGCCATCCCCGAGCTCAGTATGCAATCGCTGCATGGCAACCGCAGTCACAGTGTCTTTAGTCTGAGAGGATAGCATCAATGCGACCAGGGTTTGAAAGCGTTGATCCCGAGGCGAAGATGCCCGCCAGTGGAGCTCTGCACAGCCCATAGTGTCGACGGGCGCTGTTGGATTGTCTTCTCGCATCTTTTTGACTATCGCATACATGGAGTCCCAATCTGAAGGTGGCTCAACTGTAATAGACCCATCTTCGCTTTTTATCTTTCGGGAGGGAACTCGGCGTGCTCTTTGCTTTGCCGGTTCCTTTTTGACGGGGGGGTCGATTTTTGTCCCCCGGGTTTTTATAGAAACGCAGCCATTCACATTGCGCGTAGTCGCGCTAATGTTGCCTTTCCGCCTTTTTGGTGGTGGATCAAGGATATCCTCAATATCGACTGTATCGGCAGACGAAAGAGAAGATGTGTCATCATCGCTACTTTGCTGCTCTTCCTTTAAATTTCCACTATATGCGAAGCCTTTAAGGAGTTTGGCACGGGAGCTGCTGCGTGTTTGACGATGTGCAGGGGGCGACAGAGCCTGCAGGATCTTAGCCGCGTCCTTTGAGGTTCGTGAGGTACGCATAGAGGTGAATGTCTAAGATATCAATGGACTCCCGTCTGTCTATGGTTGGGCAGATTCACAAGAACATAAGAAATAAATGATCGACGAAGATGTCGGGGCTGGAGAAAATCCTCGACTTAGACGCTTATGTACACATGGGGTTGGTTTGGCGGCTTCTCTTCTCTTCTTTTCTGGAGAAAATAAGACCCACCTTGAGCCTCGGCCGCATCGCTTCGGGCGGCGATGGACGTGCATCTTATTTTCCTGGATGTGCCTGCAGAACAGCCACACGCATTCTCCCAGCCACTCGACTCTATCCAAAATCCGTTTCCCATTCATAAACCCCTCTTCCTCCTAACAACACGAATCCCACGTCCATCCACAATGCCGCCCCAAAACACCACCCAGCGGCTTCTCCGCGAACTCAAGGACTACACCAACAACCCCAATGAAGCTCTCCTGCACCTCGGCCCCGTCAACGAAGACGACCTCCTGCATTGGGAAGCAGTCCTAAAGGGCGTAAAAGGCACTCCATACGAAGGTAATAATACCCTTCCTCCCCCCCCCCCCCGGGCGCAGGGGCAACAGCTTGCTAACACATGCTTTGCTCATCACGTCAGACGGCTTATGGGCCCTCTCGATCACCATCCCCCCCAACTACCCGCTCTCCCCTCCAACAATCCGCTTCACAACCCGCATCTCCCACCCAAACATCTCCTTCACAACCGGCGAAATCTGCCTTACGCTTCTTACATCCGAACACTGGAGCCCCGTCTACACGGTGTCTTCCACCTTGACCGCCATCCACCAGTTACTGACGGATCCGCGCCCGGACTCGCCGCTGAACGTCGACATCGCGGCGCTGCTTCGCGACGGCGATATCCCCGCCTGGGAGAGCATAGTACGGTATTACACGCAGGAGGAGCGCTGGAAAGGACGGGGGATGTACTAGGCTCGGTAGAGCTTGCAGAATCTATCAGTGATAAGAGAGAGTTTAGGGGGAAGGGGGGGGGGGCGTGGGGGAATGGACAAACCCCCGCAGATTAAAAGAATAGGCGGCTGGATAAAGCTCACCTTGGATGGATGAATTGCTGTCTGAGCGTGATGTGATATATTGTGATTCCCTTTGGTTTCTTTTCTTTTCTTTTCTTTTCTTTTTTTTTTTTTTTTTTTTTTTTTTTTTTTAATTGTTGATATCATGATGCGTACATATATGTATATATATACAAGTCCAGTTATAGTTATACAGAGATATAAAACTGAATCACCCCCTTTTTTTTTTTTTTTTTTTTTTCTTAAGAGGGGAGGGGGGGGGGAATGTTTAGAACTAAATCAAGACTCCATGGATTAAGATCTTAGAACAATGGTATTATTTAACTAGACTAATCCTGGAACTGAACACCAAGTACAAGGTATCAGATAGTTATTATTTCCTCACTAAACCCTGACTCAAATATGCACATGCTTAATAAATATAGGACAAACAGACAAATCGACGACGACAACCTTCAACTTTCACCAAGCTCATCATCAGAACTGGGATGTAAACTGCAGACTCAAAGACAAGGCCGCCAGATTGGAAAAAAATCAAAAGCATATGCACGTATGTGCATGGATAGGGAGATAAAAGGAGAGATGAAATTAGAAACACTGCGCGCAAGTCTATGTATGTATGTATGTATGTAGTATGTATGCGAAGGACCGTATCGGGTGGGTATAAGTATCGTATGTTGTTTCATTTGATGGAGAAAGGATAAAACGCCGGTAATGCAAAGGAATGTTGTAGGTGGGGGTTGAATGCAAGAAATGAGTGAACTGTTGGTATCGTGAAGGAGTGATGTAGAATTCGACTCGAGAGTGCGAGAAGAGATGAAAGTACAAGGTTTTCAGTTGCAGGTAGTAGTGCGGTTCTGAAGCGTTGATTAGATTACTGCAACGGCAATAGCAGCGCCGCCCACCATGGCGAAGATTTCTTTGGCGAAGCTGTTGGAGGAGGAAGCGGCATTGGTCTGTAATCCTGGTGCACGGCTAGTTGTTGTGGATTTCGAAGACGTCTCGGTGGGATGAACGATGGTGATGGCTGTGACTGTGACGACCTCACCGTCGGCGCGAGTAGATGTGCTGGTGTACGTAGAGGTCACGTCCGAAGTGGTCGTGGTGGATGTAGTGGTAGGCTCAGAGGTGGTGGTGGTGGTGGTTGTTGAAGTTGTAGTGGTGCTCGATGCAGTTGTGGTGTCTGTGGAAGTAGAAGAAGTGGTTTGAGAATCGGTAGTGGTTGTTTCACTTGTCGTGGTAGTCGTCGTCGTGGGAGTTTCAGTAGTTTCAGTAGTAGTCGTAGTTGTCGTTGTTTCCTGCGTAGTGGTGGTGGTGGTGGCAGTAGTAGTAGTAGTAGTAGTAGTAGTAGTAGTCGCAGTAGCAGTCGCAGCAGTAGTAGTTGTCGTCGAGTCCGAAGAGGTTGTGGTCTCCGTGCTGGAAGAGGTATCGGAAGTCGTGGTTGCAGACGAGGTTGTGCTCTCGGTCACGGTAGTCGAAGGCTCGGGAGAATTGCTTCTCTTGCGAAAGTTCACTCGGTTCTCGAGAGCTTCACCGCGGGCAGTGTTAAGCTTATCGAACAGGGCCTGGATGGATTCAATGTCGATGTTCTTTACGAGTTCGTGAACTTCGGTCCGGGAGATGGCGCTGCGGTCGAGCTGAGCAGGAGCAGGAGCAGCAACTGCAGAGGATGCAACCAACGAGAAGCAGAGGAGCTGCGCCAGGCGGTTCAGGAACACCATCTTGTCTTGATTTGTCCTTTTTTTTTTCTCCCACAGCGCGAGGAAGAGCGGAGATGAGGGAGGATGGACTTGGGCAGCGAGACAAGTGAGACAGCCGAGAAAGCTAATTGACAAGGTGCCTAGAAACCCAGATAAACTTTGAGCAATTGGACCAGCGTGATGGCGTCGAAAATTGGTGACAAGAAGATCGAATTCCCCAGCTGCAGACACGCAAGTAGGAAGAAGTTTTCCAAAAAGACCTTGGGTGGGATGATAAGCTCAGCTGTTCACGTTGCTTTTGGTCCACAAATAATCAAGCTGTAGGAGTGGTAAATCTTGGGCTGCAATGCCTCGTTAATCGGGATGGAAAGATGCACGAAAAGGAATAATAATATCTGGGAGGCCAAGGATTTGTATTTGAGCTATTTAAAATAGACCACCGGTAGGTATCCTCCAGTGGACGCCCCGGTGGTTGGCGCAGAGCGACCCAGCAGCTGGTGGGCAGTGCCACATATTCTGTACTAGTTTTACCCCCCAGGTTGGATGCAGTCAGCATCCAGCATCTAGCAATTTACATAGAAAGAAGTCATAGTGATATGTCCTATACATGAATTCACATGTCTTGCAGATTTTCAACATTGCCTTCTAGAAAACATCATTGTCGGAGCTCTAAAAAGGTAAAGAGAAAAAAAAAAAAAGAAAGAAAAAAGAAAGAAAGGCTGAATCAAGTCTCCACTTCCTCTGCTTATTGTTCCAGTCTTTCCGATCCCTCAAACCTGGAAAGCAAGAGTATATATATCTTTACTTTATGTTGCCAGGGGAATACTCCGCAGAAACCATGGATGGATGAATCAAACAGATATACATAGTAATTGTTCCTGTTTCTAGTCTGACTAACTAACTAACTAGGTTCAATTACACATCACTTACAAAACATTCACTTTCGTAATACTTTATATATATATATAATATATCGGTTAACCACATGTCCATATGTCAACGCAGTCAGTGGCTGCAATAGGTGGTGGGTCCATCTTCCATTCTCGATCCCCGTGGCAAAGCTGGTGGCTCTTTTTATTGGCTATGAGTCACTTGGATAACACGAACAGAGGGCTCTCTAACCGAAATCCGATTAGTACAATAATTGGGAAGAAAACACCTCATGATCTCGCCTCAAGTTTTCACCTCCAGTTTCTTGCGGCATAAAGATCAAGATTTAATATTAAGGTACCTTATATATATATATATATATATAGATGAGCTTCATATCACTATAGGAGTATAGAATATTACAGAGTACAATGGAGAATTGGACGGAATTCTGCAGCTATGTGCCGTGCCTTACTTGATACATTAGGTAGGTAGGTAGTTCCTCTAGGGTGTTACCAAGCTTTTCCTTGATCTCTTGATTTTTTTTAACTTGTACACTCATTAGTCCAATTTAATGTGGCTTTACTACTAGGTACCTAGGTAGTGATACTTGGTGCGATTATTGGATGTTCCACTGTGGATGTTTCGGGGGATGTTCTTTGCTTCTCAGTTGAACCCCAGCTATCTTGTTCACTCTACTCCGTACAGAGTATGATAACACTAAAAATAGAACAGGATGAATCATGATGATAACTTGGAAAGCTCACTTCCTTTCCCTTAGAGTATTATTGATACAAACTTAATTTGGCCACAATTCTCGCAATCCTTGATAAAAAATACCCATGGAGGGAAGGTTGACGAAGGCAAGGCTTGTCCTCACTTATTCTCAAACAATCCAACCCAGGCTCCCCATCCGGTAACCTTTCCCTCAATTTCCTCACTAATCTCCTGCAGTGTCGCCCGATCGCTCAGATGCTCCTGATCAATCGTCTCATTCAACGCAATGAGCTCAAAGAAATAACGATGTGGCCCATGACCCGCTGGTGGATTTGGTGCAAGATATACCGACTCCCCTCTGTTCTCCCCGAATCTGAAGCCACCACGAAGCAAAAACGGATCGTTGTCTCCATTTTCAACGAGAAAGTCGGGATGCTGGAGACCGGTAAACACGCGAGGAATCCCATAATAGATTCCGTGGATGATTGATTGGGGCAGTGGGCTATCGGGGTCCTCGCTCACAAGGAGGTACTCCTTGGTGTCATCGGTAGGAGATGGCCATGAGAGCGCTGGAAAGTATCCTTCTCCTTCCTGAGAGTGGTCTTTGTCAAGATAGGAGCCGGAAGGGCCCAATTCAGGAGATTCAATGGTGATTGTGGGGAAGGGATGGTCGGAGAATGCAGATAAGCTGGTGATGAGCCTGTCGTGTTGTCTACCACGAACGGTGGCGAGGAGCAGGAGGAGGATCCAGCTAATGCTGTGTTGGAAGTAATACATCTTCCCTGTTCAGATGACCCTTCTATGATATTCAAGTATGGAGCGGTGTTGCGCACTTTAAGAGATAAACGTGGACGTCTGTTGTTGACTGGTCAAGGTAACAGTGGTGCTTAATGTTCAAGTTGTTGACAGATCGTTCTCTCGTGTAGGAATATGTAGCAAGGTACTTTCTATGCATTGCAGTATGTTATGAATGGGAAAGGAGATGCCCACCCACAGGATATGCAGTTTCCCTACGAGTCTGCAATTACAGCCTATTGGATTTGGAAGGAATGGCCCAGTTCAGTTTTGACGCTGGGCTACACTTGGTTGAACTTGGAACTATGGATATAGCAATAATAATTAGGTACCTTCTTCAGAGAGAAAACTACTCCTTCCTCTTCTGCAATTGATTCGCCCATAAATCCAATTACAAAGTCCAATGGGTTCATACTTCAAATGAAACTTTTCATGATGCAAATCATGCGTCTTTGTCTTGTTCTTGAAAAATCATACCCGCTACTAATAACCGTAGCCATATGAACCAGCTAATACACCAGGAAGATCCAGGAGATGAACTGGACAGGGAGGGTGCTAACGAACTCGATTTCACGAGGCGAGTAGGATACCAATGTATTGGAACAGAAGTGCTCCATTTTGACATCCAAAGGGGCCGTCTTTCTAGTTGAATAGAACCGGATACAACAGTTCGCTGCATCTAGTTGCCAGATTTTGGTGGCCCTCATGAGATGTGGAGGTGGAGAATTGAATCTCAGTTAGAGTCGTCCCATAAAGATGAACTCAAATCAACCTCAAATCTTTGAAAAGAAGAGTATCCCTCTTCTCTGGTTCGAGTGAACCCTCACAACCTGGAAACTATTCAGTAATACGCCGCCTCCGCAAAGACTTGACCCCTGATTATGCATGGATTTGTTCCCAGACTCGATGTAGCCATCCCGATATTATAAAGACAATTACATTCTTCTGCACTGACTTTTCGATCTCCCTACAGCATTCAAGGATATGGTTGTCAAAGCCTGCGACTGGTGTTTTCGAAGCAAGAAAAGTGTTCCTTTACCCCGAGCGCCCAGGTCATGTTCCAGCTGCCATCATCTCAATCTTATCTGCACTACATTGCGAAGGGAGAAAAGTATGGGCAGGAGACATCATTTCCAACCGGAAAAAGACGGGTTTGGGATGTGCAGCCTTTATCCAGGGCCCAGTAGACATATAACAGGACGACAAGCCTCTCCCCAACCAAAGTACTAGCCCAATCTCACCAGAGGACGAACGCCAGCACTAGGCGTCATGCCATGCAAGGCTCAATAATCTAGAGCCTTCGGGATGGAGTTATCGACATCGCGTCGGGCGTTGGTGAATTCCGTATCTTGGTGGAATACCAACAGGGGCCCTAATCGGGCCCGAATGCGCAGTCCGTCGTGAACTTGTTGAAACTGTTTGCGAAAGAGGATGTTGACTTCTTTGGGTCGTGACCCAGGGACTCGAGACTGATTCCCCGAAGAGAAACCCCGTCGCGGAGTTGGATGGTCTCTTGATACGTGCTATGGGATTGGCATTGGGATTGATATTGCCCTTACCATGTGGAGGACTCATCACGCGGTATGCGCGATAATTTTCGAAAAAATGTTCTCGGAAACTTCGATATTAGCAACCTGATTCTTGCATAGTATCCCAGCTCGAAGTCTTTGAACTCAAGTATTCCTTCTGTAGCGGTGGTGAGTTGGAATAAATAAAACTCAACTGCAGAGACAACCTTGGTAGTGCCAGGTACAGAGTAGTGTAACCAATGACGGGGAAGTGCCTTTTATGGAATATTCACAACAGACAGTTCCATTGTCTTCGATATTCGAAGCTCAAAGATCTAAGCATGTGTTTTGAGGACATAAAAACAGATCCTGTATAAGTTGTCCGCAGCACAACGAGGTCAATCTTACTGACCGCCTTACTCCGTACCTCTGGCGATTAACGATTCTGTGAGCATCAGGAGGGACCTTCGAGTCCACTCTTGTTAAATTGAAGTGGCAGACAATTTATTTCTTTTTTGGCTAGATTTACGGAATACCTGCAGAGCCAAGGTACTGTACAAATTCAGTTGCCTAACATTATACGGGAGTACGAAGGATAACCAAGGGTCCTTGATCTGACATCCACAGCCAATTACCAACATTCAAACCCTCCACCTCCATTAAGACCAGCGCTGAAACATGCCCCATCGGAAATCAATTAATTCTAGACCAGCCAGTTGCAGCCAGTGCGAGACACAGGGTCTGGATTTGATACCGGTGGGACACTGCAGAAGTGCTGATTTGTTCGCTTGTGAGAGAAAAGGTCGAGGGTTTCTTGACGTCGAATAACTATTTTTGGTGAGACAACAGTCGGGGTTTTCCTTCTTCTTTTTTTTTTTTTTTCGCTTGTTTTCAACAGTACAGGAGATAGATGTAAGTACGAAGGTATGGATGTGTTGTAATAATGGCTCTCTTGAGAACGAAGTGATCTTGATTTACCCAGGTACGGAGTACCTACCTAGGTAGTATTATTATTATGATACAGATAGATAGGCAATAAATAACTCCCACAGGAATATTAATTCACCAACCCTTCGACAGGGAGGACCCGGAGGAGACACTGAAAAGTGAAAACAAAATTAACCCCAGTTTTCTCTGATCCACTGTGATCCACTGCGGCATCAGAAATGGAATTCATCTTCATTCTTGGTCCCTGCTTTTGGAGTCCGTCCTGGACAGTCCATTTTTATTTCCCTCCCTGATCTTGCTCCTCTCTGATTTGCCCTCGAAGTGCTGTTGTCCACATTGTTGATGATTATCTGAGCATCTATTGGCTCGATGGAAAAGACTCTCTCCGCCACCCACCAGGAGATCCAACCGCCAAAACCCTCTCAGGACCCGGTTCCGTCTCCTGGCGATCCGTTTATCGCTGCCCACCCGAGTAGATGATCTGCTGTACTGCTAGATGCAGTAGCAACTGTTCTAGGATGGATGACGAATCCTTTGTTTGCCCTTCAAGGTGGAAGGTTGATGATGGTATTCTGAGTATTTTGTTCAGTGACCGTGTTCAGGGTCCGTATTCAGGGTCATCTACTAGTTAGTTAGTTAGTTAGTTAGTTAGTTACTAGTAGTGACTCAGTAAGTACTTGCCTCCTGCGGATGTACCGTATCCGGTAAACAGGGAGAAGTTCTCCGTCAAGTCCAGATCAATTGCGGTAGAACAGCAGACTAAAAATATAATACTGCAGTCGGGAAAACCCAGATCATCGAAGGAATCATAAAACCTAATAATAAAACACAAAAGCTCCCGGTGGAGTCCTGTAAGATATGGTGGTGGACTGACTCTCTGTCCTTGTATTTTATGTATGGACATCAGATCAGGGATGCGCGCAGTTGCTTGGCTGCGTTTTGCTTTAAGGTGCCACACAACACACCCCTAGGGACCTTTCTCACTTCTTTCTTTCCTTCTTTCCTGCCTCTCACTCTTTCTCTTTCTTCTCTCTCTCTCCCTCATTCATCCCTTCCATCGTTTATTCCTTCAAGTCATCCCCTCGTCACTCGTTCGACTTGTTTATTATTCTTTCTAATTCTCACTCTCGTTATTCCTCTTTCCACGAAATCTCCGTAGCTTTCAAGCTCGTTGTTAAATCCTCTGCAATTCTAATTGTCTCTTTGTACTACTCTTGGATCACTGTATAATTTCTTCGCATTCCAATTTCCCTGTCAGAATGAAGGGCTCCTCTATCACTGCTGCGCTCTCTTTGAGTGCTTCCTCTGTCCTGGCGGCCCCTGCACTCCAGGCCCGTGATGATGTTACCGCCATTACAGTCCAGGGTAACGCATTCTTCAAAGGCAATGATCGTTTCTACATTCGTGGTGTCGACTATCAACCTGGTGGTTCTTCCAAATTGGCAGATCCCATCGCCGATGCCGACAGTTGTAAGCGGGATATCGCCAAGTTCAAGGACCTTGGCCTGAACACCATCCGTGTCTACTCCGTCGATAACTCGCAGAACCATGATGAGTGCATGAACGCCCTGGCAGATGCTGGCATCTACCTGGTTCTTGACGTCAACACTCCCGATTACTCCCTCAACCGTGAAGACCCCGCAAGGTCCTACAACGATGTGTATCTCCAGTACATCTTCGCAACGGTCGACAAGTTTGCCAAGTACAAGAACACCCTGGCTTTCTTCTCCGGAAATGAGGTCATCAACGACGGTCCTTCGTCCAAGTGTGCTCCTTATGTGAAGGCCGTGACCCGTGACCTTCGTTCGTACATCCGCGCTCGTGGCTACCGCGAGATTCCCGTCGGATACTCTGCTGTAGGTTCATTAAATTCAATTTTAGGAAAAGGGAGGTGTGTAAATACTAATATTCCTGGATTCAGGCCGATATCGATACCAACCGCCTTCAGATGGCTCAGTACATGAACTGCGGTACCGATGACGAGCGTAGTGACTTCTTCGCTTTCAACGACTACTCGTGGTGTGACCCCTCCTCCTTCAAGATCTCTGGCTGGGATCAGAAGGTCAAGAACTTCACTGGCTACGGCCTTCCTCTCTTCCTGTCCGAGTACGGATGCAACACCAACACCCGGAAATTCGAGGAAGTCAGCGCCCTGTACTCGACTCAGATGACTGGCGTTTACTCTGGTGGTTTGGTCTATGAGTACTCCCAGGAAGCCAGCAACTATGGACTCGTCAATATCCAGAACGGCAAGGTGTCTACCCTTGCTGACTACGATGCTCTGAAGTCTGCCTTCGACAAGACCAGCAACCCCCAGGGTGATGGCGGCTACAACAAGACTGGTGGTGCCAGCGCTTGCCCGGCCAAAGACTCTCCTAACTGGGACGTCGACAACGATGATCTCCCTGCGATCCCCGAGCCTGCTAAAAAGTACATGACCCAGGGAGCTGGTGCCGGTCCGGGCTTCTCTGGCTCTGGTAGCCAGACTGCTGGAACAGCATCCAGTACCACTGCTCAGCCAGGCTCTGGTTCCTCTGTCGCCGCCGCCAACGGAACCGCTTCAACCTCGAGTGGAGCTGCTTCTGGTCTCCAGATCCCTAGCCTGAACCTTGTGCCCCTCGTTGTTGGAATGGTGACTATTGGTTCGAGCCTGCTGGGCGCCGGTCTCATTCTCGTCTAATTGACGGATTCCGGCATTTCCCTCACGATCTCAGCCTTTTTTTTTTTTTTCCATATCAAATTTGTTTCTTCGGCGTTCTCTAGCTGGTTGGGTTGGGAATTGTAATAACTTGCTCCTGCCCGTTCTTTCGCGAAGTATACCGGCAGGGGAAGCCTTGTTGACGTCTGTACAGTTGAATGGCCCATTTTAGCCACTTACAAGTGTCTTAGTATAGAGTGGTAATCAACCGGTTATTTATTTCTTTTTGGGTATTTTTTAAGAAATTTCTTTTTCTAATGTCATCGATTGTAGTCTCGAGATTAACTAATAGTATTCCCTACTCCAGCAGCCAATTACTTTCCCACAACCTATGCATAGAGCTAAGACAATCATTCTATTTCTAGGGATTGGTTATCATATCTTATTAATCTTGTGTATTCAACTTGTTGTGGAGATGTACATTCCATTTGACAGTGTCATGTATGTATACACGCGTTATAGGAATCTCAACAATAACATCTATTCAAAGAGTAAAGCAGTGCAAGTGCACGTAGTAGTAGTATAACTATTATATCCCGCCAGAGCCGTCCTGCAAAGTATAATTCAACTACCTTAGCTTAAAGTACAGTATGTGGCTAGAGGCTGCTTGGTAACTTAGGTAGTATTAACTAACTAACTCTAACTACCTTACTAACTTTGTTGGTAAGTTTATTGATGATAATTATAGAGGGATGGGTTGAGTTGTTTTGGCTTTATATGTTATTTTTTGTGTTTATGCTTATACTTTTTACTTTACTCTAGTTATACTCCATAGTTAAGTTACTTACCTAGGATCTGGGAGATTTGTTGATTACTTTATTTTTTTTTTGTTGTGGAAGAAAAAGGAAAGGTTAAAGAGAGAAGAGAAAAGAGAAAAGAGAAAAGAGAAGGTCCTTGAGTTATGTATTAGATTTTAATAACTACTATAGTTAGTTAATACACACACATCCTTATTGCATTGCATATGCATGGGAAAATAGTAGTTATCTATTTTAAGTTACTAAATCAAGTTTATACTGCCCTGCATAGCTAATAGTGTAACTAGTTAGGTAGTAAAGAATGTTTATTATATAGTTATACTATTAACTAAGTAATTGATTTGCCTTTTTGTTCTTGTCTGGCCGTTTTATTTGCACTTTACTTTGTCTGTAGCTATACCTAGGTACATAACCAATAATATGTATGATCTCCAGGCGCTCTCATCTCTATATCCCGACTAGGTTCTGTTTTCCCTGGCAGATAAATTCAAAAACCCCTCCCTCCTCCCACTGGACATAAATTCATAGGCTCGTCAACTTCGTCATTCGTCATCATTTCCTACGGCCATTCACTCATTTTCCTCCACAAGGAAGAGGAGAAGAAAAGGAAAAGGTTCTACCTGAGGTGATCCTCCGAAAGCCAAGACCAATCTTCCTGGAGGATATCCCCATGGAAGGAGTTGAGATCGATGTCCTCCAACGACGGGAATGCGACCGTCCCGCCATCCACCAGAGAATGATCCCCGAATGTGTCGAACGGACTGACCATCGACATAGACACGGGAATATCTGACAAGCAGCACAGCGGTGGTGGCGAGGTTAGTGGCATGTTCAGAGGGGAGATTCCTCCTCCAGCGCTAAAACCTCCCGAGTTGGCGTGAGAGGCGTACCCTAGGTGTGCCTGGGGATGAGACAAAGAGGTCGGGGATCTCGTCGACGACGGAATGGCAGTGGTGGCGGCGGCGGTGCGGTGGTACGGCACTCCCTGTGGTGCGCCTCGAGCTCCTCCTGCGGACGCTGCTGGGGGGGCGCGGTTATCGGAGAATTGAGAACCACAGCTATAACCCGGGCGCGGAGATGGCTGGATGGAGGATGGGGGAGAAGTCGAGGACGGACGCGGGGCGATTGGAAGAAACGCGGAGGGGTTGGAACGAGCATGTCTGCCAGAAGCTCTCTAAACCCGCAGACGAGGAAAATAAATAGACAGCCAATTAGTATAACATCTCAACCAAAAAAAAAAAAAAGATGAATGAGATGGTTGGTTTTGGCTTATAGGCCAATTTCTTTTTTCTCCAAAAATTTTCAATTTGGAAGAAAAAAAAAAAAAAGCAGTGTAAGTGTGAGGTGATTTTGGTATTCCTCTAACATTTGAAGATTGGGATTTCATCTCCGCCTCACGTTTCAGCTTGTTGTGCTCGTCTGGTGATTCACACGGAGTACAGTTGCATATCAAGCAGGTTGAGAAGGGTCTGCCCTTCCGATTGATGCGAATTAACGGTCGATCTAGATGGAGGGAGCGATAAGTCAAGGGCTACACAACAGGACAGGCAGCCGCAATTGCCACAGGCAAGGGAAATGGGAAAGGAAAGGGAGAGATGAAAGAAAAGGGAAAGGGAAAGGAGACACACCATGATGTTTACATGTGGTAACACGATGGCCGCGAACGCAAGCTTCACAAGCCCACTTTTCACCATCTATTAGCATCCCTTGATGGAAGGTGTGGGAGGATAGAACAGAGGCATGGTGCAGGGGGAGAAGCACTTTATACCTCTGAGTGGATCAGACGAAAGCGAAGGAAAGACGAGGAAAGGGAAGAGGATCTTGAGAGAGAAAAAAAAGCAAAAGAAAGCAAGATAGAGTAATGGAACTGGAAATAGTAGAGTAACAATTTCCTACTAACCAGAGGTCAAAACTTGGACCTGGGAACAATTGACCAGGTCCATCATCCAGGATCCTCGAATTGAACCATCACACAGCCACCGGGGGAGCAATAGCGGGAATTTTGCGATGAGATTGAGTACATGGATGTAAACTGTTTTACCTCTCTCTAGATTTATTTTACTTGATTTAATTGAAGGGAGCGAGAGGTTATGTGGGAATCATTACAGAAAAGAGATATTATCAGCAGTAGTTGGTCGATGGTAGTAATAGAATAGCACCATCATCATCCCCATCCCCATCACCATCCCCATCATCATCATCATCATAGGGAACCGCTAAACCACCTTAGACTGCGGCATTTTCCGGGCAAATAAGGCTTGTGGTAACTTTCAATTGTGTCAACCGATTTTCAGTTTGTCTCCTCCTCTCCCCGTCCGTTTCTTTCTGCTGAAACTCGCCTTCCCCCCCCCAGTCTCTCTCTCCAGCGACGTTCCCCTTCCGTCTTAGTTGCAGCCAAATCAAATGGCCCAGCAATTCCCTCATACATTCCCTTAGGGAAGATTTCTCCCAGCGGCAACAAGCCACTGTTGGGGTCCTCTCAGTGCCAGTCTTGTCGCCTTTCTGGTTCGAAGTTCGATGAAGTTCTGGGAACGAAAGGGACGCGAACAAAGAAAGGGAAGGGGGAATTCTTCACTACGAGGAGATCGACATTCGAATGAAAAGAAAAGAAAACTATCATTCAACACACCGAAGAAGAAATTACCGTTTCTCTCCCTCTTCCCAGGAGGCCTTACAGATGTGTGATGATCGAACAAGGCAAACGCTCGGGTCACTATGCGGCTGGTGATACAGCGTCAGCTTTCTTAGGCAACACAAATTCACCTCCAATGTCTCATTGTCTCACCGTCTCCTGTACCCGGCTAAAACCCCAATCATTCATATGGAAAAGGGGAAGATTGCCGAAATGAATGGAGGTGGCTGAGCAAGTCCAACAGTGGGAGTATTGTAGCCTGGCCCTTTCACAAGTCTGTCTGCAAAGCTTAACATGATAGCCAATCTAAATGCTGTGGCGTCAGTCGATCCTTTTGGCCTTTGTATCGTCATCGATATCATCCAGTGTTTTATTAGTCCGATTGTTGATATCACGGAGGGTATGGTCAGCGGTCTCAGGCCAGCTCTATGATCAGGATAGTAAGTTGCCTCCCCCCTCTCTCCCCCTCATTGACAGCTGTCAAGATGCGAGGCATTTTTTTTTGCATTTGCATTTTATTTCTTTCTTTTTATTTCAATTATTATTGTCCCCCCTTCTTTTTTTAGGATGTGGTTCGGGGACTAAAATTTATTCCTAGTTTGCCAAGATGTGTACTATATGTACACGCTAGGAGAGTAGCTCTTTGTACTTGATACTCCTCCTCCTCCTCCTCCTCCTACTAGTCCTATCTACTATGTAGGCACGGAGTACGTATGAATTTGGGTACCTTGATCCGGGGCTACACATGTCTCTGTAAATAGAGATACATACCTACCGAGTAAGTGAGTATATATCATTTCTATATTCACCGTCATTCTATATCAGACCTAGTCTCTATAGTCTGGACCCAAAATAAGGTACAATATATTAATGCCTCACAGAATCCTCTCAATAGGCAAAATAGAACGACCCACCAGGCGTAAAAAATCCCCAACCCAGCAGATTATCCCAAACAGCAGTGGCTGTGCAAACGGAATACTACCTTCCATGGACCCATCTCATTCTGTTGCCCTTATAGAAGACAGCGCCATTACGTATTAGTTAGGGAGCTTGGGATTTTGGCGCGGGGCCCCGTTTCTCGATTTCTCTCTCTTGATCACCCTAGCAGTCGCACTGAAGTACTACTATATACAAAATTAATATCGAACCTTCGCGCCGCAACCTTTGGAGCCGCCAAAAATTCTCCTGTTCGTTTGCAACCCAGGCTTGACTAACTTGAGCTGCATGTAACTACTTCTTACCTTGTACAGGCATACTCTACTGTTCCTCCCTTGACTAGGACTCTTGTCACTACTTGAAAAAAAAGGAGATGATCCTTGCAGCAGCAGCCTCACCGACGATCAATGTCCATGCTTTTTCTTTTCCTTTTTCTGTGCTGTTTAGTTGAACAATATTATTCCATGCCTGTGTTGCGGGATAAAAATACAGAGTCACTGCTGCTATAGCTGTTATATATCCACGTTGCCCTGCTGTGTTCGACCCTTGAACTTATAAACTATAAACTACCTAACAACCCAGCAAAACCTCTGATGGTATCTTGGACTTCCAATTCTTCCTTAGCTACTGTAGCTGCTAAACTTTAGCCGTGCTGATAGGTGGTGGGTATCTTGCTAGGATTTATACGATCTCTCCTCTCCTCTCCTCTCCTCTCCATTTTGTTTTTCTTATGGAATTCTTAGGTAATTTCACAAGGATACAGTAGGTCACTTATGTATGTACTTGGTTGGCAACCCGAAGCCATAAGAAAAACCAAGGGAATGATTTTTGATTGTTTTCCTTTTCTCCTCTTTATTTTTTTTTTTCTTTCTTTGCCTCTGTCTTAGTCTTTCGGGTATGTCTGTGTAGCGGACTGCATCTAGATGGGTGCAGGGTAGGCGGCATGTGTGTGTGTGTGTGTGTGTGTGATATATCAGCTCCAGCCACAGATCACTTTAGCAACGTGTGCTTCTCCAGTTTCGGGCCAATTGGCGAATACTACGGAGTAAATGAGAAATAGAGTACATGGATTGAATGCTGGCAGGGCTGGCTGGTTTCTAATTCTATCTGAGAAGAGGTTGAGATCTGTATCTCCTCTCCTCTCCTCTCCTCTCGTCTCGTCTCCTTCCTACTACACAGGAACTGTCCTGATCTGTTGTATGAAAGGTGGAAGAAGCATGTCGACAATGTACAGTTAGTTACTCATGCAATAGATTTGTCTCTACGTGCATATGCAATGTGCAGTAGCATCAACAATGCAATGATCAGATAGAGAACGGCCTGCTAATCTGCAAACTCCTGGATGCAAGTCATATCAGAAAATAACAATATACAGATAAAAAATATAAAATAAACAAGAAATCAGCCATGCATGCCAGACTTTCTCTTTCTGGTGCGGACAATGTACGGACGATATGATTTTGAACGGGGGGAGAGCTTTTTTTTTTTTTTTCTCTCTTTTTTTCTCGCTTTTTTTTTTTTTTTTACGCGTCCTGAATATAATTTGCCGGTACACTCTTCGTAACGCCTCCCCTCTCAACATCTGCCCACCCATCTCCAGTATCCCGGTTAACGAGCACAAACCGGTCCCCTTCGGACATGCTCCATTCCATGTCGCTTCGAGCTTCGTAATCATACAAGGCTTCCACGTAGTGAAGTTTCTTGGCTCCACGTCGTGGAGCCACCGCAGGTCCTACACGCTTTGCTGCGGCAGCAGTGCTCCCTGCTAACGATGCAGATGAGTTCGAGTATGTAGATCCAGGACGATCAGCCACCCTGGGACTGGCAGAGGACGGTGGAGGGGTGGGTAAGGCTTCAACATAGGAAGCCGGAACGAGTCCTTCAAGTGACGATGACTTGATCCGCATCCAGCCTGACCCATCTAGATACATTTTTTTTTTTTAGTCATGGAGCAGCGAAATAGTCAAAAATGGGAATATGGTAAGCTTACCATCGGGTTCAAGGATAGTAACATTCTCGCCTTCTTGTACCGTGATCTCGTCAGCGCCAGTGGCTTGATATGAGTACAGCATCTTTCCCCGGGGCTCGCGGTCAGCCGCTTTGGATGCAGGTGTAGAAGCTAGTTCAGATGGTGGAGGGCTACTGATGTACTGGGTTGGTGGGGGAGCAAGGATTCTATTCCGCTTTGCTCCTGGCTTGCCTGTGGCAGTGGCAGTGGCGGCGGCGGTAGTAGACTCTGGAGATAGTTCAGCCGGCGCTGCATGGCTGCCTACGTTGGACAAGGACCGGTTGGCGCTGACGGCGTACCCGGAGCTGAGAGAGTTCATCGTATTTTGTCGAGTAAGAGACGGTGCCGTGGAGGAAGCGCTACTGGGTTCATGCTCAACTGCTGGCGCTATGCTGGCTTGCTCCTGGCGCTCTGCCTTGAGTTTCTTCTTCTCCTCCTTCGTCTGCTCCCCTGGACATTCTGCGGGCACTTTCATCTCACATTTACTGTGACATGTATATCCACAGTCCCGGCAGTCATAACCTTTGGCCGACAGGCCCCATATGCGTTCTCCACAAAGGTCACAGTTTGTTGGAATCTTGAATGTCTGCGATTTGAAGTTGTGATTTCGGGCTCCAAGGGAGAGATCACCAACCGCTGATATGATAGTTGACGTTTCAACATCTGCGGTGAGTCGTTTGTGCTCGATTTCATGAAGAGCTTCTTGAAGATAGAAAATTGACCGCACAACGTCAACTTCACTTCGTTTGTCGCGACCTTGCTGTATGTTTTTTCTCACTTGCTTGGCTGCCTCTACTTCTCGCCGCTTCTGTTCGGATTCGACTCTCAGGTCGCGAACCTGCGTCTTGCTCTTACTTAGAAGGTTCCGCAGGAATACTTTGGCTGTTTCATCCGTTATAAGTGTATCATCATCGTGCCAAACTGGGCTGGGCTCGAAGCCGAAGTTAGTTGGTTCCTGGAGCTGTATGACATTGTGGCGTAGGAACATGAGAGAGTCGAGGTGTGGCTGGTTCCGCGGAATCTCATTAAGCAGATTCGCCATATGCTCCGAACTCCTCGATGAAGATGTCTTCTCGAGCTGCGCCGCAATGGACCAAAATGAGTTTAGTTTTGCTATCCTGGTTTCGTTCAAGTCTTGCAGGCCCTATAATTCTCCGTCAGCCATAATCGGGTAATCTGTAACGCGCTTAACCAACATCTAGGATCTCCGGTACGTATTCGTGGAAGAACCTCTCCTTCATCTTATTGGTGACATTAATGCTGATCAGGTAGGTATTCTGCATTGGTTAGCAAAATGTACCGTAAATCAAGGATGGGACCAAATACCTTCACATTATTCATCTCTAGGATCTGCTGTTGGTATGCCGCTTGGGCTTTTGTTTTACTGTGGTCGAAGGAACTCTCCGTCTTCTTTCTTCTTGTCTCCACCTCTTGGCACGCACCGTCGTATTTGCCTTTGGCCTTCTTGAGTTCACCAAAATTCGCATCTCGTTCCTTTTCCAACTTTGTATGGAAATCCACATGGCATTTCCTCAACTCCTCGTACTGGAGTCCGGCTTGTTTCAGAGGCTCAGCAACCTGAACCAGGAGGTCTGTACCGAACTTATCCCGCTCTGCAGCATGCGATTCGACAGCCGATAGTTGTGTCGTCCATGTGGTAAGGGAGGCGCTCTCGAGGGACCCCGGAGTCATAGTAGGATTATCTCCAACACTCAGTGGACTGATTTTCTTCGCCTTGCGATCGTAGTACTTTTTACAGAGGGCCGTCAGTTTCGCCGCATACTCCTTCTCGATGGCGCTCCGTTCCCGGTAAAATTGCTGTATTTCATCCAGCCAACCTATTCCGTTGAAAACCTAGACATCAGAATCTTAGTACACACCTCTTTGCGGTACAATTGCCGTTGCGATGCCAGTTCCTAAAGAACAATCATGTGGGGGAAGCGACATTGAGGGACGTACCCAATTGTTGACCGGTTTGAACGCATCCTAGTTTCAGGGTATGGTTAGATGAAAGCCCATCGATTCCGGAACAAGGGAAGCATACCTTGAGTTCTGCTCCAAAATGAGGAGCAACATCCGGGGTTGCCATTCTAGGTGTGACAGAGTGACCAGAGTAAGGCGCATGAAACCTAGGGATCTAAGGCACCAGTGGTAATGCACGCAAGGACAGATATTGCGCCTCTGGGACAGTGGAAACACGGTCAGATCAAAGAACCTGCCTCCCGCGTGTCGACAATCAGTCGGCAACTCTGTACAACCAAGCTATCCGTCGTGAATCTCCGACTCTACACACCAGACAACCCGCCAGCGCCTGGGACTCGTGAGTATTGCTTATTTGATCTCTGGCAGGGCAATGCGGGAGAGCGGGGAAGGCGACCGGCAAAATGAACATAGAACACCCGTGACAATACGAAACAACCATATCAGGCCACGTTGGCTGCGTTAATCGTGGCTTATATTGCCCTTGTTACCGGTATTACCAGCATATATTACAAGTTACGTCACCCGTTGCCTGGGTCTTCAACGAGTCACCGCTTTCTTTATCGGGCTAAACTCAAGCCACTCGGATCTTTACCCAAAGCGGACTGGTGTCTTGGCAGCACTTCAAGACGCTTCCTCCTGCGTTTTCTGCCTGTGGATGTGGTGATTTTCTCTTCAAGATCCTTGTGGATTCGCGTTGGAAGTGTTTGAAGTCTCAGGCGCTCTTTCTGCGATAGCTTTGCTGAACAAACGGTTCAATTTCCTCCATTTGCGCTTCTTCTTACTCCATTTTGTTGATCGGGCTCCAAACATCCCCGCCAATCCAGCGCGCGCTTTTCACCCAGCTCACAGCCCAACGTTGATTTTGTGACCTTCCTTCCCAAGTAACAGATCATAATGGCATCTGAGGCTCCCGATGCTGGTTCCCTTGCGGATCGCATCTCCAAACCCGAAGAATCGAAGCCTGCAGGTACGAGCGCCACCTCGCATATAGTTCAACCGACCCCACCAGTCCTTCTACCAGACTTCATCGCATGAAACACATACACTAATCTGGCCGCCATCAGTAGAGAACACCGAGAAGACCGGTGACAATGAACAGACTGACGGTGCCGCCACGCAGCTGGGTGGCTCGGACCTCCACGAGCCTGAATACACCGTTGAGGTCAAACTCAGTGATCTCCAGGCTGATCCTAACAACCCTTTGTTTTCGGTAAAAACATTTGAAGAGCTTGGATTGTAAGCTTCCATTCTATTCTAGCCGCTATATATTATCTCAGGGAACTGACCGATCTTTGCTTTCTAGGGATCCACGTATCCTGAAGGGACTGTCCGCGATGAACTTCCGCAAACCATCCAAGATTCAAGAGCGAGCTCTACCCCTCCTGTTGAACAACCCCCCCAAGAACTTGGTCGGTCAATCCCAGTCCGGCACTGGCAAGACCGCTGCCTTTGTTCTGAACGTCCTCAGCCGCTTGGACCTTAGCACTGAAGAGGCTCAGAAAGCACCTCAAGCCCTGATTCTAGCCCCTACACGAGAATTGGCGCGCCAGATCGTTGGTGTTATACAGGTGATGGGTCAGTTCCTTGATGGACTTGTCATTGGCACTGCTGTCCCAGCGGATTCAAATGCTCGCCCTACGAAATTGCAGTGCTCGGTTGTTGTTGGTACTCCTGGAACAGTAACGGAGATGATCAAAAAGCGCGTTATGATCGCAAATAGACTTAAGGTGCTGGTGCTTGATGAGGCAGACAATATGCTTGACCAGCAGGGCCTGGGTGATCAGTGCATTCGTGTTAAGGCGTAAGTACATGCCTTTTGAGTTTCTCCGTGGCATAGCTAACTTCACGTAGTCTATTACCGAAGGATATCCAAGTAGTCCTCTTCTCCGCGACTTTCCCTACCCACGTCCATCGATATGCCTCGAAATTCGCACCATCCGCCAACGAACTTACTCTTCAGCACGAGGAGCTGACAGTGGAAGGAATTAAGCAACTATATGTCGATTGCGCAGATGAAGAGGACAAGTTTAGAACACTGGTCCAGCTCTACGGTTTACTCACCGTCGGGTCTTCCATCATCTTCGTCAAGGTTCGTTTGCAGCAAATTTTGAGACTGATTTAAGGGGACTAACCATCAGCTAGACACGTGCATCTGCCGTCGAAATTGAGAAGCGGATGGTCGGTGAAGGACACACTGTTGCATCCTTGACCGGTGGTGTTGAGGGCTCCCAGCGCGACGCCGTCATTGACCAGTTCCGTGAGGGTCAGGCCAAGGTTTTGATCACAACTAATGTCCTTGCACGTGGTATCGACGTTTCCACCGTCTCGATGGTCATCAACTACGTAAGTTGGATAGCATTGTTCACATTGTCTCCTTACTCACCTGTGTTCTTTAGGATATTCCCGAGATTCACCAGCGCGGTGGCCTTGAGAGACAGGCAGATTTCCAAACGTATCTACACCGTATTGGTCGTACGGGACGTTTTGGTCGTGTTGGTGTTTCGATTTCATTTGTCTCAAATCGCGATGAGTGGAACATGCTCAACCAGATCCAGAAATACTTCAACACAAACATTCAGCGTATTGACACAGGGGACTGGGACGAAGTTGAAGATATTATCAAGAAGACGATCAAGAATCCTCGATCTCAAGCTAATTTCGGACGATGAAATGACAGAAGGGAGAGAAGTGTGCCAACAGGACCCTTTCCTTCTGTGACCGAAGTAATACATTTTCAAAAGTCGACACTATTTTCAAGCAGTCAGTTTGGAAAGGGGAGGGCGTTGGCAGCAAGAATAGCTTGGAATAGGTTGATTTAAATGATGGTTGCAGGATGGGTTATGTGTGAAGAGTCATGACACGTTCCTAAATATGATTAAAAGTGAAAGAAATATCTAATAGATACCACTTGTTATGCACAAATATGTTATGAATTTTTTTTTTGTCCGAGGCTGGTTTTCTGCTGATATTGAAAAATGAGGGGCTGATAAAATCCATGGTGATGCTGTAACATTCAACAAGGGAGGGGGGGATGATGTCATACATTTCTCAAGCTGCACGGAGTAGATAAGCGGACTGCCAGGCCTGGAAGGTACAGTACCTCCGTCACACAATGTTAGGAACGTTCCCAATTACGAGTTGTAGATCGCTAATAAATAGACCACGGTAAGTGCTCTATAAGAGAGAATTGGAGGATCTGTTGCTCTTCCCCGGAATCCCAAACAAACTTGTCAGGTACAGTTGCACATACCACACGGATGAGGGGAACGATCTGGACCGCTGATAAGCACGGCTTACACCCTAGGAAAGGGCGGATTCAAGGAAACAGGCAAGGACAATTCTCATACGTCCTTCAATTTAGTAGGAAAATGCAGGAAAACATAGCATGTATTGCGTAAGTAAAAACAAAGGGACCAACTTCGTAAAGCTGCAAGTCATAGTAGGTTGGGCTGAACCCTGGACTGGGCCTCACTGTCCAGGCAGATAAGATGCGGAGAGATGTTACGGAACAAGTCACATGCAGGAGGCTTCCAGACATCTCCTCTACATTGTCTCTCTCACCCTTCTTCCCTTTCCTCTCCCTGGCTCTCTCTTACCTCTTTCTTGGTTTTCTCTACTACTGAAGTCACCATCCTGTACTTCACCACTTAACTCAACCGTCACCATGGTAGAGATAGATACTAGTACTTCTCCTAAAGAGTCATTGGAGACGACGACTGTTCAGTCCCCGACCTCTAGCTCCAAATACAGTAAGCATATCGTGGTAAGTCTCTCAATTGCCTACATGTAAAGCGTTCATTTCAACGTCTCTAAATTATATGCTAGTTGACTACCTACCCCGGCCAAAGCGGTATCGATCCGGTTCCTTTAAAATGGGGTGCCCCCGATGCAACATCTCGCGGTCCTGTCGTCGTTTCCCGCAGTGGTGCTCTGATCAAGCGCCGTAATGCTATGGGCGCGCATGGTGGGAGTTACAGTATTTACAACGCCCTGGCGATCGCAGCGGGCGACCTGGACTCCGATTTCCGCCCTGATTTCCGCAACACTGAACCTACCTTCAACTTTCCCTGGCAGCCTGCCTGGGCTGACAAGACCAAAATTGTCTCCATGGACCCCTACGGGCATGATATTGTCAATCAATTCCGGGAGGAGATTAATGCTGGCTGGGATATTCGCCCTACGATGGCGGTGACCCGTGCTAATATGAAACTTTCTGAGATTGGGGAAGCTATACGTGATGGGCAGTTGGAAGTTGATGGCTCAATTGTTGTCGACTCTTCTGGTGAAGTCCGCGTTACTAAAGTTGCTGTTGAACCGGTTTGGTACCTGCCGGGTGTTGCTGAGCGGTTTGGAGTGGATGAGCCCACACTCCGTCGGACTTTGTTTGAGCACACGGGTGGAAGTTACCCTGAGCTGATTACAAGACCTGACCTTAAGATCTTCCTTCCTCCGATTGGAGGCCTTACAGTATACATCTTTGGTCCTCCGGAGCGAGTATCTGATGAGAAGGTGAAACTTGCCTTGCGGATTCACGATGAGTGCAACGGAAGTGATGTGTTCCAGTCTGATATTTGCACATGTCGACCTTACTTGGCATTTGGCATCCGTGAAGCAATCCGAGAGGCGCAGAATGGAGGTAGTGGTGTTGTTATCTATTTCCGGAAGGAAGGTCGTGCATTAGGAGAGGTGACCAAGTATTTGGTCTACAATGCCCGCAAACGCGGAGGTGATACCGCCGATAAATATTTTACAAGAACTGAAAATATTGCTGGGGTTCGAGATGTGAGTGCTAACAATACAACCACTAAACCTATCCTGACATGGATCGTGATATAGATGCGTTTCCAAGCCCTCATGCCCGATATCCTGCATTGGCTGGGCATTAAGAAGATCGACCGGATGCTTTCCATGTCCAATATGAAGCACGATGCCATCGTCGACTCGGGAATCAAGATTCTTGAACGGGTTCCTATACCAGAGGACATGATTCCTGACGACTCGCGGGTCGAGATTGATGCAAAGATCAACGCTGGATACTTTACTACCGGAAAGCAGTATACTATGGACGAGCTGGCTCAGGTGCGCGGGCGTGGCTGGGAAAAGTGGGAGGACGTTACGGTATGTAATTTTTTTTGTTGGTGATTTTTAAACAGGGCTTATTGCTAATCTTCTATGCAGCATTAATCGCGAGGCGTTGGATGGCATGCAAAGGGTTTACGTTTATGATGCATGATCCTTTTTTTTTTTTTCCTGCCGACGTTGATGGCGCTTTATATTCAGCTTATCATCCTTTTAGAACAATGTGCAGAAACCGAACATATCTAAGAAAATCTGTAGAGAATATGAAAATGCTCTACAACAGAAAACAAATATACGTTGATCTCGGATTTTCTCCGTAACTCTCGGGTCCAGCCCCCGCAAATCGAGAGATCAAGCCTGATAAGAGCTCCCACTCTCGGCTTCCGCCCCCGAGTCGGATATTTATCCTTTTCTCCTCCCCCGCTCAGAAGTATAGGTATATATTCAAGATGATGGAATCCCTCGCAAGCAAGTTGAGCACAAGCGATGCTTTTTGAAGCGAAGCTCAAGTGAAAGCCTCATACATACTGAACGTACCAATTAATTTTCGTTTTCATTCATATTGATTCAAACCCAGTAGGTAATAATGGCATCGCAGCACCCCGCAGTTAGTCCTCAACCCCACGTTCCCAAACCGGGAGTATGGTGCCCTGCCGTAACATTCTTCAACCACGAGACAGACACTCTAGACCTTGAGTCTCAAAAGCAATACTATGCGTATCTCTCCAAGACCGGCCTCGCCGGTCTCGTTATCCTCGGAACAAACTCGGAGGCCTTCCTCCTCACCCGGGAAGAGCGCTCCCAACTCATCGCTGCCGCCCGCGAAGCCGTCGGCCCTGACTTTCCCCTGATGGCCGGTGTGGGCGCACACTCCACTAAGCAAGTGCTGGAGCTCGCAGCAGACGCAGCCGCCGCCGGTGCAAACTACCTTCTTGTCCTGCCCCCTGCTTACTTCGGCAAAGCCACCACAAATACGGTCGTGACGCGGTTCTTCGCCGACGTTGCGCGTCAGGTAGCTCTTCCTGTCGTGGTGTATAACTTCCCCGGCGTCTGTAACGGTGTGGATCTTGACTCGGAAACCATCACTGCTATCGTGCGGGAGTCTGCGGCGTCTAGCCCCGACGGTGTCTCGAATGTTGTCGGCGTGAAGCTTACTTGTGCCTCTGTGGGTAAGATCACCCGGTTGGCGGCTACATTCCCACCGTCTGAGTTCGCTGTATACGGTGGACAATCGGATTTCTTGATAGGGGGGTTGAGCGTTGGGTCGGCTGGGTGTATTGCGGCCTTTGCGAATGTGTTCCCGCGCACGGCATCTAGGGTCTATGAGTTGTATGCTGCTGGGAAGGTGACCGAAGCGATGGAGCTGCAGAGGAAAGCTGCATTGGCGGAGAGTCCCTGTAAGAGTGGAATCGGTCCGACTAAATATGCAACTGCGATTTACACGGCTCCGTTGGCGGGCATTGAGGGGGCAATAGAGAAGCTAAAGCCAAGGACGCCATATGAGGAGCCGGCGGAGGGTGCAAAGAAGCAGGTTCGGGAGTTCATGGATGACATGGCGTCGGTTGAGGTGACCCTTTAGAATAAGACCGAAAAATACATTACCTCGTGGCTCAATTTCTGCGTACACATTCGGACGGACAGGTGGGATATTTATGCACATTATGCTATGCAGGGATCACCGCATAGGTGGTCATGTGACATCACCAGCCTTTCTGCCAGGCGGAGTGTATAATTACACTTCATTACCAGTAGAGTCGCTGGATTTGCTGCAAAGTTACAATACACAGCGTCACCAGCGTCGGCTTGCCGGAAGTCGAGTTTCCCGTGATCATACGACGCCCACTTCAAGGCAGTCATTGGCGCAGAGTCATCATCAACTTTTTTTTTTCCATGGATGGCGTCGAAGACAGGCTACAGGTACCTGAATGAACCTTTCGTCGGCAAATATCCTCGCAGGTAGGGGACAAAATAACCAATTGTCGGCTCGTTTTTCGATTCATTCTTGCAACGGACAAATCATTCTCATAGTTACAGGCCGCCAGTTTACTTTGTGATACTTCCTGCAAGTTTCGAACAAATCGAGGCCAGCGAGCAATATTCCCTACGGAGTACTCCGTAGGGACCAGAACAGCCCAGCCTGTTGGATCGTCCCGCTAGTGGAACAATCAGAATCTCCTATTTCATGTGAAGTAGGAACTACGGCGCTCGTCAGTCGCCGCGCCCTCAACTTAGCCCCAACGGTTTAGGAAGATCTTAAAAAAGACACCGTCCGCAGCCTGTCTATTGTTTTCACCTCCCCTGCCAAACCTGATCTGATATTTCTCTCCGGTTCATTGAAATCCCAGTACTTGACCACAACTGATCCAATTTGATTTCCAACAACCCCCCTTTGCACGCCTCCGATCCACCTTCTCCACATTTAGACACTTAGGTCCGTTAGCGTTGATTATCAAGTGGCGGCTAGTTAGGCCTCCTCTTCCAGACAACTCTGCCTTTTCCGACTCCTGTATGTGTGCCAGACACCAGATACTTCATGGACCGGGCTTCCTTATGCCCATTCATTGTCGTTTCATTGCTGATATCTGTGATTGAGGTGCATGAAACAGACTGGGACACGACTACCATAAACTAGTGCTTACGTGATTGTACCTTCATGGTCAAGGCCCCAGCCGCTGGATAAGATGGCTGTTCCGGGAATGGGCAGTGACTTCCAGCTTTTCTCTCCCGTCTCGTTGAGAGACAGAAAAGGTTCTCAAGGAGACTCGGGAAGCGATGATGCCGGCCAGGATTGGACTCAGTGGATGAGATGGGACGACCAGAACTTCCCGGATATCGTCAAGGACATGTCAATATCGCCGTCGGATATCCCCATGGCATCGCCAAATACCTCGATATCAAAGAACAGTCTGGACTATCTCCAAACATCCGACTTCTCGCCCAATCTTCCAGTCGACTGTACGAACGTGCCGTTTGAACCGTTCTTGGTTCAACATTCCGGCGGTGTGATTCCGTCACAAATAATACCAAACGACGGCACGGAGTTATACTCCGCGAACTCGATTGCATCTGGATCTTCTCCGGCCTCCTTGATCGGTGCCGGTATCAAACGGAAATCAGGCAGTGATGATGACGGATCGACTATCAGCGGGCTAGTTCAGAATGGAAGGAAGATCCCATCCAAGAAAAGAGCGCATAATGTCATTGAAAAACGATATCGAGCGAATTTGAACGAGAAAATTGCAGAACTCCGGGATAGTGTACCTTCTCTGCGGGCGAGTAAGGGCATGGGTGGGAATGTAGTCGACGACGATGATGAAGGTGTAACACCAGCAAACAAGTTGAACAAGGCTTCCATCTTGTCCAAAGCAACCGAATACATCCGACACCTCGAAATCCGAAACAAGAGGCTCGAGGATGAAAATACTGCCCTGAAGATCAGACTTCGTGAACTAGAAAAGGCTGCCGATCAATCCCTAACTTCAGCAGCATCTGTCTCCTCCCCCAGCAACTACACCGTTTCCAGCGAATCCCGCGCAAGCGCTTCTCCAAGCATATTCTCACATTCGGAAGATAGCCCTATTGATCACTCGCCCTCTTCTTCCCAGTCCACAGCAGGCATGATCAAGATGCCAGACTCTTTCAAGAGGCTACGTGCTGAAGCTGCCAAAGACAATGCGTGGTCTCAGTCTTATATCCAGTATCCTAGTGGGAATAGTGGATCAACCCAGCCCAGCGGTGGACGCAGAAGGTCGCATTACCCGAATAAATACATGCTGGGTGCTCTTGCCGGGTTGATGATCATCGAAGGAATGGGTAAGGAGAAGGACTCCGAATCAACTGCCAAGGGCCTGTTGGCACTTCCGATCCACCTGATAAAGCATCTTCAAGCTCCACCATCTTTGTATTTGGAATCAGTGGGCCGCAATTTCTGGTCATCCTGGCATGCTAGGGCTATCCTACACTTCCTCGTTCTTGCTACCCTCGTGGTTGGTGCTGCGTTCGTTGTGTTTGTCTACCTCTTCAACTCGGGGCCAGGGCGTCAGTACTCCTCAAAAACATCATCAGCACCGGGTGTCATGTTGTCTTCTTCCAACTTCAGGCGTCAGGCTTGGTTGACTAGCATCCAACGAGTCGGGGTACCAAGACATAGGTTCTTCCACGAATGGTATGTTGTGACATCGCGTTGTTTCGAATATGTTATACGATGCCTTCTGGGATGGAAACTCTACTCGTCGATCACAGGAATTACTGAGGAAGATGAAAGAGGTCGGGTGAAAACGTGGGACATCGCAATTGATGCTCAGCTCTCTGGTGGTGATGCGGAAATCAGCAAAAGCAGGCTTGTTCTCACAATTTTCGCTGCTGGAACTCTACCACGCAGCCCCATGAGGATGATGCTGAAGGCTCTTCACTGCCGTATCCTTCTTTGGCGGGTAGGAGTTCCGGGATCATGGAGCTTTCAAATATCGAACGATGTTGCTCGTGGACTAGCCGGGTATCAATGGGATTTGGCACGAAAGATGAATGCATTCCTGCCCAAAGACCATCCAAATGCGCTCCCTAGCCACCTTGCTACCTTGCTAGAGTTCGATAGTGAGGATGTCATGATTGATAGCATTACCCAAAGGGCAGCTAATCTTACGTGGAATCGCCCTACTCAGGAGGGATCCGACGGCGATGATGCGCTTCTTGATGTGATAGAAGAAGATCCTGCCATTCAGTCCTCTTTAGACGCGCTTGCTGCTTGGTGGTCTTCTCACCTTTTGCAACGTGCTCTTCTCCAATACTTCGAGGCAAGTTCTCGTGGTCCTGACGCCAAGAAGAGCCGCGATTTATTCAAGTCCCAAATCAAACTGGCCCTTGGAGTGGCACCGCAACCATCTGCCGCTCATACACGTGCTCTCGTTATGATGGCCGTTTTCTTCGAACAAGATCGCATCACGAACATTGGAGCGGTCCTTTCTGCGTTGCCAAAAGAAAAGGGTAAGAGCAAGCAGAACCAGGCTTCCAACTTCCTCGATTCATCCCTACCCGTTTCTATCCGAGAAGAAATATCCATAGCCGTACGCTGCGCTATGATCGCCGCTATTTTCACTGCGCGATCTAGTGGTGACCACTCGCTCCCTGCATCGTTCACAATGGACAAGGCTGTTACTTGGTTCAACCAGTTGCCCCTTGATCCGGTTGAGCTGACTCTTTTGGGCTTCGCCGCTGTCTATCATTTACTCCACGTTCTTGCCTCGGATACGGGCTATCTATCCTCTTCAGACTCCTCATATCCCTCCTCGCCCGTGCTTAAAAGCTCATCCCTACCATTGAATTCCTCGGAAGATGAGGTAGACACTGGTCCATCCTCTGCTCATATCCACAAAATATTACCTCAACCTGTTCCTCTCCTTGGTCGTGTGGCTTCGGAGCTCATGTACTGGGCACGAAATGCTTATAACCCAACATTTTACGGATTTACGTCCAATCTTATCAAGGTTATTGAAGCGGAGTGTACTTCTTTATGTCACAGTGCTGGTGTTGATGTCGCCGATTATTCTTGCATCCAGGAGGAGAAAATGAAAGCGAGACAGCGCTCCGATAAAAAGAAGAAGAGGGCACCACGAAGACCCAAAGCACTTGAAAAACAACAAGTTTGTACTTCTGCGAAAGGCCCTCAAACCACGAACTTAGCGACAGATGATTGTCAAACTTCCCAGGCCCAAGGCCGGAATCAAACGTCGGATACACCACGGGAACAAGAACCTTCATAGGAAAAAAGTTGACTAGCCCTCTCTGTGGGCCTTCTTCTCATCATTATATTGTATAGCCATGTTATATTATGTTCCTCTCTGTTTCTCTCTTAATAGTTGGTATGACACGTATGGCCAGGGTCATGGGCGGACAAATTTTGGTACAACGGTGTTTATGGATTTGTTACGGCTATCCTTCCACTAAGATCTTTCTTCCCTCTATTCCAATAAACTGAATTTGCTGCCATGAAATGGCGGGTTGCCTTGTGTGGACTTAATTCCTAATGTTTTTACTCAAAATGTTTTCTTCGTCCGGTGTTACGAGTTCTGACCTCCGATTCAAATCTGCTGTTTCCATATGAAGCGGTCTCTTCGCCTGAGATATGCTGAAGTCTTTTTTATGAACTGAAAGCTGGCTTTCGGTTGCATGCTGGAGTTTTACTGACTATACTTCCTTAGCCCTAATGGCATGCGAGAGGATTCCTTGACCTCGGAAAATACTTGCGGCCTTCGCCCTTGGTCTAACGACTTATGATTTGCAGGTTGAGAATGAAGTTTTTCCGGCCTAGTGACCGTCATTCTTTTTCGCTGGCTCCACGGTCTCTACAGGCACGCACGCAAGCATCATAGACCCTTTTTCCAAGGCCCCTCCGTTAGAACGATAACCGAGACCTGTGTTCGCTCAAAGTGAGCAAATTGACCATCTCGTCTATGGCCGGGTGCCTACCAACTTGGGCAATTGATTTTCCGAGACAAAGGAAAGCTCTAACGTTACAATAGCACCCCTGGTCTTCATATTCCGCGATCTGCACATCACCAGCGACTGAAGTGGTGTTGCCATGTTTGGTATACCCTTGAGATGGATGACGTTTGTGCACTATATCCATGATGAATACCTATAGCCGATCTTAGCGATCGATGGGATACGACCTGAGTAGGAAACTGGGAAACCGCACTCAAGTGGAGAGCAGCATCGTGGCTTGCAAGAGGTGTACAGCTGCTTTGTCACCTAGCTAGGTACCTAGGCAGGCACTAGGGACTCGAGTACTCTCGCTGTCTGGGCTTGCAGCTTTTCATTGCTCTAGAGCTTCTACGTCACCGTCCCTTGGACCGCAGAAGGTTGATGCTGAATGAAACATAAATTTTGTTTTATAATTACCAGGATAGGAAGCAGCCCGGGAAACGGAGCTGTGGAGGGGCTTGGAATAGGTACTTGAGGCTCCAGTTTGAGTGAATGGGCCTTCGGATTCGACGGATGCTCACATCGAACCTCGACCTGATTTCCGTTTTCGGAGCCGCGGTTTCATCGCCTGCACTCGTTCGAGCTCCACGAAGCAGGACCACCTGCCCCCTTCAACATCGATGGGCCCCCACTATCTGCTAATGGATGCTGCCAGATACTGCCAGATTTTTTTCCCTTCCCAATCAGGATTCGATCTGCCCATCTAGATGCTGAATCGGCTGGTCCCCCGGCTTTGTCCAGGCCCTCCCCTGGAGCGACCAGACGCTCACATTCCCCACATTCTTCCTGGTTGCAATCGCATTCTTGGCCTGACAGCAATTCGCACGACCAGCTCATTGGATTTCCCACGAGGTAACTTGTGCGGGCCACCTTGGCGATCCCGGGCTAGGTTGGATGACGGCATTGCTGGGCATACAGTAGATCGAAGTAGTCGCACGTCATGACACGTATCGTTTGTATTCGGTACTCTTTATCGAGTATATGTAGCCCCTGGGATCTTTGCGGCCTCGTTCCGAGAGAAGACTGGATGGGTGATTGTTCAATGCATGTGAGGGGTGCAGCTGTAGCTGCCTCGTGGTCTTCCAATCTGATCGAATCTCGGTTTAATCTCAAAGGCTCAAGAAGATGGGGGTGGATCTTATAGGACCGGGAGGACACCGCTCTAAAGAAGTCCATCCTCCCATGAACATAGCGCTGGCAACTCCTCTTTTTGTACTCGCCGGCGCCTTTGGGATCCTTTTCATTGTCCGTGTCCTTGTCAAGCTACAACTTCGCCAACGTCTTCGCGCAATCCATCGAGGCGACGACCAGTCAAGATTCGAAGAATGCAATAGTTTGATTTCAGGCCTCAACAAACATGTTTTCTACGCGCCACTGCTGTCCACTCGGCATAGTCGCGAGTTTCGCATTTGGGGCGATGTCCACATGGGGACGGTACCGTTGAGACTGGAGGCTTTGCTGCTGGCAGCATACATCGCAGTGAACCTGATATTCTTCTTTTCCCTGGTGGACTGGTGGAAGGATTACCAGGAAGTGACATATGAGCTCAAGTATGCTGCTGGCCACCTTGCAGTAATGAATACTCCAGCACTCGTGTTAACAGCTGGTCGAAACAATCCGTTGATTCCTCTTCTTGGGATTCAGTTCGATACCTTCAATCTTCTTCACCGCTGGGTCGGTCGATTAATTGTTGTTGGAGCCATTGTTCACATGGCTTGCGTGGTAGCAGGGAAATCTGCACAAAGTAGGTGGCCTCTTTCCCGGATCGCTGGATCCTTTTTTAACAAGTGGAATAGTGAGCATGGGGGAAATTACTCATTTGATATGGACTGTTCCTTTCTTTATATACGGAATAGTGGTAAGTAAATCCGGTTTGAATGTATGAGATGCGTGGTTCTAACGGTTGGTAAAATGGCAGGCTCTCATAGCATTTGTCCTGATATTGATTCAATCTGTTTCACCGATCCGACACGCATTTTACGAAGCATTCCTCCATTTTCATATCGCCCTAGCAATAATGGCATTTGTAGGGCTTTGGTACCATCTCAAGGGTCTCACTCAGCAGCGTGTGCTCCTCGCTACGCTAATTCTCTGGGGATTAGAGGTAGGCTTCTTCTATTTCCTTGCGTAACTGGTTATGACATTGCGAATAAAGCCAGTGAACCTTCCAGTTCGGGCCAGACGAGGCAATACTAACCATTGAACAGAGAGCTGGACGGCTAGGAAGCCTTATTTGGCGCAATTGTGGTAAGCATCGCACAAGGGCCGATGTTGAGCTTCTCCCCGGGAATGTGGCTCGCGTCACTGTTAGGCCTGCAAGGCCGTGGACATTCAAAGCTGGACAGTATATGTACTTGTATATTCCGTCACTGGGATTGTGGACTTCACACCCATTCTCAGTGGCCTGGATATCGTCCAATGAGACAAAGGTTACGGAGAAACGAGGTTCTGGCGACTCCTTCAATCTCCTGCTGGAAGAGCGACAGCAGCCTACCGTCTCGTTTTTGATCAGACGGCGTGATGGGTTCACGAGTAAATTGCTTCAGAAGGTGAATAATACCGACCAAGGGCAATTTTGCGCCACCGCACTTGCAGAAGGACCGTTTGGTATGTCACAGAGTATGGACCTTCCTTTAATATTGTAAGAGCTAACGATACATATAGGTGGACTTCACTCTCTGACCTCCTACGGAACGATAGTTTTAATTGCCGGAGGAATCGGGATAACACACCCAATGTCGTATATGCATGAATTTGTCGAGGGCTTTGCTGCACAAACCATCGCTGCACGCAGGGTTAGTCTGGTCTGGGTTGTTCGCAGTCTCGGTACGTTTGTTTGCTCTAGCTTTGCAAATGGCGATGGACACACACTAACTAATATTGTAGACCATCTTGCTTGGGTCCAACCGTGGATGACCTCACTGCTCAATCACCCGGCGGTCCAAATCCCAGCGGCACAGAAACAACACTCCTACTTTCAGCTCCCAGAGTTCTCCCTGTCTATCCAGATCTACGTGACGGATCGAGACTGTAGCTCGGAGGAATACATGTCTGACGAAAGCCCCTGGGCTTCGGCCGCCCCTCCCAGTGTTCCGGTTCATATTGGCTTCGGGAAGCCGTGTTTCAATGAGGTCCTGGAGGCCGAGCAGGCCAAACAGGTAGGGGCCATGGCTGTGAGTGTATGCGGGCCCGGTGGAATGGGAGACGATGTCCGCAGCACGGTACGGAAGATGCAGGGCACGAAGACTGTAGATCTCTACGAGGAGACGTTTTCCTGGTAGCATAATAATTATCATATATACCTTTCAGGCCATAGCCACTGCTTTCTTCATACCTGTCAAGAGAAACAGATCTAATGTAGATTACAGCACACATCAAATACACATTCATGGGCGCCAACGCGCTCCCTTTATTGAAAACACCCTCGATATTCTGTTCTCTTGAGTAGTGTGGTATTGTTTGCTGTGGTTAGATACATATACATATATATATATATATATATAGTTCTGAGGCAGAAATTCGCTTGACGAACATAATAACCGAGTATCTTTTTTCCTCATGTTCTGAACGTCGTCAACCAAGTGTAGAGATTTAGTTTACTGAATAAATCGAGTAAGAGTTTTTTTTTTTCTTAACAGTCTGACGGTGTGGCAAAACCTGATAGGCTAACTAGGTAGCTGCTGTATGTCTATGTATATATACCGGAGTATGTATGTAGTGTAGTGTATAGGAACCCAGTATCCGTCTACCATCTAGAAGAAAAGCACCACTAAAGGATTCCCCCGCCCTCCTTTCAAAAAGCTTTAATTATGTATATCCCAAAGTGGATTAAAAATCCGCCCCCCCAGCCTTTAATGCCCACCGAACCAAGTCCGCTATTGTGCGGCTCACGGCTTCAAACCTCGGAATCTCATGGCCGCCGCCATGGTTATACACCTTTCTTTTACTCGCCGTGCACGCCTCCGAGAGTTGAATCCCAGCCACGTACCGTGGATCGCGCGAGCCATACACGTGCACTGTAGGAATCGAGATCTTGACGTCCCCGACAAGCTCCTTGCGTACATCTTCCTCCTGGAATTCGGGGACATCGAGCCCCACCCAGCGCGACGAGCCCTGGGATAGGATTGCGGAGGAATCGGCCATTTTGGATAATGTGACGCGGGACTCGGCGTCGCGGTCTCGCATTGCGGGGGCGATGTGGTAGCCGATGTGTTCGAGAATCGGGATTGAGGCGCCGCCGCAGATGAAGACGGCGGCTTTGAATGGTGGAGCCGGTGGAGCGGGGTCTTTTGCTTCTTCTTCCGGGGGCCCGTTATGTTGCGGGCTTTGGGGGCTGGGTTTGGCTTCGGATTCGTGGAGAAGGAGCATTCCTGCTGCGACGGCGCAGCCCTGGGAGAATGTCAGGACGAGATCGTAGGGTCCACGCTCGGCAATTAGGTCGGTCAGCCAGCTGCGCACGCGGTATACGGCTTCGAGGGTGTTGTCTTCGGTGTATGAGTAGTAAGGTGGGGGGTAGAAGAGGTCGATTCCGGGGGCAGGGCCACAGGGGTATTGGCCGTCGACATAGTCGAATTCGAGATTAAGGTCACTGAGCCGGGAGCGGATTGAAGCTGTGGGTTGTTAGTTTGGTGGTTTTTAACTATGCTTGGGGGGGGAGGAACGGACACAGCTGCGATCTGAAAATCGCCCCGCTTGTTCCTCTTCCGTGCAGACAGAGGACTTTCATGATGATCTGGGATTCTTGTGTGCTTGAATTCTGGATGGCGCAGGCAGAGATTGGAGCGGGTTTATGAGTGAATCGGGCTCAAGAGGAATATCGCGGACAACGCCGTGTCCTTGTGAGCCGCAGCTGATGGGACTGGAATCGCTCTTTGGATGGCTGCAGTCGGGGACAAAGTAAGGGCCCTCCTTGATAAGCTGATAGATTCTGAAAATCCCGCCCTTGTCTAGACTCATGTCGGAGTCCGGAGTATCTCTACCTAATGACCTGCAGCCACCTGGTAGTATCGGTGTAGACACCTGTATGACACCGAGACACGTCCAAATTCAACAAGAATATTATGCAAGGATGCGGTTATCCTCTCTAGGATGAGTGAACAAGGTCGGTATACTCCGTATAGCAAAACAAAACAGAATTCCCAACAAGGCTGTGTTGAAATCAGCCGTCAAATCTTAGAAAAACCCCCGCTTCCGACTAATTCCAGGCGTTGTTGAAAGTCGCCGAATGTTGTTGTATATAGATCGTTCGGTAAACCAGCCTCAATCTCTCTCCAACATGCTTACTTTTTCATTTGCATCTCAACACTTGCATTTGCACTGAGTGACAGCGGGGTGAGAAGCCTCAAGCCCGCCCTCATCTCAGCATCCTCCTCCGTTAGAGTGGCATTCTTCCCTGTGCCGATTCCAAATGCCCGTTTTGTGGCTTTCCAGCCTTCCACCAGTGCCACATATACAACTACACACCCAAACACAACCCCCCATTCCCAACTAATACCGCGATGCTTGAAAACAATCCGATTCACGGCTGGGAGGTATATTACCGGAAACGTGATCACGAACCCTGCGATTACTGCCCAGAAAAGAAACCGGTTTTGCCAGACTGAGTGGAATACCGATAGCTTCCCTGGGTACCGGATCGGGTCCAGGTTAAAGAGCGACCGTGAAAAATGTTTCACTTCCCAGGCCGTAACAAGTAAAAGGAAAGTTAGGGTTGCGTACGTGGTGGCGCGTGCCTCGAAGACGGTGCCACAGCTTTCATTCCATCCTTCGTTACAGTCGTGGCCTAGGTCGGAGGTACCTGATCCAGCTCCGTAAACCACGCTCACGAATGCCACCAAACATAGCGAACCCATAAAGGTACCGTATATCATCTTGTCCATGATAAGCTCTCGTGTGAATACTCCCACCTTCAAATCATGCGGCGGGCGGTACATGATATCGGGCTGAGCTTCTTCCAAGCCCAGACCCAACGCAAGGAAGGACGAAGTGATCAAATTGGCCCAAAGTATTTCTAGAGGCGACAACGGGAAAATTGAATTACCTTCTTCATCTTTGAATGCTAGTGCAATTAGAAGTAGAATGACCTGGGCGATGTTGGATATTAACAGGTGCATCAAAAACTAGAATACAGTTAGTACGAGCATATGATATGGGACTTGATGAAAGAACTCGCCTTCTGAATATTGTCAAATAGGCGGCGACCTTCCTCCACAGCTTTTACAATCGACGAAAAGTTATCATCGGTCAGGACCATGTCGGCGGCTTCCTTGGCTACGTCGCTGCCGTTCTTTCCCATGGCGATACCCACATCGGCACGTTTCAACGCCGGTGAGTCGTTAACTCCATCGCCGGTCATAACGCAAAATGCTCCTCGTCGATGCATTGCTTCTACCATTCGAACTTTTGTCGTAGGACTGCACCGAGCGATCACCAAAGGTAACTGCTCTATAGCGTCTATGGCGTCATCCGTCCACCGATCAAATTCTTCAGCCGCCATGACCAGTCGACTCGACTTGGCGTGGATAAAGGGATCGAGAATGCCGACTTCGGCCGCAATTGCTGTTGCGGTGCGAATGTGATCTCCCGTGAGCATATGCACCGTGATTCCAGCCATTTGACATCTGCGGACAGCAGCAGCTGTCTCGACACGAGGGGGATCATACAGCCCAACTAGGCCAGCAAATTTGAGATTAGTCTCGGCCATATTTCGCGGGGATACTTGGTCTTTGTCGATGATGGGAGAAATTTTGTATGCAACGCAAAGTACACGCAGACCTTCGCCAGCCATCCTGTCCGCGGTTTCTCGGAGGTGTTCTTTATCATTCTCGTCGATGTTGAGACTAGCAAGAATCGTTTCAGGCGCTCCTTTGGTAAAGACTTCATTAACTTGTGCTCGCCGATTTGTGTATACAACAGTCATCCGCTTGATTGAAGAATCAAAGGGGTATTCTGTATGAAGCTGTAGATCTCTGTCTTGAATAATACTTGGCTTGTCATAACCAAATCTCATTGAAAGAACTCGAAGCGCTATCTCGGTAGGTTCTCCAACAGCAGTCCAGTTACCCTCGGAAACCTGGTCAGGTTCTTTGCCCGAAGAGTTAGAGTGCACATCATTGTGTACAAGTGAGAGATTGCAGAGGGAAATAGCCGTTAAAAATGCGTTCATGTCGTCGTTCTCTTGGAGCTCATTTAGGTCACACGCTTTGCCATCGAGTTGAACCAGTCCACTCGAGGGATCAAACGGGTTGGTTGTCTGGTGAACAGTCAGGGTGCCAACATCTGGAATCCATGCAGTGCGTGCAATCATTTTCCCTTGTGTTAGCGTTCCTGTTTTATCAGAGCAAATATTTGTGACTCCGCCGACTGCTTCAAGACACTGCAGCTTGCGAACGATTACGTTGCCTTTTGCCATTGCCTTGGTACCAACAGCTACTGTTATGGTGAGCACTGCAATTAATGATTCAGGCACCACCGCGACTGCAACACATATTCCATATATCAAGACTTCGCCCTGGACATCCCATTTGTTCACAGAAAACACAATCATAGCCAGGAGTATTGCCAGCGCAAAAAGGAGCAATGCAAACTTGCTCAATTTAACCTGCAATGGGGTCCCAACGAGTCCAAGGAGATTCTTTACTGTGGCACTTGAACGTTTGAACGTGCGGATGAAGAGGTTTGAGTCATCAAATTCAGGTCTATCCTGGAGAAGCTGTGCAATCTTCCCAACCTCTGTCATCATCCCTGTTGCAGTGACGACCCCGGTTGCTCGACCTTGAGTTGTGCTACAGCCAGAGTAAGCCATGTTGGTTCTATCGCCGATAGGGATATCCAGTGAGGTGAGAGTGACATGCGGCGTCTTTACTACAGGGAGAGATTCGCCTGTTAACAGTGCTTCATCCATTGATGCGTTCATGCCATCGAACAACCTCATGTCTGCAGGAACAATATCCCCCACAACTAGTTGTACGATGTCACCCACAACCAGAGACTCGGCCTTTACAGAGGCAACGCGGCCATTCCGTAAGACCTTGCATACTGGAGCAGATAACCGGTGAAGGGATAGAATAGTTTTCTCCGCGCGGTAGTCCTGAATGAAACTAAAAATGGATTGTAAGAAAACAATGTCAAGAAGCTAGGAGGTTTTGCTTACCCTACGATCATGTTGAGGAGGATCACTGCAGTGATCACCCCCGCTTCAATATAATCATGGATCCCATAAGACACTGCCATGGTGATCAAGAGAACCTAAGGTTGCGCAGTCAATTATGGGGAACCTCTCACCGCATGGCGGTTGCAGATGGGTATGTGGGCTGATATCATACTAAGGTCAGACTGTTGGAAACTTGCCTCAGCAGGATTTTCCATACGGATAGTCCTTCCATCTCTCTGACTCTATTTGGTCCATCTCGCTCAAGACGGGCCGCGGCCTCTGAACTTGAGAGCCCAATTCTAAGCAGGTGAGTTAATCCTGCGGGGTGATGAAGGAAAGAGAAGCATACTGAAGATGGACATTGAAAAGCTGCGAGAGACCAGGAGGGTCGATAGTGTGAGCATAGTGCGAGGGACCTGGTAGGTCTGACTTAGGATCATGATTTGACGGAGTCTGTCGAGTCTCGTGCTGTAAAGTCGTCGGGTTTGCAGAGTACTGGGTCTTCTCGATGTCCCTGCTGGCCTTTACATCTCCAAGAGATCTAGTTTGTTGTAAATTTTGTTCCTCTGAGTAAGCACATATAGGAGGCTCTGTCGATTCCTCGACCTCGGGTGGAGATGTGTCTATGCCCATTCAATTAAAATTGAGGTGAAATGGAAAGACTTATATAGCTAAGTGATTCGAGTGCTTTAGCAAAGGCTCGACACCTGAAGGACCGAATAATAAAGAAAAGAGAGATCAGCAAGGCAATGGCAGACAGTCCTATGCCAATACTCTGAACATGCTTTATAGCCTGAGAGGAGGACTCGGCGCAGGACACAGTTGAGAGACGACCAAGAATCGCGAGGGGCTGACCACACGTACCTCCCCCACCACTCGCGAAACCTGTATCGTTTTCTTGGCAGATTTCATCGGTTATTAGGATTCCTTGGTATCCCAACTGTGACCTATAGGCTGGGTTAAAGCCACTAAGGGCTTGGATGCTAGGCTGGGGGACCTAGATTGGACGGAGCGCAGTCCGGGGAATGGCCAGGTGGAGACCATGTCCAAGGTGATCAATGATGGGTTGTCCCAGAAGACATGCTCCATCATCTCACTACGCCTTTTGTGGGGGTGAATGATGGGGCTAGTGACCAGTGAGATCGCGCTGGGATGAGGAGAATGAAGGAATAGTGTCGAGAATGAAGGAAATGGACCCCGACAGCTGGGCACACGTGAACGAACGATATGCAGCCACTGTTGCGATTCTGACAGAGCAACAACGCAACATATTTCTCCATCTTTGAACGCCAATATGGTGATCCATAAGTGATCAAGTGAATAATCCACCTGTTTTGCTGCTTCTTTAGCAATATCTTGCCAGTTCAAATAAAGCATCATGGCACGATTCTGGTTCTCTCGTCCATCTGGATTTTGATTCACTCCTCGCCTCTCGGCGTGTGGCTGAGCTTACTAGGTATTCTCGGCCTGGTTTGCAATGAGTAACTAACTATTAGGATTTGGTCGGTATCGAATCCTACGAATCCCATCCCTGTGTCGGTTATATCTTTATCGGTATCTAAGAGGGGTTGGAATCATCCATGGATTACCCCGAAGTATAGCTACTTCTAGAACCCACTCGAGCACGACTTCATTCCTGTTTTTGGCCGTTTCCCAGTCCCAGCATTGGGGGATCTTTCCAGCGTTGTCGTTATCCAGGTTCCCAGATAAACAGCTAGCATTCGTGAAGTCTTGCCCTGTGCCGCTTGCTACTGGCTGCCTGGCCAAGGCGGTTGTGTCCATATCGCCACGGATCTCATTTAATGTGGATTGGAAACCACATCCTACCGGCTAATACCGATCTGTTCTCATTATAATCTGAAGGATCCATGAGTACGTTATGTCTGACACACTTGAATAGAATTTGGGCTGTCTCTTTGGGTCCAACCGTCAATTACGCTGGCTCGAGGATAAACTGTAGAATGAACAAAGAGGCGCAGATAGGATTTGGGTCTGGCCGCGTTCGATTGATCTGGGAAGGCCAGCAGCAGATTACCTAGGTATCCTCTTCTTTTACCTTGGATTTCATGTTGGTCGCCCTCGATTCTCGACCCGAGAAGCCTTGTGCTGACGGGAGTAATCAGCTTGAATCTAGCCCAGCGAACATCATCAACATTCGCATGCAAGGAAGAATATTACTACTCTATTAAAGAACACGTAAATAAAATAGTACCCAAGTCCTCAAGTAATTGACGCTGTTGGTGTCAGCCCAGGGTGGTTTCCAAATACAAATACGGAAGGGAAGGAAGGAAGGAAGGGAGGGGGATAACAGCTCGTGTCACTCAGCTTATTAATCCGCTAGACTGCTGCAGCCAATCAGCAATCAGCCCGCATCTGCCGTCTGAATCGGTGGAAAATTCTCCAAACAACGTTGGGATGCAGCTGTCGATATTCCATACACAGAGAACCCCAGAAGCCTCCGTGATACAGCTTTTCTAAGATCGATTTCAATACATCTCATACTTTGAGAATAGCCCATATTCTAACTTCAAGAAATTTACTCCGTCAGTATGGGAGGACCGGCTGTCACCACTCATCCGCTCAATCGTTCCGACGGCTCTGCCTCCTACCAATGTCCCTCGACCGGATCTAATATTCTGGGATCAGTGAATGCTCCTATAGAGCTCCCCGGGCGCAGAGATGCTTTGAAGCCCGAAGATGCGACCATTGAAGTCTTCGTGAAACCGGGCACCGCACCTGGAGGAGTTGGCGAGCGATACGTGGAAGGTGTTCTTAAAAACGCCCTAGGAAGAATAATTCTGGGACGAGAGAAGGGGTACCAACGGAGGGGAGTTGTTCTTACCCTGGCCATAATTGGCGGGGAGAGCGTAGCTCGAGGGGGATCTGTAAGTCCCGTCCACCCAGACAGTTCTAGAGGAGAATGGCTAATCGTGAATGATCATTTTAGTATCTTCCCTTACTGCCTGCGCTCCTCCATACTTCTCTCCTTGCTCTACTGTCAGCCGCAGTTCCCCTCTCAATGACCCTCTCTGCAACTGTGCTTGCAGTAAACTCTACCGGGGATCTCATTCGGGAGCCATCCGCCCAGGACGCCGCGGCAGCAACCTCTGTCCATGCCCTTGCATTTACCTCGAAAGGCCACATGCTACTAAACGAGAGTGAGGGGGGCTTTGACTTTGATACTTGGGAGAAAGTGCACCAGCAGGCCTTGGCTATCTGCCATGGAACCTCCGCTCCGGGTTCAGACGGCGATGTTGCCATGGCCGAGGATATGGATGACGAACCCCTTGATGGGATTGTACGCGACGCCATTCAGGATCAGATTTATCGTGACTACGCGTGGAAAATTGACGCAGCCTGATCGTTGGATAATGGGGCATACTCACATCGATGCAGCAAATACAGCAGAACAACCGTTTTGCAGCCTCCACCAGCAGCATTCTGCAGCGGAAGGATCGCAATAAGCATAGCACAAATATTCGTCACAATCTATGCTGCAGATCAAGTTCCAGGTGTTTACTAGGAGAACGCCTCGCAGTAGGTATCTGGATGGACCCAACAGCAGGCATATTCCGATCACCATCATCGTCCGGGATTATCGCGATGTGCCCTGTGAGATGGGACTATTTGAAGTGGGGAATATGGGGGGTGGATGAACTGAATTGGACGAGAATCGTGTGTACAGCACTTGAGGCATCCAATGGTAGGCTACGGCCTGATAAGCAGCGGACAGATAGACTCGGTAACGAAATGAAAATTAAAATTCCCAGATCTTATTCCGGACATTCATGTAGGCCGAAAGATTAGTCCGGAATGCCACCAGATACAAGCAGGACGAAACATCGGCTTCAAAAACGATATTACAGGATAGTGTGTCACCCATACGCGAATGAATGGGAGAATGAAATGATTTTCGGAAAGTCTCATAATCATCGTGTAATACCTGTATAAAATAATATAAGAGCACTGTAATCACATTTTCCCATCAATCAGACCAACTCGGTCAGCTCCCTAAATTCTTACAAAATCCTGTCCTCCAGCCAAACTCCGTTACATCCGAACTCGGCAAGCGGTCCGTTCACAAAACCCCGTGCACTTGACTTTCTTTCTTTCTTTTTCTCCCCCCTCTCTGGTCGCGGATTATCAGGACATCATCCTGTTTGTTACACACACACACACAATAAAGCTGTTGATTGCGGTTCATTTTTCCATGGCTTCTCCTGCCTCTGACCATGGTTCTATAAATTCCCCAACTGCTTCACAACTTCTAGAGCCGGCGTCCTTGTCATCAACTTCATCTCCGGACTCCGCAGCCCCACCACCACTATCGGACCCTCCTCCTCCTCCTCTTCCTTCGCCCCCTCCTTCTTGTCTTGCTTCTCCCTCGACTTCCTCTTGCACTCCCTCCACTACAACAACTACCACCAATCTCGGAGCCTCGCTCTTGCGCGATTATGCTTTCCACATAGATCCTTCCCAACCCTCAAGCCAAGTGCTGCACGGGAGCACAACCTCTCCGGATTCCTCTACCAACCCCGGTGCGGCCCCAGCATTGTCAACTCCTGAGCAGGCACAGGAGGACACCGTCACACAGACAACCTGTCCAACCCCCTTCCTCCCTTTCCGTTCGACGGCCTCGCTGGGACGCCATAACCGCAACAACAACTTGCCTAGTGATTTAATTCCCCGACAGACCATCATGAAAGCCCTTGCCTCCCGGCCCTCCGTTTCCAACAGCCATAGTCCGAATGTGCCGCTGGCGGCCTCATTGGGTCTTCAAAATACAAGCACTTGCTCAAGCCCTCCAGAGGACTCGGATCGGCGCTCGAGTTCGTCGTCCTCGCAGAAGCTCTCTGCGGCCCTCTCCAACCTACAACTGGGGACGTACCTCGATCGCGCTCCCTCGACAGCCCGTCTGGTTATGCAATCTCCGTGCTTCTTCCACAAACGATTCGATGACGCCGTAAATCTCCAAAAGGTCCTGGAAGAGATCACGGATGATGAGTGGCTGTCTCACTCTCGCTTGCTTCAGACGGCAACAGGCGTTCGGGAGGTATCGAAACAGCTTCAACGCAGGCCAATTAAACGAGCGGTGAAAAATGTGATGATTGTCACCAAGGCGCGCGATAACCGTCTGGTGCACTTGACTCGGGAACTTGCACAGTGGCTCCTTTCTACACCCCGATATGGGAGTGACCTTGGGGTGAATGTGTATGTGGACGCCAAGTTACGCAACTCAAAGCGGTTCGATGCACAGGGTCTGGTGCAGAAGAATCCCAAGTTTGAATATATGCTCCGCTACTGGACCCCAGACCTTTGTTGGACATCCCCCGAAAAGTTTGATCTTGTACTCACTTTGGGCGGAGATGGCACTGTACTTTTCACATCGTGGCTGTTTCAGCGCATTGTGCCTCCTGTTCTTTGCTTCTCTCTCGGGAGCCTCGGGTTCCTGACCAACTTTGAATTTGAAAGTTACAAGTCCCATTTAAATGCTGTCATGGGGGACGTGGGTATGCGGGTGAATCTTCGAATGCGCTTTACTTGCACGGTTTTCCGTCCAGACCGAAGCAAGGGGGCTGAAGCGGGGGCCGTGGAGGAAGGAGAACAATTCGAGGTGCTCAATGAGCTGGTTATCGACCGAGGACCTTCGCCTTACGTGTCAAACCTCGAACTGTACGCCGACAACGATCTCCTTACCGTGGTTCAAGCGGATGGGTGCATATTCTCCACGCCAACTGGTATGTCCCCTCGAACCCATTATTCCAAATGCCACTGAATTAACCATCCACAGGATCCACCGCTTACTCGTTGTCTGCGGGCGGTTCTTTAATTCACCCTTCAATCCCTGGAATTCTCCTTACTCCCATCTGCCCTCACACCCTATCCTTCCGTCCCATGGTTCTTTCCGACTCTCTATTACTTCGTATTGCTGTCCCGGCCGGCTCGCGTTCGACAGCATACTGTTCATTTGACGGCAAAGGCCGTGTTGAGCTCCGCCAGGGCGATTACGTTACTGTCGAGGCAAGCCAGTATCCTTTCCCGACTGTTGTCTCCGGCAACGGGGAGTGGTTCCAGAGTATCCAGCGAGCGCTTCGATGGAACACGCGCGGTGCGGTCCAGAAAAGCTGGCGTCGAGGCGATGAGAATGCGGCCGATGCGGCCGAGGACGAAAACGAGGATGAGGAATGGGACATCGATACGGATGCCGGGTACAACGGGACAGACAGCGGCTTCGGGCCGAGTGAAGACGGCGATACTGGCTCGAACAGTCCCATGAAGCGACAGATGAGCCTGCTGAGCATGTAGCGGTGACGCCTTTTTCATTTGTTTGTACATATACCCCTTTCAGCACCTGCGTGGTGCCTCTTGACGCATACACTGGTGATCTTGGGTTGGCGCTCTCGGGCATTCATTTTACGGCCGGTCACTCACCTTTCATCATATCATATATTTGTTTTACGAGCGATAGGTTTTAGATTTCAGAATTCCTTTTGTTTATTGGCGGACTAGACCAAATGTTAGATGCTGTCCTTGGACAATCTACGATGATCAAATTTTAATCATTCCTTGCAATCAATATATTTAGTTAGTTAGTTATATTATAGTAATATTACCAATCACAACTCTCCGCAAGAAGCGCCGCCAATTCCTCCAAATACTTTTGATCGACTTGATCAAACCCCTCGGGCTCCGTACAATCTACATCAATAATCGCAACCGTCTTTAACCAATTGAGCAGGTAATTAGCACCATCCTTCCACCCTGTAAAAAAAAAAGAAAAAAAAAGAAAAAAAAAGAAAAAAAAAACTTACTTCCCCATCCACCAAAATCGGCACCACAATCTCACTCCGACTCCTCGCATCACAAGCAATATGCCCCGGGAACTTCAACACATCAGGCACCACCAGGGTCTCGCGGGTCTCAGCCGCAGCGCCGCACACGCCGCGCCCGAATCGGATTTCCTGGCATGCAGGACGGCCCTGGAAGGGTCCTAGAAGAAGAAGAAGACGACGACGACGACGAGGGTCGTTCTGTTCGTTTTCATTTGTCGATGCTGGAGCACCCCCACCCAGAGAAGGAAATTTGTCCTGGCGGATATAGAAGCCGGTCCAGTTTACGGCGGAGGAGGGGGGTGGGAGGGCGGCGTAGGCGTGCCAGAGGAGGGAGGCGACATTGGAAAAGTTACTTGTTAGTTGGTTAGGGAGTTGCTGTGGTTTTTTTTGGGGGGGGGGATGCGTACCTGACCTGAAGCAGCAAATGAATGCAAATGTTAGAATACAGTATTGGAGGAAAGAAGAAGAAAAGATGCTTACCCAGTTGCGTTGTCCTGTTACGAGACCCCTGGTTTGTTCGAGCACTTGCTTGTAGATGTCTGCTTTGGAGGCATTGCAGGCGAAGTAGGAGGAGTCTGCGTGAGGCTGGGGGTTATTGGATGTGAGTCAGTGCTGCCTGGGGAGATTGTAGAATGGGGATTTGGAGCTGTGTGGCCTTGTCTTGCCTTGCATACCATGGTGGAGCTGGAATTAGATTAATTAATAGAGAAGGTCGGAGGAGCGTGAATGAAGGCTTGAGAAAATTGTAAGTGGGGTGCGGGGAAAGGAAACCGCTTTTTAGTGTATATATAGTTATATACAGAGCATAACTATAGATGAGGATATATATATATGCTCACTGACAGATATCTGATGGTGTAACTAATTAAATTTGTTATCTGAATAATATCTCATTCTTGACTTGTCATTGGTATTTCTCCAACTCTGCTTCTCTGAAAACTAGCTATCTGTATACTTGTCAGGCAATCCTCTCACGCTTTTGTATGCTGTCAGAGTCCTACCAAAGTCTTCTTCTAGTGGTGAATTTCTTATTAAAGAGGATGTACAGGTTCATTCATATTAAATCCCACCTTGTGTAAGATAGAAGCTCGGTGCAAAGTAAACACAGCCCAAGAGCCGCATCTGCAGACCAGCTTGAATCTCATATGTAGTCAAGCCCGCTACATGCAGCAGCCACCTTGCAAGATCGATACGGACTATCACACCCACTTTATGAAGTTCCTTGCAGGAAAGTTGATTAATTGTACGGAACGACTTGCTTGGGTTTGGACCGGGGCGGGATCGACTTTCCCGGTCTATCTTTCTATTTTGGATATCCCCGGATGGCTAGGTGTGAAATCCAGCTGTAGTTCAGGTGCGAGGTCAGCGAGCCGTGTGATGGAGGGCTGCGGTCGTCTGATCGTGTCGTCAAGTGTGGCTGAATGATGACCTTGGGTTGTTATTTTTGGAGTGCAAGATATAGTAATTCTCCCCACTCCAAGGCTCATATAGTGATCATTTAGCGAGGGTTTCAAGTATAGAAGGAAGGTGACCGGCATGCGTTCCCTAGGCAGTGTACTAGATTCTGGTTCCCGGACGATCAACCAACCAATATTCTCTCATTACTGTGATATGTGTATATAATCTATCCTGGCCTCTTTCTTTAGGTTGTTTCTGTCTCTGTTTTTCCTGGAAAATTGTTGGTCAGCCGAGTTTCGCATGCAGCTCGTCTCGTCAGCTGCGGTGGTGGTTTAGTCTCAGCCTGCTTGATTTAAAGTCTGGGTTAGAACCGCTTCGTTTCTTCAAGTCCAACATGATCTCTCCCTCGTTCAGAACAGTCTAAATTTAGCTGGCATACACTATAGTATGCTGTGCAATGTGTTCAACTGGCCCAAGATTACCAAGAACCTCAACTCAAATCATCTGTAAGTATTCTGATAGATCATTCTGTACCTTCTCCTTATTCCCTATACCATACATACCATACATACCATACATACATACCGTACCGCTCCGTTCCGTTTTTGCCCCTCTTTTCCCGCCATGACGCCATTGGATTTTATCCCCGCAAAAATAAACCCTAAGAATAGAGTGAATGAAAGCTAACAAAATCCAGAGAGCTAGTAATGACGGGAATACACATAGATACTAAGTTATGCAAGAGAAGTGCTATAGAAAGTGCTATCAAAAAGGATATTTGACATTCATTGCTTCATACTGGGAAGAAACTCAAAACTCCCCTGCTTCGGATCTGGAAAGAAACTGGGAAAAAACTGAAAGAAGAGTATTCCAGCATTATCCACTCAATTCCCACTAGTCAACATTCCTGATATTAATGGCTACTTCTCAACCATCTTCCTCTCTCTCAACATCCGCGACTTTTACTACTACCGCTTCCTCCTCTTCCTCCTCGCCCTTACTGTATCCATCTTCCTGCAGCTCTGATCATTCTGTTCCTTTGCCTCCTCGTGGTAAGTCTTTCTCTCTCTCTCTCTCTCTCTCTCTCTCTCTCTCTCTCCCGCCCTGTCTTTTACAGGTTACATTCTTCCCCCTCCCCCCTTTTTTCTTTTCCCCTGAGAATTTGCTCTCCTCGCATGATGATTTGTTCTGCGTCACTTGTTGGCATCTTGTCAGCACAATCTCCACCTGACACGTGTGACATACCACAGGTCCCTCCTGGTCTCCTTCCTATCGTCCGACCTCGCGTGCTCATGGCCAGTTGGAGAGTTTAATTGCCAGACACGGTCGTCCAACTCGCTTTTCCCTCTCTTCCCTAGAAGAACTAACAGCCACTACTTCGACATATAATCCTCCCTCGCCGCTTTCCCGTCCCCGTTCCCCTGTCCCGGAGTTTTCAGATTCCTTCGAGGCCCGCACTAGTTACAGATCCAAGTCAAGACCCATCCCAATTCCTAAGCGGTTTCCCAACTCATCTGACGACGACCTTCCGGTTACTCCGTTGACCGGCCGGTTTGAAAGAGACTACTTCCCCCCTCGCGATTTATCACCGGAAAAGAACCGGGATCCATACACTTATCCTCGTACAAAAAGCCACTGGCCTAGTCGTCGTCCTAGTGATCATCATCGTTCCTCCAGGATGCGTTCGGATAGCTCGACCTTCTACTCTTCGGTCGTCTCTCAGCCCATGCCCTCATCCGGTTGCTCCGATTCTCCGCAGCCGTCCCGCTCACGGGCACAGAATACTTCCAAACCCGCCCCAGTCTTCCATCTCGACGCCTTGCCGCAGTTTCACCCGGCTGTCTATCAATCCCCAAGCAGCTCACAAGCCTTAAGCGGCCAGCCTCCGTCACCACGTCAACCCCTCCAGCAATTGTATCGCGTGGGTTCGAGTTCGCGGGACCCTGTTTTGCAGTATCGCGAGCTGGTGGAAGGCGTTGTGCTGCACAAGGCCCCTTCACGGCCGCTGTCTCCCAGTCCAGCTGCTCCTCGACTAGACCCCCTCCGCAGCCCAGGGCCAGTAACCCCGTTAGCTCTCGAAGAAGCAGGGGGCTATATCACTGCTGGGGCCGCGTATTCATCGGAGCTTTCCTTACGAACCCTTCAACACTCAGCGCCGGCGCCAGACCTGTTGGAGCGGATGATTGCGCGTGAAAGTGAGAGAACTCGACAGAAAGCGAAAAGAACCCCAAGGGGTGGTGAGAATTTATAGAGTTTGGTTCTGCGACTACCTTGGGTATCCGCCCGAAGGACCTTACTCGAACCTGGTATTGAGGTTACCATAACCATGGACATCTTTACCCTCTGTTCGGTATGAGCCGGAACTTAAAAAATTTCGCGCCCTGTATTCCAATTCCACTTTATACCCTGCATTGTCTTTTCACAACGACATCTGGAGTTCGGTATCATTGCATTTCATTATGTTATTTTCTTTCTTTTTCTTTTTCTTTCTTTTTTTTTTTTTTGCCAATTCCACTCAGTCCCTCCCCTCGATGTTTTCCTTGATCTTTGTTGTTGAATCTCTGTTGAGGGGCTTGAATTATGCAGGCGGGTCCAACAGAACAGTGCATTTCTCTCTTATCTGCTTCTACACATACATAAATATCATGAGAGCATAAAGCAAAAATTCAAGCTAGTGAGGGAACCGCAGTCCTGAAAGAGTGATAGAACGGATTATTATATATTTCTTCCACCAGAATAGAACCCTTAATACCTCAATATTCAGCTCTTTCTCCACAGATCTTCGGGAACATTGTGGAGAGTAGCGCTGGCGTATTTTTTTAAAACCAGGTGAGTTTATCCAAGTCCCGGAGACAATCCGCAGCTCCCCGAACGGTTTGTGGGGGCGTCAGACCGTATACAAGAGAATCCCAGTTTCTCAACTCTTGTCTACTCCTACAGGAGATAATCACGCTTACTATTGATATTTCCCAGTCATTCCAGTACCCGAAATTTCACTCTATCTTCATAACTTTCGACCCAGGCTACACGCCGGATGAGCAACTAACGACCAACTTCACTCCGCATCCCGACGTCCGATAAAAAAAAGAACAAGAACGCTCCCCCCCCTTTGCTCCCTCCCTTCTTGCGGTCTGGACTCAACTTCAGCCCCCCCTCGTTCGGGAATGTCATCTTCCCCTGCTTCGTTGTCGACATCTCCGACGAGCGAAATGGATGCGCCCGAGTCTTCGCAGAAGAAGACCACGACGACCTCGAAGCGCGATTATAAGGGATTTGTGGCGGGGGTCTTTTCCGGAATTGCGAAGCTAAGTGGTAAGTTGCTAGGCCTTGCCGTGGAGTTGCGACTATGGCTAACTTGTGCTTGTGTGGTTTGTTAGTTGGGCACCCGTATGGTTTCCTCTCTTCCCTGGTGTTTCTTCAGCGCTTAAGGCTGACGTTTTGAGTTCGTGGGGGACGCGGCGTTGGTTAGGTTTGATACGGTCAAGGTCCGATTACAAACGAGTCAAGATGCCCATTTCAAGGGACCGCTAGATTGCCTGTTACAAACGGTACGCAACGAGGGGGTGAGTGGATTATACAAGGGCGCGACGCCACCGCTGGTAGGATGGATGGTCATGGACTCTATGTAAGTTGGATCTAATCTACCTGGGATGATCCGCGGCGATACCCACAAGGGTTGGAGCTAATGAGACCTTCTTCTGAAGAATGCTGGGCTCGTTAACCCTCTACCGTCGACTGCTGCTCGAGAACGTCTTTTCAACCCCTGGGATTCGTGCTATCACCCCTTTCGCTGCACGGCAACAGGACCCCCATACTTTACCGAGTTTCGGCCATGGAATTGCAGGCATCATGGCTGGCACGACGGTCAGCTTCATCGCTGCTCCTGTGGAGCACGTGAAGGCGCGTCTGCAGATCCAATACGCTGCGGATAAGGCCAAGCGCTTATATAGTGGGCCGATGGACTGCTCGCGCAAGATTGTAAGCTCTCTCTCTCTCTCTGCCCACGCCCAAAGAACCAAACACGGGGTTGTTGACCTTGGATAGCTCCGCACGCACGGCATCTCAGGTCTATACCGCGGCCTCTTTGCAACGATTCTCTTCCGCTCGTTTTTCTTCTTCTGGTGGGGTTCCTACGACGTGCTGAGTCGCATGATGAAAGAACGCACGACCCTGTCCGCACCGGCGATCAACTTCTGGGCAGGCGGCATCTCCGCCCAGATCTTCTGGATCACGTCGTATCCATCGGATGTCGTGAAACAGCGCCTGATGACGGACCCAATGGGCGGAGCGCTCGGGGACGGACAGAGGAGGTTCCAGTGGTGGAAGGACGCGGCGGTGGCGGTCTATCAGGAACGAGGGTGGAGAGGGTATTGGAGGGGATTTGTCCCGTGCTTTCTACGCGCATTCCCAGCGAATGCCATGGCCTTGGTTGCATTTGAGGGTGTGATGAGGTCGCTTCCTTAGAGATTGTGCTTACGAGGTTCTACCGCATATGATATCCTTTTGGCTCGAGAGGGTCAAGTGTAAATATACGACCGTTTTTATAGACATACATACCTGATGAAAAGAATATCATGATTGATTAATGGATTGAACTGGAAAATGGGTTGATGGGGTGCGAATTTTGCAAGTTGTACTACAAGATTTACGACGGGAAAGAGTTGCGACATTTCCGTTTGCGGAACTCAACTCCACGACTCTGAGAGCTTCGATGAGATATTCTTCCTCTTCGAGTTTTTTTTTTTTTTTTTCCCATCCTGCTAAATGCAGCGCTGCTAGTCTCTGGGGATATTTTCTGTTCCTCTTCTTTCATCAGAAACCGTCGACTATCCCTTTGCGGAAAGCCTCTGCAGCACCAGCCGTCCATCTGTCACCTCTCTCTTTCGCTCTCTTCCCCCTCCCCAAATATCCCAGGGTCACTGCCAGGGCCGTCCATTCTTTTTCCACCAAGAGAGGCTAGGGATGTCGTTAACGTGCTGCATCTCAGTCTCATTTATACTTGGATAACAAGCAAGCTCTCTCGTCCGCTGGGCAGACCGCCGCCAGTCAGTAGTACCATTGACCACGTACGACGACACGACGGCATCACATCTCATTCATTCTCTCCACGCCGTCGAAACGGCCAGAATGGCCGTCGCACGCACCATGCGACGTACAAGCCCAATTACCCTCCTCCTCGCTGCCCTGTTAGCATTCGGTTTCCTCTTCTTCTTGCTCTCTCCTTCGACCACGCCCTCATCCTCCGCTGCTGCTGCTGCCGCCGCCGCCGCCGATATCTCGTCCAAGGATTTCCGACTTGGGGACACCGCAGACCACCCTCTTTCTCCCCCGACAAAGCCCTTCATTCCCCCATCTATCCGGGATGATGGCCATCAACCCCCTCCCCCCGTTGTACACTACAATCTGAACAGTCTCACTAGCTCCAGCGACGCCGCAAGCAGGGGCGAACGAGTTCTGGTCCTGACTCCCCTCACCCGCTTCTACCAAGGATACTGGGATAACCTCGTGCGCTTCAACTACCCACACGAGCTGATCTCCCTAGGCTTTATCATCCCCCACACAAAAGAGGGCGATGCCGCGACCGCTGCCCTCGAAGCGGCGATCAGTAAAACCCAATCCGGTCCGATCCCCAACCGCTTTGCCAGCATCAGCATCCTCCGCCAGGATTTCGAACCGCCCCTACAGTCGCAAAGTGAAAAAGAGCGCCACAAAATGGCCAACCAGAAGAAACGCCGCGAATCCATGAGTCGCGCCCGCAACAGCCTCCTCTTTACGACCCTAGGCCCTGCAACCTCCTGGGTCCTCTGGCTTGACTCCGACATTGTCGAAACCCCAAATACCCTCATCCAAGATCTCACGAGCCACAATCGGCCCGTCATCGTCCCCAACTGCTACCAGCGCTACTACAACACCGACGACAAGAAAATGGACGTCCGCCCGTACGACTACAACTCCTGGATCGATAGTCCCATCGCCCAAAGCCTCGCCGCGAAAATGGAGCCCGATGAAATCCTCCTCGAGGGCTACGCCGAGATGCCTACCTACCGCACCCTCATGGCTTATCTTGCCGACACCGCGAATCCCAACCCGCGCCGCGTCATCAATCTCGACGGCGTAGGCGGCACAGCGCTCATGGTTAAAGCCGATGTCCACCGCGATGGCGCCATGTTCCCGGCTTTCTCCTTTTTCCACCTGGTGGAAACAGAGGGGTTCGCGAAAATGGCCAAACGCTTGGGCTATACAGTGCATGGGTTGCCGGATTATTTTGTATGTTCTCTCTCTCTCTCTTTCTCTCTCCTTGTATCAATATGAACTAACCCTAGAACCAGGTATACCATTATAACGAGTGATGCTGTACTCATTTTATTTTGTCTTTTTTTTTTTTTTCCATTTGTTTTTATTTTGTCCCCCGCCTTTCCTTGTTTCGAAGAGAAAGGGTACTGAAATGATGTTTTACTATTAGATGGTTGTTACATGGGTTATGTTCTCTTCAATTTTCATCTTCGTTTGAATGTGATTCATCTTGTTTGGATTGGATTGGATTGGATTCATGTCGGGATTGTATCGCTACTTTACGTATACATTTATCCATCCATTCCTTTCCGCGTCTCAGTGTTAGCGTGCGATGGATTGATTTCCTTGTCCTTTAGTTGCCTAGCTACGTGCTTGGTAGGCGTTGTTGGTATCCGGTAGTTTTGTAAGTACTTAGTAGTAACTAGTAGAAGTCAGGAAAGAAGGAAGAATTTAGTCTCGTTCAGTGTAATCAATCGAAATATCCCACATTATTATTTGAATCTTTTATATATATTAGCTATCGTTTAGAGATCGAACTTTGGCGCTGCGTCGATCATCGTGTTGATGGATGCGACACGCACACGGGCCCCGGGTTAAGAATTACCTACAGATAAGGGTATTATATTATAGGAGACTCGTCACTGCTCGGACTCGCGCCGATACGGTAGATCCGGCTTTAATCCCAGGAGATCCTGTAAACAGATGAGCACTCTGGATCGTTGTCGATGGCTCTGGCGTAGACGTTTCAAACCACTACGCTAAGGAACCGGGACCGGGACCCCCCCCCGGGGGGGGGGGGGGGGGGGGTTGTTAAAAGAAGAGAAGGAGGAAACTCACACAAGCATAATCCCTGCTCCAACGGCCACGGCCAAAAACTGCACGATGGTCTTCTTGATCTCCACGCGTTTGTCTTGGCCTGTTTCCAGGAGTTCGGGGATAACTGACACCGTGCCGACATAGAGGAATGTACCGGCTGTAAAGGGGAGGAGCATATCGCCCCATGTAAGGCTGGTACCAAGGAGACCAGAAAGCGAAGAGGAGCCAGAAGTGGGATCAATGGCTGCTGGGCCGCCGAACTCTTGCACTGCGATGCCAATCAAAGTGCCCAGGAAGGCTCCGATGGCGGTGACGAACTGCGCACCCATGGCTTTACGCTTGGAAAAGCCTGATTGAATGAGGAGGGCGAAGTCGCCGACTTCGTGCGGGATTTCGTGGAAAAAAACCGCAACGGTGGTGGTTGCGCCGATGGTTGGGGAGGCATAGAAAGAAGAGGACATCGCCAGACCGTCGGTGATGTTGTGGGTGAAGTCGGCGATGAGATTGAGGTAACCGCCTAGCTTAACGCTAGGGTTGATTTCGTCCTTTTCGTCCTCTTTGACCAAGGATGAGCTGTCGGAGTCAGCCTTGGTGGACTTGCGCTGCTTAAGCTCGGTGTTGTTCGAGCTTTCAGCTCCACTAGTAACGGCGTGTGTCTCCTGCTCTGCATGGCTATGGGAGTGGGAGTGGTCATGGCCTTCTCCTCCGGTTGCGATGCGGAGGGTTTTATCCATTGCAACAAAGGTAAAAAATCCAACCATAATCCCGAGACCGAGGAGGAGGTTCCTGTTCGGTTCGACCATCACGAAACGCACGTGGTCGGGAGAGTCTTCTCCGAGGAAAATCTCCGGAAGCAGATGGAAGAGGGTGTCACCCAGGAGACCTCCTACAGCGAAGGCAACCATAACGGATAATGAGGAGGGGTCGATGTTTGGAGGGCATAGCGCAAGGAGGAAGTCTGTGGAGGGGTGGGGTTAGAAAAGAGTCACGCGACCATGGGTGTTGGGCGTACTAGGAGGTCCAGAAATGTATACAGTCGCGAGAAGTGAGTTCACAGCCGGGCTACCAGGGAAGAGGATTGAGAAGATCTTCGATGTCAGGCTGGCGGTTTGGGGGCTCGTAGCGCGCTTATGTTCGTTGAGGGACTCGACAAGGGGGCAGTTCTGATGCACAGTGAGTATGACACCGCGGAAGATTGAACGGCAGTAAAGTGGTAAGAGTATACATCGCAAGGATAGTCCACAAAATAAATTGATACGCACCTGCAATTCCTCCTCAATTTGACTGGCAGACAGATCGCCCACGGAGATGGCCCCTTGAGCTGCGGCCAATGCGGCGAAAAGAACAAGACCAACAGCTAAGGCCAGGCCAATCCTGCGCATTGGGGAGAAAGGAAGAAACGCCATTGTAAATACCCTAGCTAGATCAGCATCGACATGAAGAATTCACAAGCGAGATCACGAAGAAACAGCAGAAACTCCAGTTGAAGTAAGAAGTAAGAAGAAGCTGAAGTTGTTTCGCTTATCGGGAAAACAAACCAAACACGCCAAGACCAGATGCAAACAGCGTCAGCTTTTCGGCCAAATCGATAAGGCTCTAATCCAAGATGGGAAGGGAATATTTTTTTACTATTTCTCCGACTGCCATCTACGCATCTGCCACCGTCAATTCTCCCATACATTCCGATAAAATGGGAAATATCCGTCAGACACGAAAGAATAGGTCCTCTGCACCTAAGCAGAGGCCCAAAAGGACGGGAATGCTCAAGAGCGGCCGGAAGAAGATCAACGTTCTGGGTAACGCCATTATTGCAGAAAACTGGTATATTTCTCTTTACTTCCACCAACAATGAATACGAACTCTAACTAACCCCGATGGTCACTCTGGTACAGGGATCGCAAGTTGACTCTCACTCAAAACTACCGCCGCCTTGGTCTAGTTCATCGTCTGAATGCGCCGTCCGGTGGCTCTGAGCGTCGCAAAACCGAGACCGGCTTCGAGGACGTAGAGGACTCCCTACACATCAAAGGCAGCGTGGAGGCGGCTGTGAAACAGGCGGCTGTGGGTGAAGCAAAGGTTGAGCGCGACCCTAAAACTGGAAAAATCATTCGAGTAGTCCGCGACGACGATGAGATCGAGGTTGCGGGAATTAAGCGCCGGCGCGCAAACCCACTTAACGACCCCTTAAACGATCTGTCTGACAACGAAGATGATTCGAAGCCGCCAGCAAAGAACCCAGCAAGTGCCATCGTACAGCAACTAGAGCTCCAGGCCGCCCAGGAGTCCGAGGCCGCCGCCAACAAGAAACCTCGCCACCAGAGCAAGCGCGAGGATGAGTGGATTACGAGATTGGTTGAGCGGCACGGCGATAACTATGCCGCTATGGCTCGGGATAGGAAGCTGAATCCCATGCAACAGACCCCGGGCGACCTGCGCCGGAGGATTCGCAAGTGGAAGGAGAGCCAGGCATGATGATTTTTCTTTGGGTTGACAGCGCATTTGTGTGGCGAGTTCGGCGTTTTTCAGGGTTGAATTTCTCGACAAAAAAAAGTATTTCTTTCTTGCTAGCCTAGAGCTGATTTGCACTCGCAATCCATCCAGGGTGCATATCCTCGAGCCCTAATGTTCATATATCAATCTACAATACCCTATAGAATTGATTGAAATGAGCTCTTTATCGCAGCAAAACAACGCAAAGCTATTTTTGGTCTACCATCACAATACTCAGCTTGCTTCTCATCACGGTGTCGTGTCGTGTACTCGCAACGCGTAAACAAAGCTCTTGTACTTCGCCTTCTCTTCTTCCCTCCCTTCTAGTACAAGACCCTATTATCATCTTCAAAAACACTGCAGTACTCCTCCACCGAAACAGGCAAATCACGATACAATGTGCTTTCTACTTACCCTCACTCTCTTGATCCCCTCCATTCTCGGTCAAATCCAATAGTAAGCCAAATCCTTTCATTTCACCACGATATCTCCAACAATAACTGACTCTTCTCAGTGACACGGAAACCAACAGCCTCCTCTGCTCAAGCCCAGCCGGCCACTACTGTATCAGCGGCTCTCTCCAAGGCTCCACAATCATATCCTGTGTTTCTGCATCCACGGCAGAGATTCGCTCCTGTAATATCGAGTATGCTCTTAATCCCTCCCACCACGAAAGAAACAAAGCTGAACCCAGCCCGCCAAAGGCTATCCAACATCCTGCCCCCCGGTTACGAAAAGACCGCCGTCTGTAAGTAGAGCAGATGCAGATAAAGAGAGAAAAAAAAAAAAAAAAAAATCCTCGCGGGCTACCATCTGATACCGAATGCTATCACAGGTTACGAATCCTCCCCGGCAGCAGGAGACGCCGTCTGCGCATTCAACGGCACAGGACACACATTCACGCACTCCTCCCAGATCCCCGTCCCGGAAACCATCCTCTGCGCCTCTGCACTACCGGGAACCAAAGCACCCACGGCCCACGGCCTCCCGCTACACCCTGAGCCCGAAACAACGCAACCAAAAGAAGCGCAGCAGCAGCAGCAACAGCAGCAGCAGCAGGGAAAAGCGCACCCCGGAGATGCGGTCGCAGCTATCGGGGACGTCCCGTTGTTCCACCCAGAGATCGATCTCGCGGAGCCGGGACCCCTCCCTCTTCCTCCGCCTGCTACGCGTGTGACTGTGGGGATTGTTCCGCAGGGTGCGAGCAGCACTGCCGCGTTCTCGGATGCGGACCTCGTCGGGAAGAGTGTTGTCTGTTCTGATCCGTGGACGGTGCGGACGAGGTTAACGGGGAATACCCGCTCTGTGGGATCTACTACTACGATGGAACCGGTTCTTGTCGTGCCTCCCGCGGGGGAGTCTGGCTCGTGGATAAGACAGCCCTCCCAGATTACCACGACCACGATGAGGAGTCCTTCTAGGACGGCGGCGGTGGAGTCGAGTCCCAGCGTCCGGACCACTCCTGGCAAAAGTCCCGAGATTGGTTCGGGTGGAACTGCGCCGCTTCAGAGTACTACTTCCTCTGGCGGGGTGAGGTCCCTGGTTACTAAGGCGGGGTTGTATTGCTGTATTATCTGCTGGGTTGGGATCTATGTATATCATTATCTGGTTTAGGGTTTAGGTTGTGGTTGGAGAAGATGGGGAGGGAGATTCATTTTGTCTTTCTCTCTGTTTTGGTTCTATTCTGTACAATTGCAATAAATAGCTAGTGTTCGTAAAAAAAAAAAAAAAAAAAAAAAAAAAAAAAATGTTCGTCAACCATGATACAATGCCAAGTCACTACTACATAACTAATTTCAATTCGAGCAGGTCTATCACATCACATATCCCTCACAAACCCCTGTCTCAATACTTGTCCCTGATCTAATTCAATATAGTAATCTGCATCCTTGATAGCCTCCAACCGATGCGCAATAGTAAGGACGGTCGACTCGCGCATTTCTTCTCGAAGTATCTGCTGGATCTCAAGCGAGCTCTCATGATCAATTGACGCCGTCGCCTCGTCCAGAATAACAACCGAGCTCCGGCGTAGCACCGCTCTCGCAAGGCCAATCAGTTGTCTCTCGCCTTGGCTGAGGTTTCGTCCTCCGGTGTCAACATGGGTTGTGAGACTCCAAGCGTGTCGACCGCAGATACGCTTCAGGACGTCAGCGCACTCCTCATCGGGGTATTCGTTGGTTGGATCGAGGTTCAGACGAATGCTCCCCGGGAAAAGAACAGGGTCTTGCGCGACAAATGTGACCCGAGTTCGGAGCGCCTGTTTATCAACTTGTGCGATGTCAATGCCGTCGACGAGGATACGGCCGGATTCGGGCTTGATGACACTAAGGAGAGAGATAGCCAGAGTGGACTTGCCGCTTCCAGTTCTGCCTATCAGGGCTGTTGTAGATCCGCCCGGAATGCGAAGGGTAATGTTGTGAAGTGATGGGTCTAAATGGGGAGCGTAGCGGATTGTTACATCCTCAAAGACAATATCGTTGCCAAACTTGGGCCATGATGCCGGCGGTTCGATTGTTCCCGGCTCTTCCTGATCAACGTGAAGCAACTCATCGACACGTTCGACGGATACAAAATCCATCTGGAGCTGACCATATTGTTGGCATAATGCGTGGGTAGAATCGACAAAATTGCCTGCGGCGATCAGCGCGAAGGCAGCCAATCCAGGAGACACGTCCGTGTAAAGTGCAAGCACTGTGAGGCAGAAAGTAGAAATGGCCGAAAAGCTTTCAAAGCGATACATCAACCAGCTCTGAAGCGACCAGTAGAAGTGGTCCATTCCCTGGAACCTGTCGACAACGGCGATCACACGATCTTGAAACCGGCCCTCGGCATGAAACGCACGCACCGTCGTGAGACCATGCAGCAGCTCGCCAAAATTAGACATCAGGGGGCTGAGGGATACCATTTCCAGGCGACGAAGACTTTGCGAGGTAGGGAGAAACTGAAAAAAGGTCCAGAAGAATACGGTAGTAAGCACAATCGAAAATACCAGAAATAACGGTGTCACCGAGGCTATGACAACAATTGAAGACGACCAAATGATAGCTGAAAACGCGATGCTCTGGAACTGTTCGCTGATATTGCCATCCACTACTCCGATATCCGATGTCAATCGATTCATTAAACGCCCAATAGGGGTAACATCGAAGAAACGGAATGTGGCATGGCTGACTTTCTCCATGACTTGTTCAAAGAGCTTTTTGCCGGCCCAGTAAACAATTACAAGCATCAAAAGCTGGGGAAGGAGCAGCATAACAACTTGGAAAATTGTAATCCCCAAAAAGGCCAACAGCCAAGGCCGCACATCCTCCACGGGCGACGGGAAGTCGTCAAGAGGATTTTTTAGGGTCCAATTAAACTTGGTTGGCATAATCGGGAGCGTTGTCCACCGGCCAATAGAGATTCTGTCGTCTAGGGAGGAGTGCTGGAATACATGAATGACTTCATTATACGCCTCACCCCATTCCTTCAGGAACCAAGCTTGTGCGACTCTGGCCAGGCGGAATACCACCAGGCTGATGACCAAAATAGCCCACCACCTATATTTTCCAGCTCTGATGTAGCTCATATAAACGGCCGCTTTCACACCCCATTCAGCACGGTGTTCTTCTTCAATAAACTTAGATGGTACGGCAGCTGAGTGATCTACCAGCTCAGGTTCGTCCATATCAGCATTGCTTGAGTTGTCTGGGGAGACATCACTGGCGTGGGCATCGTCATGGAGGGGATCTCTTGACTTCCCTTCTACCGTTGCCGTGCGATCATGAATATTGATCATCTGGTCTGCAATATGACGGACAAGCTGAGTCCTATGTGTGACAAGGACTACGGCACGTCCATCCATCAGCGGCCCCGTCAGGCACTTTCGAACCACCAGCTCGGCCGTGTTGTGGTCCAAAGCGGACAAGGGGTCATCAAGAAACAAGACCCTGGCGGAGCTGTAAACTGCTCTCGCAAGGGCCACACGGGCTTTCTGTCCCCCAGAAAGACCAATTCCATTCTCTCCAATAAAGGACAGATCGCCGTGTTTGAAATGCGAGAGATCTGGAAGTAAGGCGCAGGCATCCAAAACTTTCTTATAACGCTGTTCATCATATGGGGATTCAAACAATATGTTATCTCGGATACTCATACTCTGTAGCCATGGAGTCTGAGCGCAATATCCTATCATCTCATTTGGTAGACGGGATTCTCCGCTGATCTTATCCATTTCACCAAGAAGTGCTTGTAGGAGAGCCGTCTTCCCAGTTCCTACTTTTCCATAAATGACGGTAAGTCCTTTAGAAAAGCCCAGGCTAATGTCTGAAAGAATAGCGGAAGATTTTCCAGGCCAGGCGAAGGAACAGGATTCCAGCTGGAAAAGGATGGAGCCAGGATCTGCCGTGGTTGCTTTGGTTTCCTTATCAGGTTCAGCCATGAAATCCTCAATTCGCTCCATGGCAATCGAGGCATTGATTAACACTGTGATCAGGCCAGGGATAGCTCTTAGACGAGACTCCAGCATATAGAAGAGCTGTAGTGCTGGGAATATGGTATCGACGCTCAGACGATGCCCAGTGAGGAACGCGTAAGCATAGAGGGCCACAACTGGGAAAAATCCGCTGGAGAAAGCGGTAACAAAAAGAATACCAACACTCCATAGCTTAGAGAGTATTCGAAGCCGTAACTCCTCCTGTCTGGCATCCATAACCTGGCGAAGCCAATGGTTCTGCCAACCGTACCAGCGAAGGTGGCGAAGAGCCTCCACAAATTGGGATGTAACTTGGAGCCTGGCGTCCGTCGCTACTCTGCGAACACGCTCGCAGCGGATAAGTCCCCGAGTGGTGAAGATATTGATCAACTGGGCAACCAAAACAACGAGAATCCCCAAGAAGCAGGATGGTCCGAGCACTTTCCAAACGAGGGCGACCGCTATAATAAGACCCAACGGCCCATCGATCAGCCTGTCTATCTCCCAGAACCGCTGGGCGACTTCGTAGACATCACCTCGTAGCAGGTTGAATATTTTCCCCATAGAGGCAGCACTTTTAGGCTTCTTTTTATCGGGGGTCCGCCAGGGGTTTGGAAAGCAACAAAACCTGGACGTATTTCGGGACAGCTTGGATTCGTCACTGTCAGTTTGCTCGTCCGACGTCTCGTTTTCTCCGTCCTTACGATCAATATTCTGCTCGAAAATATTCTTCCGCGATAGGGCTTTCTCATAGACCATCATAATCATCTCTCCCCTGCTCCGTTCGTAACTTCTTCTTCCGTACCAGAGGTTGAACACCTGGGCTTGCGCTGCCACTAAACGAAGCAGCAAGGAAAGTAGCGCATAAATCAAAGCAGCACGATGCGATCTATTTTGGCTCTCCATTGCCTTTAATAGTTGCTGGAGTAGCAACGGTGTAGAGAACTCTAAAAGATACTCAGCTACTGTCTCTGTCAATTGCAAGAAAGGTTAAACGAGACGAACCGCAAAGCATGTGCACAATTGCAATTGTACTGATGATGAGCAGGTCAATACCATTTGCCTGCAGCAATCGGCGAAGAACGCTTCCGTGGAGCTGTCGAAACTTTTCATGCAGCCTCTGGTGCTGGAACTCAAATCCAAGAAACCAAACGTCACTTTCATTCAGCTGGCGGCTCTTTCCCACGGCCAGCAGCGGCGCCATCCAAGACACGGTGAAAAACTGCCACAATCGCAGATTGTCTTCGGGACTGCGGTGATCACTATTTGGGGCCTGCCCAACGGTACTGATGTCAAAGGTAGGAAGAGCCACCTGGCGAAGAGGCATAGCAAGAATGACAGCCACACCCAACAAGGCGGTACCAGCCGCAACATAGTAGGTGAATATACTAGAGACCGCATATACATCACCGTTAACGATATAAGCAATCTCCACAATCGATTCCGCCACATAAAAAGCCAGGAATAGCAGGGGACTTGATCTCGGGCGTTCGGTAACAACCAAGGCGAACGCAATGGCCTACATGGGTATTAGATGAAGCTTGGTCCAGTGCAGACCTTGGGTACTTACCCAACCAGCAAGGAGAATCCAATTCGTCGGACTTCTCCCATTAAGAATCAACTTAATGAGCCCAGAGGCGAATCCGATGCTGGAAACCGCCAACAGGGCTAACACCCAGCCTAAACGTTGCTTCGGGGCTGGTAACCGCAACTCACAGTAAGGGGGCAATTCTTGGATGAAAGGCCTAGCCCATTTAGGACGCTGGACACATGGCAATCGTCGTAGCGCATAGGTCAAGACCGCAATCAGGATGATTATGGCTGGCACGAGAGAAAAGTAAGCAATGGCACATTGTGACACCCGGGCATTAGCAGAGTCCTATTGTCACAAGAATTAGTATAACCCGGTAAAGCCAAATCCAATGATATGAAGGAATTTACCCAAATTGAGCGACACGGGCCCCATATGCCATATGCCATTCCTAATGGTATTTGAGAAATATTGTGCAGGAATAACGATGAAACATTGCTGACAGGGACTGAGAGAAGGAAGGCTGTGGTTTTGAATACCTCCGTGTCGCTAGCCCCAGGCTCCCAGGCTCTTGTTGCAACTTCCGCCCGTCATGATTGGCTGCCACCGAACACGCCCAGCTCTTGAAGCCTCAGGCATGAAATTCCCTCGCCAGCACAACTCCGTCTCGAAAAAGGAAAGAAAAGAAAAGAAAAGCAAGCCCTGCCTTAGGTTGTTTTGCTACTCATGTGGTTACTATAATAGGAATTGCTGTAGGATGAAAGGGGCTATTTAGGATTGTATCTTCAGTGCAAGCGCATTGAGTTCGTTAATCATATGACAAGGGTGGCCACACAATAGTTACAATAGTAACTACATCTATGCATTGTCATCGACAACCCTGTCCTTCTCCCTCTCCTTGCCAGCCGACATGCCAATTCGGTTGACAATCCGTACCCAGCGTCTTCGCCTCCATTCACCCATCACATTCGGCCCAGTGTTCCCTTTCTCTTCATAGTCCTGGGAAGCCTTCTCTTTCCCCTTCTTTCTTGACTTCTTCTTATCTCCGCACAGAGATGGATTTGACCCGAAGTCCTGATAACCCAGTGCGGATGCAACTCCGTCATCACCCCGAGGAGACGAAGAGGAAGACAAATCCCAAACCCAACCTCCAATCTCATCAGTGCCAGGGCCGCCTTGCGAGGGGGCTCCTGGAACCTCAAACCCAACACCAGTGATCATACGCTCCACTACCCACTCGCGACAATCCAAGTCCAACTCCCACTTTTTGCTTTTCCATGCCCACCCAGCAGGAGGCTGGACATCTTCAAAGAAGCGGCACCCCTTGGGCCGATCACCCGCAATACGGGACGGTGAGAGGGGGTCATAAGGCACAGGGCTGAAAAGAAAACTCTCCCAGTCGGATTCGGAATAAGGGGCCAGGGAACGATATTGAATTTCAAAAATCTCCACTTCGCGTTCCTCAGGGAACGAATCTAAGGATATGTCCCCTAACAACCTCGTTAAAGGCACCTCTGGAGAAGCGGAAGCGAGGGGTGGCGCTTGGCCCGCGGCTTCCTTGGCCATATCATGGGCAATATTCTGGATGAAGTCGTGGATGTTGGGGTGTTTGGATAGAATCGCAGCATTGCCACTGACAAGCAAAATGTATCTCCATGGGATAAGGTGTGAAGTAATAAACAACCCTGCGGTGAGCAGCATACATAGAAGGAAAACCGTCGAGGACAGCTCCTCGTTTGAGAAGTTCGTCAAGGGCGCAACGGCTGAAACGGCTGAATCATGCAAGTCTGAAAAATCAGCCATACAGTTCTGCAGATCCCGCATATTCCGGAAGAAATCTTTGGATGTCTCGGGAGCGGGTTTGATAGTTTTCGCCGGCGCCAGCGCAGGACCCTGGTAGGAGTAATATGGGGTAATGCTGGATGTCGAAGTGGAGGGCGGCGGAGGGTGTCGGGCAAGGAAGGCGGGCACCATAACGAATAGAAGGACAGTCGCAATGGGAATTACGGCGAGAAAGTGAGGATCTAGGCAAACAAAGGAATAGACGAAGAGGAAGGAGAAAGTGTGGGATGGATGCTTCCAACTGAGCAGGCGCTCGATCTGGGTCTGAAGGTGGAAAACAATCCCGATCCTGCGATATTTCAGCCAGTGCTCCTTTCCAGCAGGATAACTGTATATTTACCTTGCATTAAACCGCCGAAAGTTATTGGCCATCACCGGCAAACTGAAGGCGGGTCGCTTGGCGTCCGATAAAGCAGCCTTGCTGGTCACCGACATAGCATCGTCATCGACATCATCCGGGATAACCTGCTGTAGGATCCTTCCCAAGGGTCAGTACAAGCCCCCAATAGATCACGAAGGGGTCCGGAGGCACATACTTTGTGAGTAAGGTATCTTGCACCGACCGACGAATGCTAGACATGCTAGACACAGATCCAGATCTTCCATGTCGCCTGAAATCAAGGCCCTCGATATTCCCACTCTGTTTGCCTAGAGGGGACAAGGGTAAGTCGTCACGGTCGGCGGAGGCATCAGTCGTCGTTTCATCCATGATACCTTATACAAGAATCAGCCACCCGGGCAAGAGAAAGCTGCATTTCGTGGTGAATGGAGGGTGGGTGAGGTCGATAATCATAATAATAATAGTTAATTGCAGTGAAGGTACTCGTTAGATTGCGGGACGGAGGCACATGCTCCAAGAAAAAAGCCGAGCAAGACAGCAGCAGATTGATAAATTACATTGCGTATTTTTGCGGTAACGGGTAATTAATTTCGATCCAACACTACCCATCCACAATGCTTTACTTTACCTACCTAAACTGTATATACTAGGTATACTCTGGTATACCTGGGAACAGGATTGGGGAAATATCCCCCTGGACTGTATAAGGCGGCAAGATCGAGAATGTGCAACTGCTGACCTCAGGACCTATCTACCTAACCAACTGTCTTCTCGTCTCCGGACAGAAGTCGGCCAAAGAAAGCAGCCAACCAAGAGCTCGCTAGTGTTTCAGAAACAGCAGTCCCAGATCGTCATCCCATATTAAAGAAGAAACCTCATATAGTCCTCTTCCAGTAGTGACAGCTGTAGCCCCCGAGATAGAGAAATAAAGGGCAGCTCGAAGGGAAGAGTAAAGCTCCTGCAAAGAAGTGGAGATTCTAGATTACAGGCCAAAAACACCTGGTAATGAACCTTTTGGATAGTTATAAAATAGCAATAATAATATATTATCAGCCCATAACAACCAGCCCCTATAGCTACTGAGCAAGCAGTAAAGGGGGAAAACAACGTCTGTTACCCACTTAAAAAACATACTATGGTAAGTCCTCACCGCCACGAGGCCCGTGGACAACTTCGGTCATACTGATTTCAATCTCTACAACCATCAAAGCAAGAGAACAAGCATCAGTAGCAAGAACATGACATCCGCCCGTCAGATCCATTCTTCTGAACCCAAGCATGTTGAAGTGCTATGCAACATCATAAAGACCCCCGGACAATTCAAAGCTACTGTGAGATGCGCCGTTGCCGGCGATACTCCCATAGCTGTGCAGAAGCCCAAGTAGCATGTCTTTTGTTATCACAATGTCATGTTCTCCAGGATTTACCGCTTGTCGGCCGACAAACACCTCCAGCGGAAGGCGAATTTCATCCGTGGAGACTTGCAGTAGTGTATTAACATCACGACAGAATCCAGAGACCGAGAGGCACTCATAATCTACATTCATGGCCACCAGTTGCCTGTCAATCATCTTTCGAACCAGAGCAGATTGCAATGTTCTCGTGATCCCAATTCGGCATGACTTTCACAAGTAAAAGTTCAGTCGGGCGATGATATTGAAACTTGACGAACTTGCAGGGTCGCGTATCATCAGCGGACAGGATATTGAACTCTTCCTCTGTCATCTGTCGGAACTTGAGTATCTGCTGACTGGGTTCGAGTTTCTGTAACGAATCATCTACTGCCGACGTGCGAGGCCAAGGAGATGTTCAACTCCAAGATACTTGACAGCGTCCGAGTCGTCTCATGCCAGGCATTGTTTGAACGTCGCTTGGGGTATGTGTAGAAGGTGCAGAACACTGAGTTGTTGCTTCCTCCATTATACTAGGAAGGAACAGCACGACAAGCGACAGCTAAGGATCTAAACGCAGGGGGTATTTGCAGACTGCCCAGTTTTAACAGGATGATGCACAAGTTAATTATACCGACTGTGGATTTGAAGAATGTGATAAGATCCCTTAAGGAGGATTGACGTGAGCGAAGCAAGATATACCACAGGCCGTACACGTAAAAGCCTCCTGGAGGGAGTCGTGAAAGATGACGTGTTGGTCCTGTCATGATCCTATCATGATCGTGGGAGTTTATTGTTAAGGGCAACTGTGGCGAACAGTCGTGTCATTAGAGTTGGTGGTTTTACGGAGCAGTAAAGAAATAGTTACTGAAATCTGATTTGAATGGGAATAACTTGACAATTAGAGCCCAAGAATAATAATAGTAGTTTATGCTAGGTGCGTGAACATAAAAGTACTCAAGTGAGTGAACAGGGGGAATGGCAAATCGACAGCCAAAAGCAGCGTCAACTGTGGCCGTTTTTGGCAGCCCATTTGCCGTCATCTTATAACTAAGACTCCTTTAGAAGGGTTACAACACAGTCTACTAACATCTCTACTTATAATATTTAAGATTATACACATTTCATTAATTAGATCTAGTGAAATTCCACGTATTTTGGTTGTTGGGTATAGCTTCAAAGTTTCTGTATATGGTTAAAATAGGTTGGGTGAGCGAACCCCAGGAATTACGTTACTTGTTGAAGTTGTCTATTTTGAGACTTGTCTTTGTCTAGGCACTACTACGGAGTACTACGGAGTTAGGAACTACTATACGGAGTATGATGGAGTAGTAACTATATGATGGAGTAGTCACTATATTATGGAGTAGTACTCTATAGTAGCAGATACAGAGAGGAAAGTGATGTAATTTTCAATCCTCAGTACGCTAAAGAAAGAGGCTAAACTTTCTTCGTGCTCCCAGAGTACACTAGTCCCAATACGGGAGCAATTTCGCATCTTCCGTGGTGTTTGCGCTGTTTGCAACCATATCAAGAAGTCCCGGACCAAAAAAAAAAAAAAAAAAAAAAAAAAAAGGAGCCAGGGGTCACTTTTTTGTCTTGCAGCAACAGCAAAAGTTGTGGATGAGAGACAGAGTTGCTTGTTTACAGATCTTTCTCCTTTCCTGCTTCCTGTTAGGTCCTCCGTAGCTGCCTGGCAGGCTCCTGAGATTCCTATTAGCTCTACCCATATTAAACGCCTTTTTTTGGACTTCTCAGATTTATTTACTCCTTCCCGTTCTCTCCGAATTTGTTGTTCCTTCCTACTCGACCCTTTTTTTGGGGGGTCTGTACTGATATTAGTACGCCTGTTAACTTGTATCCACGCCAACGCCAAGTCTAGCAGAACTGCAGCCCCAACCCGAGTTCTCTGCGAACGAACTCTTCGACCTTCTCCCCCCCCCCCCTTCCAGTTTATACCTTTGCGGAAAATACGTCGTGGAAAAGAAACTGGCAACCTCTCTCTTTCTCCTACAACCTTTCTGCTTTCTGTTCCCATCCCTCCTTATCACACCTTCGGAACAGAGTTTCCTGTTCTTGACCCCCGCGATGGACCGTTAACGACCGCCGTGGGTCGCGCGACGCTGTTGGTCAAGGCTCTCCTTCGTTGAGCATTGGGAAATTTTGTTCTCCTGAATGCCGTGGCCACTGGGCCTTCCTACCGATTTTCTTCCTACTTCCCGTGATCAATCCCTCTTCCTGGACGTATTCCCCGCGTCCGGAGCTTCTACCAAAGTATGACGATGCCGGAAAAGTTGTCGGGCCAACAGAGTGCAGGAAAGGGGCAGCCGCGTAGAGTGCAGTCGAGATCATCCAGTCCAGTGGGACACGAGAACGTGGGTTTTGGAGGTAAGAGAAATATAACGGCGACAAGGTGGTTGAGGACAAGCCACATCTGCTGGCCATGGCTAACAAGAATTATTTGTGATGCACAGAGGGACCCGCCCGAAGAAGATTGCAGAAGCATTCTTCAACCACCTTTCTTTCCGATGCCGCGTTCCATTCCTCTAGTAATCTTGTCGGGTCTCGAATAAGCACTTTGAGCAAGCGGAGACTCTCCATTCGCGATCAGAAGGTTCCTCAGGGTCCACGCCCACAGGACCTGCCGCCTCGCAGGTATGTCTCTGTATACTGGGCCCCCTATCACCGCACCCCCTGTCACCACTCTCTGATCGCTGGCTCTTTCCTTCCCATCAATCTAATGTGGAATATCATAGCAACGCCTCCGGCGCCGTTCTTCATTCCGGTAAATCTTCAGTCGACTCGACCAACGAATCTATAAAGAGCTCCAATTCCCGAGTGAGCCTTCGGTCCAATAGCATGGGTAATTTTTCACAGACAGAGTACAATCACACCCCCCCCAATAGCGTGGAATTCCTCGCCCCGGTCAATTTCGATGATTTCCACAATAGCATCATGGCGGAACCGAGCTTGAACCATTTCCCAATGCCTGGAAATAGGGGGGTCGGGTTTGAGCGTCAAACCGCCTCGTTTCATCCTACTAATCCGTGGGCAAATAGCAGTGCCGACAGTAATACATCAGGGCGCGCGAGAAGTAACTCTGCTCGACGGAAAAGTCTAGTGGGCCAGCATCTCTCAACTGACATCTCATCCTCCCGCCCCCCAGTCTCCACAACCCTGACGACCCGAAATCGTCGACAGAGCCTCGCTCAAAACCAAGGCAGCACCGGTGCTTCGCCACGTGTACCGCGCAAATCGATTGGACCTGGTTCACTACCTACGGCTGCATCTGCGCGACGACAGAGCCTGTCAGCCCGAAAAGCCAGTGCTGACACGACCCGAAATGACCAAACAAACTTTCTTCGTCCACGAGCGCAGCATTTGGAGTCGGGTCGCAATGATGGTACAAAATTCTCAGCAAACGTGCGGAATGCAAAGGCCAAATCTTTCCAGCCTCCCCCGAGGGACCTCGGTGACAACTTTTTGGCGACGTCTGGGGCTGTCGACCAAGGTAGATCTTCCTCCACGAACGCTGTTCGAACACCGATCAAGAACGTAGGAGGGAGAGCAACCACTCCGTCTTCATGTTCGAAGCGAATGTCGGCTATGCCACCACATGCGACGGGTCTTGGTGCTCGCACTATTAGTCCCACCGATGCACGACGCCTGAAACGCAGGTCAATCGCACCACAAGCCCATCCGCTGCCTTTTACACCACCGAGTCAAACTGATCCATTGCCACTGCGCCCTCGTTCATGTGCGCACTCCCCTTCGAACATTCCGCGGAAAAGCGTTACTCCCTCGTCCACGCGGACTACTCCCGATCCCAATCGCAAGTCCTACAGTTCGGGCTTGTCTTTGTCGTCCAACACCAGCTATAATTCTGCAAGAAACTCCGGGGGCTCTTTACAAGCAAGATTATCGCAAAACTTATCATCGTCCCGTCTCCCAACACCAAAACCTCGGATGGAACATGCGCAGTCGACCAATGATGAGGTCCCACCCGTGCCCGCTATCCCCAAGGCATATGAATCCCCCAAGGGTGATCTGGAACAACCGCCATATTCTGGAGCTCGAAAGTCTAGTTTACCCGTGGAAGTTGAGCTTCTCAAGGCTAGAAACGACTCTGATTCAAACACGAGTGTGACGCTCTCTTTAACTAAGAGTGGGGATGCTCAGATCTCAAATGCACAAGCAATGAAAACCCCGGAGGCTAAACCACCGCCTCCTGTTGGGTACACAACGAGGAATCTTCAGCCTTTGAAATTGCCTCCGTTGAACTTGTTACCCCTCGGGACACCCATGACAGCGAAAATTGAGGCATTAGTTGATAGAGATGAGGATGACCATTCGTCCACTCCTTCCGCCCAAATCATATCCAAGACCCCAAGCACTCCATTAACTGCCTCGAAAGCCAACTTCTTTTCTTTCCGCGACGATGATGACCCAATTCCGTTGCCTCATGCGAGAAGCAGCACTTCGCATTTTGCCCTGAGCACCTCCTCCGGTGCTGGCCTTCGGACTGCGAGCAGCTCCAGTGCACTTGTGTCCTTTGACAACATGCCTGGCGGTGCGAGAACGGTCTCGCCTTATATCTCGTACACTCTACCGAAAAGCAGCAGCGAATATAATTATCTTCGCCAAAAACCTAGTGGTGATTACTCTCCAAGAATGTCACAGTCTTACAAACTTAATGGGCCCCGACCCCAAACCCAATCTTCTGCTTTCTCCTCCAACGCCGAGACAATCAGTCAACTTTCTACTCCTTCTGACCCCGATAATAACAGTATCTCTGGATCCTCTCTTCGGAACCAGATTACCCTGACGCGGAAACGAAGCACCTCTAAATCCCAGCAGCAGCAGCAGCAGCAGCAGCCGCCGCCTCCACCGCTGCTAGAAGTCAGCACGGATCCCAAGAAGTATGATCACATGCCACCCCCGAAGCTTCCGGCCTCTGTCACTTGGAATAATCTATCCACAACCAAGACGTCGAGTCCCACGCTGAAGCCGGCGTACCTCAAATCCAGACGACAGTCATCCATGTCAGGCGCAACAAACGTAGCGCTTAGGAAACCAAGCTTCAGCAGCGACCAAAGCCTTGCCCTCGAGCCGAGTAGGTCTCATGAATCCACTGAGAGTGACAGCGTGCAACAGCATCACTGTGCTTCTTCCATCCTTTCGCCGGTTCACAAGATCATTAGCTCCGCGAGGTCGAATGTGGCAGCATCTACTTCGCCTTCATCCGACAGCAATGTAGATTCTGAAATCCTGGCCGCGGACGACGAGATGCGAAAACTTGGTAGTAAGCGGAAGGATTTTGAGAACGCCGCGAAAGAACTCGATAATCTTCGCCGGAAGGCTGGACCGAAAGATCGTGTTACCGCAGCCCAGGCGCTACGGTTCGCCAATTTGAACATCTTCGAACGCGGAGAGATTATCGACTTCAAGGATATCTATTTTTGTGGGACCCAAAATGCTAAGAAGCATGTTGGGGACCTCAATTCACAGGCTGCAAACTTTGGTTATGACGATGACCGTGGGGATTACAATATTGTCCTTGGTGATCACTTAGCCTATCGGTACGAAGTGATGGATGTTCTGGGTAAGGGTAGTTTTGGCCAGGTGGTGAGATGCATTGATCACAAAACTGGTGCTCTGGTGGCGGTCAAGATAATCCGTAATAAGAAGAGATTCCATCAACAGGCGCTGATTGAAGTCAACCTTCTCCAGAAATTGAAGGAATGGGATCCTCATCGTCGTCACAGTGTGGTTAATTTCACCCAAAGTTTTTACTTTCGAGGACACCTGTGCATATCTACGGAGCTCCTCGGGATGAATCTGTATGAATTCATCAAGGCCCATGATTTCAAAGGGTTCTCGATCAAACTTATCCGCCGGTTCACAAAACAAATACTGAGCACTCTGGTGCTTCTCCACGCTAAGAAGGTGATTCACTGCGATCTCAAACCCGAAAATATTCTCCTTGTTCATCCCTTGAGCTCCGAAATACGAGTCATCGATTTTGGCTCAAGTTGTTTCGAGAACGAGAAGGTCTACACGTACATCCAGAGTCGTTTTTACCGTTCTCCCGAGGTGATCCTTGGTATGTCGTACGGCATGCCGATCGATATGTGGAGCGTAGGGTGTATCTTGGCTGAGCTCTACACTGGCTATCCAATCTTTCCTGGTGAAAACGAACAGGAACAGCTTGCATGTATCATGGAAGTTTTTGGGCCTCCCGAGAAACATTTGATTGAGAAGAGTACTCGCAAGAAGCTATTCTTCGACTCTCTTGGTAAACCGAGGATTACGGTCTCCTCGAAAGGTCGGAGACGTCGTCCAAGCTCCAAGGAACTCAGGCAGGTCCTGAAGTGCGACGATGAAGCCTTTTTGGACTTTATTGCCCGCTGTCTTCGGTGGGATCCTGCCCGTCGGTTGAACCCACACGATGCCCTTAGACATGAATTCATCGCTGGAATCAAAATGGCTTCACGACCAAGAACATTCGGCACTCATTCCCCCGGGAAACGTGTCAACACGTTTTCCACCCCTTCGGCGGGCCGACCTCTTCCAGAACCGCCCGGCACAGGTCTTAAAGCCGGCTCCTTTATCCGTCGAGACGCCTCGACCTCCTCACCTGTTAAACCGATCTCTGGGAAGCGTCACTCTACCGTGAGCGGGTTACCACCGTCGACGCCTGCTAAGCGAGGCACAAATGCCACCACTACCCCTGGGTCCGCGTTACCTCGTGTTTCCGCACGAAGTATCAGTGGGAAGCCTGACCTTGCAACTGCAGCGGCAGCGACAAGCTTGGTAGGTCGAGCGACGGATGACACCCCCCAAGATTGACGGATTTAAAGTCAGCGTTGCTAACCTAAGGACAGAAGACTAAATGACGCAGCCTGCGCTCCCATGTTTTGCTTTCTTTTCTTTTCTTCTTCTTCTTCTTCTTCTTCTTCCACTTCTGGCATATGTGTAATAATAATTGTTTGATTATTCAGTTGCATAGCATGTTGGGGATGTTTGTGGCTTCGCATCCTATTCTTATGATTGACATTGAACTGGTTGAACAAGCTGGCGGGTGAGGCAAAGAGTTCGTCTTATACCCTTACTTGAGCATTTGCATGCCTGTCATGACATGATTTTCTTTGCTTTCCTTTTCTTCTTTGCTTTCTTTATCTCTTTGCTTTGGTTGCTATCTTTCTTTCTTCTTTTCGCTTTCATTCCTTGTTTCTTAACTTTCTTTCTTTCTATTCTATTTCTTTTCTATTCCTTTCTCCCTTTTTCTTGGTATTGCTATGACTTTGGAAGCTGAGTTGATACATGCTGCATATGTGCTGTCTTGCATCTTTCTCCTCTGGCTTTATACTTCTACCTTTCCTCCCTGATCTCTGATGAACCTAGGGGCGTTGTATCCCGGATGACCTGGGAGGACATAATTTCCCCGAGGATCATCTGTATATTTACTTTTTTTTTTTTTTTTTTTTTTATTCAGTCTTTCACCTCTCGCTATGCTGGGTTGCGGGGTTGGAGAATGACGGATTACGATACGAATTAGAACGCTTATGGATATACCTATGTGGAGAACAAAGACACTCTCTAGCTTAGAGGCATATATTAATTATTAATGCGAATTTGTGTATAGGAAGATTTTTGTCTTTTCTTCCAAAGGTGGCTGGACGTACGGAGTAGATATGTACCTGGAGAAGTGCGACTGCGGAGTTCTGCAATACTTGGCCAGTTGGCCTCAACTCCAATTTCTCGCCCACTCCTCCTCAGTCCACTCTCCAAACAACGCCAGTTCATTATTGGCTTCCCTTCCTTTTCCTCGTTGTAGATCTCGTTCTTTTGCTTCCCTGTTTTATTCTCATGCCTTGATATCTTGCTTTATCCACACCTCGCGACACAAACTCGTGATGAATGGGTTCGCAGCGCACCACCTTGACGAGGATGCGTTCGGGGAGAAGTCCAACGTAGGAGGCGGGCTCAAAACCTTTGATGCTTTCCGTATGTTTGTATCCCACATCTCCAGTATCTGCTGTTTGTGTTCGTTTGTTGTGTGACGTATCCCAAAAGCAATGAGAATTACTCCATTGCGATGCGCAAGATCCTACCCCCATGAGGGTCTAGCAAAAACATACATACTAATCTGGCGATTTTTGGGGGGAACCCCAATCTAGCAAAAACAAAGCCCTCCTACACCACTCCCACCCGTCGCGGTGGCCAATGGACCCTTCTGATTCTCGTTATCTGCACGGTCTTTTCCTTTTCGGAATTCCGCAGCTGGCTCAAAGGCACCGAGGCGCATCATTTCACCGTCGAGAAGGGCGTCTCGCATGACCTCCAATTGAACCTGGACGCCGTCATCTTAATGCCCTGTGACACGCTGCACGTCAATATCCAAGATGCATCGGGAGATCGGGTGCTCGCCTCGGAGATGCTGAACAAGGAGCCCACGAGCTGGAAGCTATGGATGGATAAGCGCAATTACGAGCAGTTCGGTGGTTCTCATGAATACCAGACCCTGAGCCAAGAAGACTCCGGTCGATTGGCGGCGCAGGAGAAGGATGCGCATGCCCACCACGTTCTGAGTGAATTGAGGAGAAACCACAATCGCAAGTTTGCGCGCGGACCAAGACTCAGACGGGGTGATGTGGTAGATTCTTGCCGGATCTACGGTAGCCTCGAGGGAAATAAAGTCCAGGGAGATTTCCATATTACTGCGCGAGGTCATGGGTATCAAGACGGTGGACCTCATCTGGATCACAGCAGTACGTGTGTACCCGTGGCCCCTTTCAATTCCCTCCTTTTTTTTTTTTTTTTGCATGCTAGTTCTCCCCCTCTAACTGTTGGTAATTATGTACGATATATATATATATATAGGCTTCAACTTTTCCCACATGATCACTGAGCTGTCTTTCGGACCCCACTACCCTACGATTCTCAACCCACTCGACAAAACCATCGCCACAACCGAATCACACTACTACAAATATCAGTACTTCCTCTCCATCGTGCCCACCATCTACTCCAAGGGCAACCTCGCGCTGGACACATACGCCAATGCCCCCCCATCCAAGCGCGAGAACCGCTACAACAAGAACCTGATCTTCACGAACCAGTACGCGGCCACTAGCCAATCCGACGCAATCCCCGAATCGCGGTTTCTGGTCCCCGGGATCTTCTTCAAGTACAACATCGAGCCACTTTTGCTCCTTCTCAGTGACGAGCGGACGAGCTTCCTGTCGCTGCTTATTCGGCTGGTGAACACCGTCTCCGGAGTGATTGTCACTGGTGGCTGGATCTACCAGATGACCGAATGGGCTACGGAGTTGAGGAATCGAAGACGGACTCGTGGGAAGTCCGAGGGGTATCTAAACGGGAGGCACTTGGCTGAAGATTGATCAGATCAGATGCGCGTGAAACTACGTAGGTAATCTGTGTGGAGGGAAAGGCGATTACCGAACAGGTTTTATGTTGGCTGGGTTTGTTCCGCATATTCATAATAAAGGTTCATTTCGGAGAGCTGGTGTTATAAAATCCGTTCTTTGCTCTTTTTTTTTTTTTTTTTTTTTTTCATCTGGCGATCGATCTTGTGTATTTTGTTTATGTGTTTTGTCTATTTCTTTCGAAATCCCTGGATATCCTAGCTGTTTTGCTTGATATAGATAGAATCAGGTATGTATGCAACGAACCTACTTGTTCTATAGTATTTCTACCGCAGTTCATTCTGAGATTCCAGAACCAGAGTTGTTCAATCAATCTCACGCGGGATTATTATTGATCGTCAAACATTTACTGGTCTAAATCGAACTTGATATAGATGCAGGAACAGCCAAGTTCTTCTCAGATTTACCGTAATTTCAAGCCAGGGCTGCGTGTATTGTCATTAACTAGAATTCCCCCCCCCCCCCCCAAAAGAATGGGCTGGTTCATCTTCGTCTAGGCTATGAATTCCTGGGAAACAGTGGTCAAGCCGAATAAAATCCCTGTTGACAAAATCGAAGATGGGGGGTCGCAGTCTCGTGGCTAACCAGTGCGGATCCGTGTCTCCAGAAGTTTAGGGTCAACCTTTGCTGTTTGAAGCACCTGTTTCATCCTAGCATATAATTTTCGATCTTCTTTTTCCCATCTTCCACCGCCTGGAAAAACAACCTTGCGTAGTCTATTCACCCAAGGCCCGAGTGGTTGATAATAATCGGTGAAATTGTCATTCACCAATCTAATAAAATCACCTTCATGGGCAATTGTACCTTTCTTCAGCTTCGCAAGTTCATCCATGGAGACATAGTTCCACTTATCAAACTCAGGAACAACCCGTGAAAGCACCTTTTCAGCTTCCCCACTGAAGTGGATACAAATCCAAAATAACACCCAGAAAAAGGACTCCAGGTCATGCATGAAAGAGTGTTTTTCACCTAAGAGTAATCCAATTGCCATGAAAGCTCTTGTCCCTGTCTTTCCCCTGGCTCCAGATGGTTGTTCGCGGTTCTCTCTAATGGCAAGATCCAGATCTATTAGGAAAGCATTATTTTCATTGATAATAAGATTTCCAGTTGAAATATCACCCTGTAAAAGGCCTGTCTTGATAAGCAGAGATTCATAGCCTAGTATCAATTAGTAGTGAAACATCTAGATTAATAGGAGACCTGCCATCTACGCAATTTTCAAGTGCTGATAGTAGTGAAACCTGTGATGATGCTTTATAGATAGGTATCCCACAATCACGAATAATAACGCGACGATGTACTCGATTTTGTACTGCAGAATCACGTCCGCCGTTGCAAGGCGATCTCGAGCAGATACGCTTGTTTGGGAGCAATGTTGCCCCCGAATGGCTAGATGACCTCTTGCAGCCTGCGTTTATTGGCCGACCTATCCCGCCCTTGTCGGTTATGTCACTTGCAGAACCTTCGGGACGTATAGGCCTGTAATTAGTTGATTGAGTTATGTCGAGTCCTTTGCGAATGTTGTCGCAGACACTGTCGACCTGGCCATTCACGTGAACAGTTTCATGATAGTAATACCTAGCCACATAAATCACACCTTTCTCTGTTGCTTCTTGCAGAAGTTCACCTTCTACTTCTCGTTCTGGATATTGCCATGAGTCCTTAATAACAAGGGGCGCACATGACTTATCACCCTCCCGATGAGCTTTCCAGCAAGTAGTAGCTCTTCCAGCAATACATGGAGAACGCCGTATAAGACTATCAAGAATAAGATTTTCTGATTGTCCGTTGCGTGTGATTTTGATAAACCTTCTCCCATCTGAGGTGAACATAATGCTAGGATCATATCCTAATTCATCATCATTCATTCGCAAAAATCCTAGCATAGCCGAGACAAATGCAAGTCCATCTTTGTGAATATCAAAGGACGATGAGGCAATGGCTCCTATGCGGTCGAACTCCCACAGACGCATAGTAGATCCACATAATGTAAAACCTAGAGCAAATCGGCGACTGTCTTGTGTAGTGAGAACTTCCCTGGCATAACGACCCAAGTCACGCCAAGTCTTTGAGGATAAGTCTTCTTTTGGATTAGACTTCAACTCTCCTATGACCAGGACTTGCGACCAGTGATATTTCTCACTCGCTGCGCCAGAAGCACGCACAATGCCAAGGTCTATCTTGCGATCGGCCGTAGATCCTTCTAAGGAGCGATGAGGTTGAGCCAGAAACATACGGTCTGGAGGTATGGCAAAACCTTGCTCGTTTGCAATGTTGCGGATGCTGTCGACCCAAGCTGAAAGCCAGTCTAAGACTTCCTTTTCCTTCGCTGTCTCTGGCCAGTTCCGCCACCCCTTATCTGTGAACAGTGGATTGTGGCCGTCATGGCATCTCCGGAATACCGTTGCTGCTGCGTCTTCTAAGCCTTCAAGACCACCAAAATATGCCTCATAGAAACCCGATACCCCGACATAAATCGACCCGAGTTCACCCTTTAGTACAGCATCTACATGTTTCCGTTGCTCAGAAGAGTTAACAAAGCTACTTATAGTATGCAAATAAGACGTTTGACTGAGAAAGGGTACAAGTCGTGGGGAAGGGGTGGACTCGGTCACCACTGCATAGACGTTGTCCCATACGACCTCGTCCGGGGCCCCGGTAAAAACTGCGGAAAATAATGGGATCAGGCCTTTGACGTCGAAATCACCAGAATCAATAGTCAAGTTAAGCTTGGACAGATCCCCAAGGAGAGTTCTACCCCTCCCGGCAGAAGGGAGGGTACGTGACGCAGGATGAGAGAGCAGCGTGGTTACAAGGTCAACGGATAAATCTTTGAGAACTGCTGCTGTCAGAAAAGGTAGAGTAATTAGAGACGTAACTTACCATCGTTGTGTAATTGGTTTAAGGAGGCAGCAGAGCATGGTAATTGCGCGTCCTTACATCTCGATAACAAGGTGTCACGAAACGAGGCCAATCCATCCGCTATCGGATTCGCTTTGATGATGTCCGTTTTGGTTTTCTGGTTCATTCTATTAAAGGGGAATTAATTTATAAAACGCTCATCAGCACAAGTGTGATAATATTCAAGAGCTTCGGTCACATTGAGCTGGCAGGGCTGCGCTGGCTTGGGCATGAGCTGGGGTTGTCTGGTCGGCAAGAAACCCTCACTGTCTCTCGAAATTGACTATCCCTAATTAGGAAATACATTCTCCTAAAGGAAGAATCATAAATCCGACACTCCGCTACGTTCATGATAGTTAACCAGCTCAGCTTGTTAGTTTGCAAGCAAGGATTGTATCCATCTTCAGAAGTTTCTAGTCCGAAGATAAGACAATAATGTCATTCGCAGCAGAGAGCCCACTAATCAACGTCCGGCTCGAAATCGAGAGCCTCCGGACCGAAATCTACAACATGACGGCGCCAATTACAGCCACCGCCACGGATTTCAACGAAGCTCAGTTCTGAGTTGCGGATATGAGTCGAGTGAAGTCTTGATAGATAGTTCAGGATAAGAGAGGATTTTCAAATATTTCTTCTTCACGCAGGTCCGGAGGAATCCTGGGTTACGAGAGGATGCAGACCCTCATTGATGAGAGAGGAAATGTGAGAAGAAAGGCAAGCGACTTGCATTACAACATCGAAATCATGGGCATGGCATTGGTATAAACTATACTATATAATATCAAGTGGCTGGTCCCTCTCCCTTCTTTATTCTTTAATGTTTTTTTTTTTTTTTTTTTTTTGGCTCTATATTTCAAAAATCTCACCCATTCCAACTCCCGCTCCCTCGGCGCCGGCCCGACTATCAACAAGATCTAGCCGCCAGCCATTCCAATCCCGGAGCTTCCGCTTGATCTCGCGGACCCATTCAACACGCTTGCGGGCCTCTTCTTCGGCCTGTGCGCGCGCGAATTCTGCTTCGTCGAATTCGTCGTCAAAGTTCTCCTCCGAGAGGAGCTCGAGACTGCCGCGCGTGGCAGGTGGATGTTGGTGCTGATTCGATGGCGCGCGGCCGCGATTCCCGTAGAGGGCATTTCCGCCTGTGAAGGCTGCTATGCCACTGGACAGCACGGTGGAGAAGGAAGAGTGTTGCTGCTGGTGGGCCATGCTGCGACGACGAGCGTGTTCGGGGCTTCCGCCGATGAGGTCGACGTCGTCGAACGCGTTGGCGGCGGGGTTAGGGTTGTACGATGGATAGTCGGGTGCGACGATCCCGGTGTCCTCTCCCTGTACGAGCTCCTGGCGCTTTTCTTGCCATACCCCGCGACGAAGATCGAAGACTTCGCCCTCTAGCTCGCGGATTCGGCGCTGGAGTCGGGATCGTTCTTCGTCTTCGAGCTCGTCAATGGCGTCGTCGTCAGTGCCGCCGGCTTCGCGCTTCCTGAGAGCCTCTTGCTCTTCCTTGAGTCGCAGATTCTCATTCTCGACGCTGGCCAGCTTTTTCCGTAGTACGGCAGCTTCCTTCTCGAACTTTTCGCTCTCGCGGAGTCGGGCCTGGTGTCGTGATTCAGACTCCTTGTGTAGGTTTCCAATTGCTTGCAGTTTCTTCTCGAGGCTTTCGATCTTCTTCTCGCCCTCGGCCTTTTCTTGTTTCAGCTCCTCAACCTCCCGCTGTAGAGTCTTGATTAGGGTTTCGGTGGAGGTCTTGTCCACGCCTTCCCTAACTGCCTTTTCGGAAGCGCGGGTCAGGGCACTTTTGACGTCCGCAAGTTCACGCTGGGATTTCTCCAAGGCGGATTCGCTCTGCGAGAGTTTCCCTTCGAGGGCTGTTATCTGCGTTTCGTGCGCATTCTGCGAAGACACCTGGGCACGGAGGTTGGAAATTTCCAGCTCCATGGCTTCCATCGCGGCAGCCTTGGATTCCAACTGCTGCATTAGATCGGAAGGAGGGGATTCGGAGGGACCAGGGACGGAGATACTGGCATTGCTGCGGTGGGTGCGTGTTTGAAGGTGGGAGTTGTGTCTTTGAAGAGAAGCGATCTCCGCTTTCTGCAGCAGCGCATTGTTAACGGTTAGTTCCTTTCGTAGTATCAAAAAAAAAATTTAGGCTCTTCCATACCAATTCATCTATGCCTTCTGCCTTCTTCTCCGCCCTTTGCAGCTTCTCCTGGAGCTCTGCAACATCCACGCCCGCTTCCCGCAGATCCTCTAACTGATCCTCCGTCTTCTTCCATCGAGTCGTAGCATCTTCGAGCTCCTTCTCCAACCGCTTATTATCCTTCTCGAGCTCTTCGATCCGCGTCGACTGTTTCCGGTATACCTCGTGAACGGACTCCCCATCCGCACTGAGCGGGGGTAACGAGGGCGACTTCAACGTCGCAGACGGCGACGTTGACATGCTCCCCTGCGAAACAGAAGACTTCCGGAAAGATGACGACCGCATTTTCGACTGGATGGAGAGCGAGGCCTGCCGCGTGTGGCCGGCGCGTGGGGTGTCCAGCTTGGTAGCCAGCGGCTCATCCTCTGGGTTAAGAGACGTGGGAGCCTCTGGCATGGGTTCCGTAGGCGATTCCTCCTGTGTCTCTGGCTGTGTGGACTGGGGCTCATCGTCTTTCTCTCCTGTTGCGGGTTCTTCGGGGGTTGCTGCGTCTGCATCTGGTGGTGGTGGTGGTGGCGTACTAGAGGATTCCGGAGTTTCTGATTCTTTCGGAGTATCGGAGCTAGCGGGTTTCTTGCTGGCTTTCTTTTTCTGTTTTTGGAGTTGTGCTACCTGTTTCACCGGAATTATCGTGAGTAACCATATTAGCCATTGTAATCTGGAGGGGGGGGGGGAACAACTAACCCTCTTTTTGGCTGCGGCCAGCTTCTCGGCCTTCAGGCGCTCCTCTTCATCGGCCATGGCGTGTTTAGAAATACTTCGGCTGTGCGACGAGGAGGGTGCAGAACGGAGAGAGAAACTCGGGTGGGTTAGATTCGATGGTAGAGACTCTCGGTGGGTGAAGGACAGCTTTCCCCATGTCGTGCACGGGCCACCCGGTCGAGGGCGGCTTCGACTTGAACGACATCATTCTACAGTATAGACTCTGCTGGTGCAAGACGAGTTTACCAAGTCTACCGCTTGTTCTAGCTTCGATAAGCATCGTATATGCTGCTGCCCAGGATTTGAAGCGTAAATTGGTCAATTTGTGTTAAAAAGATACAGCAAGAAATAAAATATTGACAACGGCTTCTCGGAGACCAGTCCTACCACCAAGCTACACGCAGCGCGTCCTCATCGCCAGCAAATCGCGCACTATATTAGATATAGGGGCCGGATCGGCAACCTCACTTAACGCCCCAAGCCCGTTCAAAATGCAAGTTGAATGCGGATGGAAAACAAGCAACGCCTCAGAAATGAATCAACTCAGACAGGGGGGCAGGAAAAAAAAATATAAAAAAAAAAAATTAAGTTAACTTAGGTCAGCCGAGACAAAAGAGAAAAAACAAAGAAAAAAGATCAAAGCCCATTAGGTCATTAGCATCATCAAACCTCCATCGAGTCCGCAATCTCCTCACTCATGGCGCGAACGGTGCCTTTGCTACCGGACCGAGATCGGAATTCCTCATCACTCATGATATAGTGATCGAACTCATCCACGGGTCGTTTCGATTTGTGCTCCTCATCACTCTCACTCTCATCAAGCTCAGCATGTTCGCCAAACCAGTAGCGAGTCCGCTTGCTCGAGCTGATATTAGGGGTCAGATATCCGTCGTCGAACGTTCTCTTCGTCGTTGGCGTAGCGACGCCCTCGCTCGGTGTGTGACTGAGAATAGGGATAGCTCTGATATAGATATAGCAAACACGCTTCCGCAGACGATTGAAAAAGAAGTAATGAAGGCTCCAAATTGCGCCGTCGTCGGCATCGGACGGGTCCTCCTCCGGTGAGTAGGAGTAAATAGAACACTCCTTCAAAGACATTTGCTCGTCCATGATCTTCCACATCCTTTGACCCCACGTAGAGGACGCTTCTGCATTGTATGATCCGGAAACGGTGGATGGGGATGGTGGTGTCAGATCAATGGCTTCACGTGGCCGAAGGTTGAAAAGCGTGGAGTCAATCGTGTTCATTACTCTCTTCAAATTCCTCTCACGATGGAAATCCGACGGGCGTAACACATGCGAAAAGTCATAGTCAGGGTGGCTCGCGTTCAGCGTGGCGATCAGATAGGCAAAGGTGCGGCGACTCGAATGATCGCTCAGGGGCCCAAACGGACTGGAGCGGGAGAGATTCAAGGAAGCAGCCGCGTGGGACGCGTTCGGAGGAGATAGGGAAGCCGACAGGCGGAGAACCGACTCATATTGGGCCTCTAGTGATTGTTCGATGTTCTTGTACAACTTGCGATCGGCGCGGGCGGCTTTGGTGGTATAAAGGTCACAACCCCCAACGATATGACAATCAGCGGTATCGAAATTCAACGAACTCGTCACGTCTTCAAACTCGGGAAGTGGAAGGAACTGCATCCGGAAATTGGTCAGTTCGAATGGCTACGCGGCGCAAATGTGTGGGACTCACCTTCATCTTGGGCACGAGAGAGAGAGAGAGAGAGAGCGGTCAGAGGTGGCCTTTCAGTTGTACACTATCAAGAGAGTTGCAGTATATGTACCGAAACGGTCGGATATTCTCGTGAAAGGCTGATACAAGGAAGACAAAGGATTCGGGCGTAGGACGGGTGATTCAGTAGTTTCAGGCGGTCCCGATCGTCGGAGATAAGCAATGAATGAGTTGGCAGGTGGAACAACTGGCCAGAATGGGCAGAGAAAGCGTGAGCAATGGGCAGTTAGTAGGCGAGATTCAGCACAGCAACGACCATCACAGAAGAAGGCCAGGTAGATATAAGAAGCAGAGAGAAGTTCTTGGGAGGGGAATGGACGGAGAGATGGAATGATCACCGTGCCGGCAATTGGGGGATGGTCGAGTTGCGCGTTGCGACCGAGGGGGGTGAGATCACGTGTGGGCCGCAGTCAGCCAGTGATATCACGCACCTACCTCACGGGTCTAGAATTGAACCAGAGAATTGAAGTTGGGAAACCATCAAACTTTCAGTAGTCCTGAGATTAGAGAATGCCCTGCTTGGATAAGTTGGTGGAGAGTTCCGTGGAATCCTGAAGGAGGTCAATGTAGTATTAAATTAGCCACTGCAGGTGGTAGTAGTAAACATTCAGCAACGCCTATTGAAAAGTCCAACGCCAGTGTATATACGCCCTTGAAAGCCCAGAGCCTGGGCCAAGTCATAGAATAGAAAGGGGGAAGCGCTCGTGCACAGACGAGGCTTCTACATGATCTTCGTAACCACATCTTCCTCGACCTGCAGGGGTGTGAGTGAGCATTAGCCTGCGTCGTCCATGATGATGCGATGACAACCAGGAAAGACCAGGATGAAAACGTAAATCGGGGGCAGTGCTCTAGAGATCGTGCAAAAGGGACTCCAGATTAAACAGAGAGAAACAGGGGCTTTCGGGAGAAACGTCATGCAGCTTATCGCGGGATGGGGAGGGAAAAGGACAACGACAAACCACTTAATCGGAGGACTATCCAAAGGGGGCGGTATGATAACGCAGGTATATTTCAAATCCAAGGCCCCAGGCCCTCCTTGATGGGTTTGTGATGCGGTTGGGGGGGGATGATCCAAAGAAATAGGGTGGTAACTCACCTCCATATCTTCTAAACTGTCTTGTTGGCTGATACACCGAAGCACATTCTTCTTGCTACTTTCCTGCATTTCTCCTGCCAGCAGGAGCTCATCCAGGATGAAGTAGGCCTTTTGGAAGTTGAAAATAATATCCAGCTCGCACACATTGCCGTAGTATTTGTCCATCTGCTCGACGTATCGGTGGACGATCTCGAGGGTGATCAGCTCGTTATCAGTCGAGGCACATCCGGCGATGAAGAAGAGGGAGGCGTATCGACGGTAGACGACCTTGGTGTCTGAACAGCGAGGCCAGGTTAGAGCGCTGTAGGGGTGGTGCGGGGTGGTCGGGGGGGGGGGGGGGGGGGGAAGAGCGTCGTACCTTTGTATTCGAGGAAATTGCACATCCGCGTGCGACGGGACAGCACGAGTTGGGTTACATCTTTAATGATCTTGGCTTTATCCTTGGGGGATAGAGTGGTAAACCATTTAGCAAGGCGCTGTACAGCAAAAATTGTGCGCAGTTAGTTCAAGCTTTCCGGCCAGATCTCAAAGTCGGGTGGGCGACGAGACGAACCACTTTGCCTTGTCGAGAGAGGAGGATGAGGTAGCTGGGGATAGATATCAGCAGAGGTTAGGAGTGACTTGCAGTGTTCAAGCCTTACTGAATTGCCATTGTGTGGGTTGAGAATAGGTGAGGGATGGAGGGAGGCCAAAGAAAAAAGGTGGATGTGGATGTGGATGTGAACAAATTCTTTTGTATTTGCACGGGCCGCACGGAGTGATTCATTTCCCCTGCCCCGCAACTCCTGACACCAACCCAACTCCCACCTTTTAATCTGTCTTTTTCAAGATTTCAGGGGATGTGATTGTTGGTGTTTTGTCTACTCGGAATTATCTGAACTTGTCCAGCATTTCAGGCCATCTCCTGACAAAATTATGGGTGCTTGAGTTATTTACAATCTCTCCAACAACACTACACTACTCTAGGCAGACTCTCACAACAACTAGGCACCTATCAGTGACTACCTAGGTACCATCCAGCTATGATATATACTGCTTAAAGCATTGGCTGGTCACATTATCTAGAATGGTCGCATAACCGACAAAAGACCCGTTCCAAATGTGGTTTACATCGCTTCCTCCTCAGACCTTGACTACTTAGTTATATAAAAGAGAACAAATACATAATGTATGATGATGTATATGTATAGCAACCCCAATCCAAAACTCCAGTACATAAACCAACATCTAAATCAATAAGAAACTGTGGACCAATATAATACTGTATCCACCTTTTTAGCTGAACGGTAAAGCGGACAGAAACATATGCTACCTACCCTTAGACCAGACTTGATGGCTCGTCCTTGCGCGGAGCTTGAACGTAGCTCTTGATCCGCGCCCATCCCATGGAATAAACTACCAACCCCAGCAAAGCGATACTATAGCCAACGCCTTGCAGGAAAGAGATGCGAGTGTGCCAAATGACAATTGACGCCAAGATCAACAGAACGTTCTTGGGAATGCTGACCAGCGTCATGGTAAGCCCGGATGTCTTGCCGATCTAGATCAAGATTAGCAACGGCCAAATGCACCTAGCAAGAAGAAAGAAAGAGAAGAAGAAAACATACCAGGGTAAACACCGACACATTCAACATGAACCCCACAATTGCATTAAGCAGCAACATCCCGACCCCCGTCTCGGCAACAGCACTCCACTGGAACGTCGCAAACTCCGTCCTCCACGCCAGAAACAAATTCATCAGCGCACAGACCGGCGCAGAGTAATACAGACTAACCAGCGGATCCATCTTCTGCCCGTCATTATCCGACAGGAGAATCTGGATCATGATCAGTCGGTTCGCGTCGAAGACTAGCGCCGCGAGCTGGAACCCCACGCCCAGCCAGGAGAACTGGATCTCGCCTGATACGGCGAGGGCAACGCTGAGGGTGATGATGAGGATGTTTGCGACCTTGGCGGCGGAGAGTTCTGCGACGCCCCAGAACCAGCTGGTGAGAAGGGTGACGACTGGGCCGGCCGCCTAGGATATCCGTTAGATACTTGGCTAGGATGGCTCTCGAGAGGGAGAGGGCACACTTGCCTTCAGCATCTGAATAAAGGAGATATTCAGGTAAAGGTAGGCGATGTTGCTGCAGACGAGACTGCCGCTGTATAAGAGACCGATTGGGGCTATCTTCTGGAGATAGACCTTGGTGTCCATGGTGATTGTCTTGCGGCCATCGAGGATACTTGTTGTTCGCGCGAGGACTTGAGTTGCAACAGTGGCGAATATGAGATGCCAACTTGTGAGGATAATAGCTAGATACACCTTTTAGCATGGCCGGCCGCAATACCGAACAGCTCTGCAGCTCTGACTTCAGACTTGGACTTACGGTATCCTATGAAGCATGAAGCAATTAGTCTAGTCTTCACGGAGTGAGGGGGGAAGAAGAAGACTCACGAAACCCAGTCGACTCCAGGATCCATTTATTGAATAGGATCGTTAGATTTGACCAGACAATCCAGGATCTTTCACATATCAATCAATCCCCTGGCGGTTAATCGGATGCCCAATAAAAAGAAGGTCAGGTAGGAGGCTACATACAGTGTGAGGAATATGATCTTCCATGCTGCCCGCTCGCTGAGGGTCGATTTGGAGTACATCTCTATCTCTCTCTCTCTCTCTCTCGTATTTTACAGAGATTGGCTCCCCTCGCAACTACAATTAGAGTACCACAAGGGCCTTTTTTTTTTTCTTTCTTTGTTCTTGTTTAAAGGGAATTTGGTATAAGTCTCGACCATATCACTCCTCCGATCCGGTGCTACCCAGGTACCGTACGGATCCGCATTAGCCGGTGGGAACTACTGCCACCAAGCATGCAACCCTAAAAACTCCACACAGGAACAGACATCGATTAGAACCAGCAGAATATGAATGCGGATGGGAAATTCTGAGCTTTCATGGTGGTTGAAAATGTAACATTGATTTTGTTCTGCTGCGGTAAGATAAGTATGTAGGGGGAAAAAAAAATTTTATTTTCATATAACAGCCCTTCTCTACATACACAACGAACAATAAAAAAAAAAAAAAAAAATTAACAAAATCTACCAAGTATGAGTACAATATGTAATGAAATAGCTCGGCCATGCTTCCACATCCATGCGCCTCTTGCACTCTTCCGGGTCAAATGAAGGGTTCGAAGCTGCCCCAAGACAGGCAGTGATCTTGCCATCATCCACCCAGCTATAAGGGTAAATTTGCTCACGGGGTAGGAGTACTAGCGAATGTTTGAGGGAATCAGAAATTTCCTCAGGGTCCGAAAGAGGGCAGAACAACTCCCATGACGAGTCCAGATCCCGAACTCTCCTACAGAGCTGCCGTCGCAACGACTCGTGTCCGTGGTTGCCATAGTACTGCTTAATCAAAGGTCCCAGAATTGTAGGGCCGGTCATCGCTTCGACACTGCCATCGCCGCCTTTGGGGTTCTCAAGGACGTAAAGAACAGGAAGGAGCCAAAATGGATGGCCTGGTGGTGAAGCCATCCAGCCGTTAGGAACCGCGGCGGAGCTCTCTATATCAGCTGCGTGCGCCATGCGCCCAAGGAACGCGCGCTGCACTGGGTTGTTCTGTGCGGGTGCGGCGGACGAAATGACATCCCAATGCGATGCGAGAGAAACGGAGTGACCGGCAAATAAAGGATCCACAGGACGGAGGGCTTCTGTGTCGACGTCGGCATACATTCTGGAAAGACGGGTTAGTTCGATGGAAATAGACACAACAGATATCCCTTGTATAGAGAGAAACATACCCCCCAAACAGATACATATAGAAATTCCGAACCATATCTGCCCTGTTAATCTCTTTAGGAAGCGCACGATATGTGTCCAAGAACCACGGAAAATATTGCTGAACTAGAAGCTCATTGGTTTCGTCATCCCAGAGCACATACTCCCAGTCTGGATGGTGATCTATTATAGTTTGCACCCAGGACTGGGCGTTTTGAGACATGTTGCTGCCAGCAGGGAACCATGTTTGATGGATAATCTTGGGGATAGTGGTCCAATCCTTCGCAACAGGGCGTGAGAGAAGCTCATAAGCTGAGAGCTTTCGAGATTGAATAGGCTCTGGAACGGTCACTTCGGTAGGAAGGATCGTTGAACGGAACGGATAGAGCAAGACGAGGATCAGAGCAATGGCAAGAGTGTAGTGGCATTTTTTCCGGAGACAATGGAGCATAATCCGTCCTGCTCGTGAGACGTTGGGCTGGGCCTTTGATGTCATGGATAGTGAGTAGTGAGCGCTCTGCGACAGGTTCTATACAGAAAGGTTCGCTGCGACCATTTGGATAGGCCTGCCGGCTGTTGGTTTGGATAAGCTATCTTGAGGAGGGGGAATTAGTGTATACTTAGGTTATGATTGCACACACTTGACCGTGGACCAAGATGCTACCTTCCTAAAGCCCATGCCAGAGGATCCAGTACTCGTAGTGGCTGTCCCTCTCATAAACTCGACTATTGCGGATAGCTGGTCCATGTTCATCCCTTCCATCCACCCACATTCCACAGGGTGGATTCCTCCTCTAATCTGTGACCAATTAACATTAACCTGGTATACTCCGTACTGCTTCACGAGACTTCCACCTTGGTGTATCAAATCCGGCCTTTTGGCTGCCCGTCAAGCTATCAACCTAGAACTGCGAGCATGATTCTCAACCCCTTCCGAAGAAGGTTGCTATTCACAAAAGTAGAGTTGATTTAGATTGCTTTAGGATGCATAGAATTAATTTTACAGGATTTCAATTTATTAAATGCATAATAAAGATAACTAACTAACTAACTAACTATGCATCAAAGCATCTGAAGATACATATCCGGATGCGGAGACTGGCGCAAAGCGAGCCATCAGATTCCCACAACCACTTCCGTCTCCGGGGAATGTCCCTAGATATGGATGGACGTCAATATGTGGATTGCTCGTTAGGAATCTAATTGAATTAGAGGGGGGGGGTTGTGTGGTTGTCCGTTTCCCTAGGTCAAAAACTGGATACCCTACTGTGTAGGAGCCTGGCAGACAGCAAGGTGACATTTGAGTCTGTCATTACGCAAGCCTGAGTAACTAACTAGTTACTTCATAGCTTAGTGAGGGTTGAACTAGTTATAACTACATAGTTAACTATATACTAAAAGTGTGTCATGTTAGACTACATGCCTTCTAGTGACCGAGATTCTTGGTACAAAGGACCCTGAAAGTGAGGTCAAAAGTAACTGTTGACCATCACCTAGTATTGATATAATGATCTTATTTCAACCATATCAAAGATAATACGCAAGATACAACTATAGTTCAAAACAGACTTCATTTCTTTTTTATTTGTTTGTATTATTCCAAGGTCAATTTCCCCAAACACCACACCCACACCCACACCCTAACCCAACCAACCACCAAAACAAAACAGCCCTAAACTCCCACCAAATTATTATTATTAGATAGTACAAGATCATCACCCCCATCCATTAAATATCTATTTTTTTTTCCCTGTCATCCCCGAACGCGATTCCTTTTGATTAAGCATCTGTCAAGCACATATCCGATCCGAGTCTGGTTTCGAACGACAGCTCGAATCCATTCTCGTGACATAGTGTGCATAGCATGGCGTAGGGGAGCATATCGCTCCCCTTTCTCATAGTCTCATAGCCATAGCACATGAAAGGCACATCGCAGGTTTTAAACCTGTGCCATGCTAGGGCGGCCCAAGCTGCCACGCGCAGGACCAGTTCGAGGGCGCATGTTCACACCAGTACGACGCGACATGAGGATTGAAAGAACCACAGACGCAGTGTACCCGGCCCACGCGAACCAGAGGAACGCAGTCGATGCCTGGGCCTCGCGACAACGCCTTTCCTGGTGCACTGAGCCATTGGTGATCTCGTTGGTGCTTGTGTATGCCTTGTAGTTTCGCATTTTGTTAGTACAGCCCGACTTTTTTTTTTTTTTTTTTATAAATTTGGAGGGGGGGGTGTGATCCAAGTATGAAATGCAAGTAAATTACCCTGTTGCTACAGCTATGCGCTTCCAGTTTCGCAGCCAGGGCGATACCGGCTGTGAGGAAGAAAATGGCGTTCAGAGTATCGATGACGATCATGATAATTGGGTGGATAGCCCAATCAAGGTTGAAAGATGCAGGCACGAGGTAGAACAGCGTGAACATGGAAAACGCAGACACGAACATGGCGTAGTTAACTGTTGCTGGGTTTCCGGCGAAGGCGCCCGCGATCATATTTCCGATGAGGGCCATGACGAGCAGAGTCCAGAGAAACTATTCGGGTTGCTTTTAGTTAGCACGAGACAAAACCATTACGGACAATGAGAAGGAACGTACTTCCCAGACCCGAAGGCCGAGTTGAACCCCTCTCAAAGCCATATTGCGTGTAGAGAGTACTGGATTGGACTGGGGCTATAGAAGGCGAATATCGAGGGGTCCTGCTAGGGCTGCAATGCGCGCGAAATGAATCGAGATCTGAACGATCGAGCAAGGGATGAAATGGAAAGGACAAGATGGGGATGATTTTTTTTTTTTAAGTACGGAATATTCGGGGGGTGAGGATGACGATAGGATGCTGTATCTTTTGCAAATCCGCTACGTCATGTCATGGTCCTGGCGGTTGGGCGGGAATCATGAAATCACCACCCGATTGACAAGTAGCTTTCGCCTTTCTTACCCGAAGTATTCTATGGGTATGTATATTATGATAATCATGAGATTATTTTGTTATTTTAATGGAGATCAATCTATTCTACTATGTTATATTCCATCTGCATGAAGCTATCTTGACTGGATATAGCTTGATGATCTGAAAAAAAAGCGCCAGAGTCCGTCTGTCCACGCCCATGAAACATCATGCCGTCACAGACTGACTTCAGAGATCAGAGAGAGATTCTGGACAAATGCTACCTTGATTGCGTACCCACTGGATTGATAAACTTTGCACAGATGACCTGCCTTGTAGGCCAACTCCACTGGCTGGCGCATTACAGCAGAGGATATTTCTCACCTCAAGTGTCTTACAATCTTCTGCAAGAGTCCAGAGATCTTGAACAAGCTCACATTTAAGCTCATCAGTCCACAGTTCAGGCTCAGCTGTAGCTCAATCGACAGGGCAGCGATTTAAGATGTCTCACACATAATCATAATAGCAGACATAGGATTATATTATTTAATTAGACTTGGATGGTCTGTCTGTGTTGTTAGAGAACAAAACACCACACATCCCACCAATAAAGATCATATATACATACATATATATATTTATAAGGTTATCAAACCCCCCATGTCTATACCTTTCTTCTCTCTCCACAAACACCCCCCCCCCTCTCCCGGTACCTACCTATCTACTTAAGAAGGCAACTCATAAGCCTCGTGCTGCTGCGGCACTGGACGCACATTCTGCTCTCCAGCCGGCATCTCAGAAACAGGTATACTGGCCGACACAGGCGCATACCCTTTATAGTCCGATTCTGCGAGCTCCGATGGTCCGGCGACATAGGGCTTCGCGCCGGGAGGCCCAAAGTACGATCCGTCCTGCGGCGTGTGCGGCTGGGAGGTGGTCGCGGCGGTAGCGTACTCGGGTTTGTTCCTGCGGCGAATAAAGAATAATGCTGCGGCTGCGATGATGGCGGCGCCGGCGACAGGGCCGATCACGGCTCCGGCGATCCAGGCCCGGCTGCCTGATGAGGAGGACCCCTTGTTGCTATCGCTGTTTGCTGTTTCGGCGGCGTTGGTTGCGGTGGCTAGAGTGGTGTGGGAGGTTAGTTTCTGGGCTGTCATCGGTGCGTAGAGAGTGTGTTGTTTGGCTTGAGCCGCACTTACTTGTGCTAGAGTCGGTAGTTCTTGTTGCGGTGGTCGCTGTGGTTGTAGTTGTAGTTGTAGTAGTTGTAGTAGTGGATGTGCTGGTTGTTGAGGCCTCAATGGTGCGGTAAATGGTCCAGGCGCTCCAGTTTTCCCAGCAGCCCACGCTACTCGCTGATGGAAGGCCGTTGGGAGACGTCTCGAAGATGGTAAACGTTACGCAGGAATAGGCGGTTCCGCTATAGGACACCAATCAGTCTGTTGCTTTGGAGGGGGGAGTATGTGAAAAAAAGGTATTATGGGAAGCATACCAAGAAAACGTCTCACCGTCATTGTAAGTGAGGATGTTGTTGCTACATGCAGTGGGCAACACACATTTGCTAGCGTCGGTGGTTGTACATTCGCCGGCGTAAGATCCCGAGGTCACCCAGGGGAGCGTCGCCGTCATTTCCTCGGCTTATATACGCATTAGCACGATTTCTTCCAGACAATGAGCGGAGGGGAATACCCACTAAATGAATTGCCAATATACCATCCCATAAACCAGGAACTGGATGTGGTGGAGGCGGTGGTGGTGGTGGATTTAGTGGTTGTCGCTGCGTGGCCGATGCTGAAAAAAGCCAGCAGCGCTGGGAGCGTGGTCTTCCACATGGCTACAATGGATGAAGTTGATGGGTGTGGTCTTTTCGCAGGACACGCTCGACAGGGACACAAAGAGAAAGAAAAGAAAAGAAGAAAACCCGCGCCCTTGTTTTTGATTTTATTTTTTTTTTCTCCCACTGCCTACCCTATGTACATAACTAGGTGCCTGACTCGTATCAGACCCCTCAACTGGCAACAACAGCCGGGTGTGTCGGAGTCAATGTAAACGCAATCTGGGCGCAGCAGAGCCTCGCCAAACAATCACCATTGTGAATGGTTAGATATGTACTCCTTCGTGCTGTACTAATTTCCAGTGGGCCTATCAGAAGGACCCTTGCGTGTTAGATTAAGCCCGGAGCCCACCAGCATGGGCCGGTTTGGCTGTTAGTCTGGGTGGTCGATAAACCCATGTCTGGTCAGAAATTGACATTCAGTTACAGAGTACAGAGTACGGAGTACGCAGTAGAGGAAGGCTTTTCTCAGGTCAGTTCTTGTCGCTTGTCGGTGATGGTTTACTTTGACGTCGTCTGTACATATGGCCCAGAGGATGGATAGAATTCAAGTAACCACGCCACAGGGAACGCGTTCGGAAAGGCTTAACTAGCCCCCAACTCTTGGATCTGAATGGTATCTAGTCCGTTCCCTCGAGATAATCAAAGTTTCTTTCCTTTTTGGGGGGGTCTGAATGGCTAAGCTTGGCTATATATATATATATATATATATATATTTCAAGTACCCTTATATCCTCCTGGATGCCTCACTAGCAGAGGAATAGTTAACTAAGTGACCTCCTGTTGTCATCCCTTTTCGCTGTTTTCAATGTCTTGGGAGCACTTCTCCTAAGACAACATGGAAGTCAGCCTACTGATTCCCGCCTAAGAAGCTGCTTCAGCGGCTGTGTGCAGATACCAGGAGTCTATTTGTCTCGGAGGAGGCTCAGGGCCCAATGATCTTCTACCCTCACTCAGCTGCTGGTCATCTGTTTATCCTAATATTCCTTCAAGATCGCACCGAGCTAAACAATGGTCAGGCAGGGTTGATCTCTCTCTCTTCCTCTCTTAATACGGGAAAGACTGCTTCTAACCCCTTCTTAGAATTATTGCATTATTACAAGCAGCCTGTCCCAGCACTAAGCCTTACGATCACATACCCTCCGATAGCTTCCCGCGTCTGGACAGAACCGCAGAGGGCATTTTCGTTCCTTGCATCCTATCGTTTACTGGCCTGTTAATGTTCGCGTGGGATTTTGCCTTTCCGACGCCCTGCGAGAGGCTCCTTTGGCGGATAGCCGCCGTCTATCAACCCTTGTTTGGTTCGAGAACCCCCCAGAGCAGCGCTTGCGTTGGCTGGCATGGAAATTGCGAAACATCCACCCGGATCGGGATCCAGACTTGGCGCTTCCCTTACGGGTGCTTATCCCGAATGCCTTGCGCTGTGTTTTGTATTGTTTATCCCGGGTCTGGATCCTGGTGGAGGATTTCATTGGACTGCGGCGTTTACCAGAGAGGGCCTTCCAGACGGTGGACTGGTCAAAGTATATTCCTCACTGGTAGATGAACCTACATTCTAAGCTTTGGCAAGTTAGTCAAGACGTAATAAGACGAATAGTTAGTGAACTGATGGGTCAAGTATTAAATTTCTACATCTACATATATCCAAACTAAACGCTGCTTTTCAACAAGAGGCCGGTTGGTGTAGTTGGTTATCACGTATCGTTAACACCGATAAGGTCGCCGGATCGAGCCCGGCACTGGTCACTTTCTTTTTTTCTTTTTTTTCTTTTTTGACGTTTTAACACGTCAGTTAAGCTACAGAGATACAAAGTATTATTTTATTACATGCTTAGGGTCAACCAACCGAGAATATTGAATACTTTTCTATCTGTGGTCTGTTTAGCGATCTTGTATATATGGTAGAAATCAAGGGGAACCATATGACATCTCCAACCCCTAAGGACGGGGATATACATACATATTAGAAATCCCTAACAAATTAACTGATGAGAGGTCGTCAAACTATGACGGTAGAAAGTTGACCAAAATGGATTCAATTGGGTCTAACTAGGAAATAGAGAGAAGGAGAGATACTTGGAGGAAGTATGGAGATCTAGAAGGAAATGGTAGCCTAAATATATAAAGTAGTCACATGTCACTATCTTCTTTTTTATGGTGATGCTACTTTATAATAGTGCTGGTTATATTTACTAAGTATAGTACTCTAATATACCCCCTTTAGCAATATATCTATTTTATAAAGCTATTTAGAGTCTATCTTTAATCTACTAAAATCTAACCTCTTAATAAATTTATTAAATTTTATAATTAATAGTACCTTAATTAGCCTATTAGTAATATTATTTTCTCTACTAATTATTTATAACTAAATTCTATTATTTTTAATTACCTCTTTTATAAAGAAGTAGTAAATATCTATCTAATAAAGTATAAATATATAATTTAGCTTCTTTACTAATATAATAGTATTAATAGAATTAATATATAAAGATATAATATCTTTTATAGACTTTTCTAGTTTAATAGCTATATATAGCTTTTATAATTATATAGCTAGCTTTATTGCTATATCCTATATAATAAATTTAGTAATAGTTAAACTTAGAGCAACCAGCAATTACTTTACTAATCTCTGTCAGGGGACAGAGTTGGATTCAGATATTCATTGACTAGGAGCTAACTAGACAGAACAGCAGAATAGTAGGTATCAGGTAATAGACAGGACATAGCTTGAAGAGCTATAACAGGATTAAGAATAATATGGCTTAAATATAGGAATAAGGGTGGATAATTAAGGTAGAATTTAACTAGATAGGTATTATAGCTTTATACTATAATAGTATCCCCCTTCTTAGGGTTAAGCTCTATTAAGATTAGAAAAGAATTAGCTAGGATTTCTTAGAATAATAAAGATAGTAATTATTTACTAGTTAGTAAATATTCTTTAAATGTCAGGGGGCAGAGTCGGATTCAGATATTCATTGACTAGGAGCTAACCAGACAGAACAGCAGAACAGTAGGTATCAGGTAATAGACAGGACGTAGCTTGAAGAGCTATAACAGGATCAAGAATAATATAGCTTAAATACAGGAATAAGGGCAGATAATTAAGGCAAAATCTAACTAGATAGGTACTATGACTTTATACTATAATAGTATCCCCCTCCTTAAGATCAAGCTCCATTAAGATTAGGGAGGAATCGGCTGGGGTTTCTTAGAATAATAGAGGTAGTAATTATTTACTAGTTAGTAGGTATTCTCTAGATACTTAGCAGGCTCTTTAGTTAGTTTATTATATCTAATCTATTTAATAGTATATTATAGCTTAAGTTTACTATAGCCTTAATAAACTTATTAAGAATTAAGAACTTCCTTAACTTCTTATTCTTTTAATTCTTCTACTTTAATAGGTAGTAGTAGATTAGGGTATTAATTAGATAGAGGATTATTAGTAGTAGGATAGAGTAGAGATATATTAAATATAAGATAAATTTTTATATTTTTAGGTAGTTTAAGTTTATAAGCATATAGGCTAATAATCTTCTTAATATAATATAGCCTAAAGTTTTTTTAGTCTAATTTTTTCTATAGGTAGAGTATTTAGATATTATAGGTATCTAGCTAAACTTCTTACCCTATAGTATAGTAACATACAGGTTATCTTTAATAGTTAGCTTATACTTTATAATAGGCTTGAGTAGACAGGATCTTAGTATAGATAAACTTATAAATCTTATATATAATATTAGCAAACTTCTTAGTATCTTTCTTAGTAAGGTAGATAATAAGGTAGCTTAATTTAAATCCTAATATTAGATAAAATCTATAATTAACCATAAATAGTAATATTCCTATAGACTTAGAGTAAATAGAATTAGTAGTAAACTTAGTTATTAATAGCTATTTAGACTAATTATTTTATAGGTATAATATATATATTTATAAGTATTATCCTAAAATAGTATTAATATATTTAATTTAGCTATTAATCTTAAAATAATAAGTAGTAAATAATAGGTTATAAATCTTTAGGCAGGATATTAAGTATTTCTAAAAAATAGTAATAAATTAGACTCTATAATCTAATATAATTATTTTAAAGATATTATAAAGTTTCTAGATATACTTAAGGAATAGATTAGCTACCCCTTTAATATTAATTATCCTAGTATAGGAGAAGAAGTACTTTATCTTTATTAAATAGTTAATTATAACTAGGATAGTATTATAATTATTATTTAGTAATAAATATATAATAAAGTCTATACTTATATTTTACTAGATATATTTAAAAATTAGTAAAGGCCTTAGTATTTCTTACTTTACTTTTTAAGAAGAGGTAATTTAGTAGTAAAGGTAATAATTCTAGACCTATTAGTTAATATACTTATAAATCCTAGACTAGAAATATTTATATAATATTAGTTTATATATCTTAATTCTTCTAGAATATCTAATAGTAGGATTTTTATAATAGAGTCTTAGTATTTTAGTTTTTATCTTATTATAATTAGGCATGTAAAGTTAGTCTTAATATCTTAAGTATAGATTAATATATCTATAATTAGCTAGTATAATATTAGAATATCTTGATAGACTATTCTTTAGAATATTTAGAATAGACTAGAGCTTCTTATCTTATAAATAAGCTTTATTAAATAATAGTTATAATATTAGTAGCAGGGAGATTAGTTTATTAATAATAGGTTATTTAGTAAAGTATACTTAGTATTAGCTATTAGTATTTAATCTTAGATTAGTAGTAGTCTTAGGTAGCAGGTTTTTAGATTTTAGAATAATCTAGCTCTAGTAAAGGAGTTATTTATTCTCCTCCTTAAGTAAGTTCTCTAACCTCCTAATTAGTATATTAGGCTTAGTACCTAACTTCCTAGAGTAATAATATATTTAGAAGTTAAATCTTAATAGAAATTTAGATTAACAGGCTTGTTAATAGTTTAATAGCTTAATTAATATAAAATATTCTAAATTCTAGTAATCTATAATAACCTTTATAAATAATAAAGTCCCTTCTAGTTTAAAGTACTATTTTTTAAAGTAATAAATAATAATTAATAATTCTTTATTATAAATCTTATAATTATATTCTATTATAGAATATTTCTTAGAGAAAAATATAATAAGATATAATATATCTTTATTATTATATTATAATAATACTCTAGTAAATATATAATTAAAAATATTAATTTCTAGAATTATATCTTTTAACTAGTTAAAAAATTTTAGTATTAAGGCATTTATAAAAGCAGCTTTTAATTATTTAAATACTTCTTAGTAGGTAAATATCTAATTAAAATTAATATTTTTCTTAATTAGGTTAACTAATAGTCTAATAATTTTTAAAAAATTATAGATAAATTAGTAGTAAAAGTTCCTAAAGCTAATAAAGGCTTAAATATTAGTTAGATAGATTAGTATTTTTTATTTAGTAATTATTTTTACTTTATTAGAATCTATTTAGAAGCTATCTTTACCTATAATTAGTTTTAGGAACTTTATCTCGCGTATGAAGAATTTATATTTACTAAATTTAGTATAAAGTCCTACTACTTATAGATATTCTAATACTTATTAGATATAATAAGTATATTTAATATAGGTTTAGCTATAAATTAAAATATTATCTAGATATATAATATAGAAGATATCTAGATAATTATATAAGGCTTTATTAATAAATCTCTAGAATAATACTAGAACTTTAGTAAGCTTAAATAATATTATTAAGGATTTAAACAGGCCTAATTAAGTTTAAAAGGTAGTAAGGTATTCTTGTTCTTTTTTAATCTATAAATTATTAAAAGTAGAAATAATATTAATTTTTAAGAAATATCTTATCCTTTTTAGGTTATTTAGTATCTCTTTTATTAGTAATAGTAGGTAATAATCTTTTATAATAATTATATTTAGGACTTAATAATCTATATAGAATTATAAGCCTCCTCTAGGTTTCTTTATAAATAGGATAGGAGATATAGTAGGGAAGGAACTAGAGTAAATAAAACCTTTTCTTAGATTCTTTTTAATTTATTCCTTTAAAACTTTTAGTTTATTTTAGGATATACTATATAGATTCCTAAAAAATAAGATTTTTCTAAATAGTAGTTTAATCTTATAATTATTAAGTTAATAAGATAATAGATACTTAGCCTTCTTTAATAAGAATATATTATAAAATTTAGTAAACTTAGGGAGTAGTTACTCTTATAGCTTAGATTTAGTAATAATAATAGGGTTTAGAGTAGCTTTAATATTAGTAATAGTAGTAATAAATATCTAGTATCTATAGCAGGTATATATAGTATAGGTAGTAACTAAGACTTTAATAATATCTTAGTTCTTTAAAGATTTAGGGCGGGGATTAAGGTATTAGAGAGAAGCTTTTAGTAATATATTATATAATACTAAAATCTTTATAAGCTTTAGAGATATATTATAGTATTTTTTATAATAAAAATTTTTAAATAGAATAATATAATTAGTAAATCTAATCTAGAGGTTATGGGTCTTTAATTAAGGTAAGCTAAGAATAATAGGAAAGTATATAAGTTAAATTATAAGAAAAGTAATATTCTTTTTAG